ATAATGAGTTTTTTTTGTGAATGTTGCTTGATCTTATTAATTAAATTAACTCTAATTAATAAATATTGTTTTTATAGTAATTATCCTCGCGACTTCGTCTAACTTCAATCATTTCATATATATTTTTTCTATTATCTTATGACATATACATCGACAAAAATAAAATAATATGTAGAATTTTTTAGGAGGAGATGGTCGGTGAATCCGTGCCACTAGGTCAAAACAGTCATAGGGTACTTACCAACTCATAAAGGAACTTAGAAGAACTAAAAAAGTTTTAAGATGAGATTATTTTAAATAAATAAATAAAGATACTTTAATTAATAATTTATTGGGTGTTTTTTTCCTTCTAATGTTTTTTTTTTCCAAATTCTACAAAAGCTTGTGACCTCCATGTTACGCGTTATTTTTTTTTTTTTAAATCTATTTTGCTTCTTCTTTAACTTCTGTTCATGACGACGATTTATGTTTAAAAACACAAAAGAAGAAACACTCTAAAGATGATAATTCATATTTAATGAAAGTTTGAATAATTAGGTGTGAGGAGAGCACTAAACCATCAGGTTGACATTGTCAATATTTTACATTTATCACTTTATTGCAGGTTCTTCTAATTGTTCTATGCAATTTCATCTTTATTACGAGGTTAAAGAGTTTTAGGTTTTAAGGAAGAAATTTGAAAGAATATGAACTTCGAATAATATTTCTGTTATAGATTGTGTTGTGTTATAAAATAGTAATCAATCAACTCTATTTATGCTCAAACTAAATAACGTCCTAGAGACAAGAAAACATTCCTACGGAGTATAAGAATCCCTCCCAAAATATGCTAAGAATAAGATAATGATCCCAAGAAAATAAGATCCATGAAAATTAGATAACCCAATTTTTTCTAAAATAACATAATTCATCCTAATATATAGGAATGACAATGGGTAGGGTACTATATTACCTGTACTCATACTCATATCTGTGTTTTAAAAAAAATACTCGTACCCAGTCTCATATTTACGTAAGTATGAACATTAATCTTTATACCTGTATACTTTGGGTACCTGCATATCCATACACATACTCATTACCCATACTTGTTTGAAAAAAAAATATTTATAAAAAAAAAATGCTTATATAACTTCACATAAGGATTATAATAATACAAAAATTCAATACGTAATTGTCGAATAAGGTATAAGCATAGATAGAAAGTAAGTATTCAAATATTACAAGTGTTAAATGTATCTTAATACAACAATCTTTTAAATTATAATTCTTATAAACTGTAAGCGAAATTAAACACTCAAGTTATTTGTCAGCGATGACCTTGTTTTGTGTGAGATTCGACAACAATAAAGCGACGATGAGATAAATCTGCATAATGGATAGCCTCTCATATGGGATCACTTGGTGACATTAACAACTAACTCTAAATTTATGGTTGCTACAATAGGTTTGAATGAGACGGACATTGAAAATGAAAATATGATTAAGGCATAGAAGTTCAAATACTAAACAACAATGAAAAATTGACACATAACACATTTTTTTAAAAACTTTTGAATTGAAATTGTAAGAAAAATAACGAATTTAATTAAAATAATATAATATAATTAATATATTATATTCCTTTCAGTCTTTTATTCTACATATTTTTGTTTTCTTTGATCCACTTCGGGTTATCTGGTATCAGAGCCTGATGGGGAAGTAGGAATATAACTGTTAATTGTCTGTAACTATGTTCTTCTGGATCTGGACTTTAAATTCCTTTGTGAAATTTCTGTAACCATGGTTTATATATATATATATATATATATTAATACTAATGTTTTAACTCATGTACTATATAAAAGTATTTTATTAAAAATATAATTTAAAAAAAAATATTTTAATGAATTAAATATTTATAATATATAAATTTTAAAAGAATGAATTTGAATAAAAGATAAATAGTCACAATAAAATTTATAATAAAAAAATTATACTTTTTTATCCGAAGAAAAAATTAACAAATAAGAATTAATAATATTTTTTATATTTTATATCTTTTCAAAAATTTCATTGAATATTAATAAATGGTAAAAATAATATTATTTAAATTCAATAGATTATAGTTGCTTATAATTCACATGTTGTATAGAAAAATATTATTTTAAATTAAAATATAAAAAATATAATTTAAATATTATCAATAAATAAGAAGCTTACAATGATAGTAGGTGATTGTAAAATTTATAAAATATTTAAAATATATATTATTTATCATTCACTTTATGATTTAAATATCAATATAATTTTATTAACAAAAATATTTGTATGAAAAATATTTTATGTGTCATATATAAATAAATTTTTTAAAAAAAGTCAATCTCATATCAATTATGTAATAATTAAATTATATTAGTCTAGTTAAATAATATAAAATAGAAAATAATTTTTTTTATTAAAAATATGAACCAAAATAATTTTTTTGATTTACTTTATTATTGAATATATTTTTATATTAATCTTATATAACTTACATAAGTAATATAATAATAAAAAAATTTAATATATTGTTGTATAACAAAGTTTAAGAATAAATCAAAATTTATATAAATAGCACAATATATATATGGAATACGGTGGGTACTTAAATACTTATACATGCACCCATCTTCATTAAAATTTACGGATATTTACCAATACTCATATCTGTATTTATATAGTGGATAAATATCCTATTTATTGTAGATAAATTTTGCGAGTGTCTATCATATTCTTTACCCATTATTATCCCTACTAGTATATTGTAAATCATTCTTTCCTGTTGAGATGTTTTAACGCTTCCCATCGAGTTAAACTGTACCAAACTCTGAGCTTGTTTCAAATAAACTTAAACAGAAAAAAAAAAAATGTAAATTATATACGATTGAGAAAGCAACATGCTAGCTACAAATGTTGGAAAAAAGTTAACAAGATGGTTGGAACTTATTGTCAATCTAAAAAAATGGTTGAAATATTATATGATCAAAGAAGAAAATATTTTTCTAGAATGATCACTTGCCAGAATTTCTTGGCAAGCAAATTATATAAGAAGAACTAAAACTCTCCAAATTAATCAACAAACAATTGGTTGAAACTTTATACCATAAGAAAACTTCCAGATACCCAAAAAACTGAATTAAAACCAAAGCTAGTTTACATCATGGCCATGCAGAATTCATCACCAACATAACTCATTAGTGAGACAAGAGAAATCATCATTGGTATGGTTCCCTGGGGTCTTGGTATAGTTCACACACCTAATTCATAAATTATATAACTTGTTGTTAAGAGACTAGCTAGTGTGCATGCTCTGAGTGTGAGGTTATAGCAGTTGGACTTGCCAATATGCAAATATTTCACAATGGTGATTAAATATTTCATGCCACAGAACTCTGTAGCTTTAGAAGATTTTAGCTTCATTAAATATTCCACGGTGATGGTGGCCGAAAATCTTGATGACACCAGTGATGGTAAAAGAAGGTGTGCCCCATACAAAATGATGGTAAAAAAAATTATGCAAAAAAGTTTTAAAAATGTGAAGAGAAAACCAGCTAAATTTATAGAAGAGGAATCAGGAAAGTAGAATATAATTCCAAATTTTACAAATTTTGGCAACAAAGCATAGCAGGACAAGTCATAGAAAATTAAATCACCTGAATACCCATTGAATTATAGGTATTTTAGGAAGAAAATTGAGGGAATAAAAACATTGAATAGTATTTTTCATGTATTTCATTGCATTGCATTATAAAATACTTACCAAGTTAATCATTTTCTTATCAATATGCTAGACTCCTATAATTCAAAATTACTAAATAGTACAAAATTGTATTAAGTGGGAATTGTAAATCAAAACTCACCCATGATTATTTTTAAAATTCTGATTTTGTCTATCTTCTTTAACTAAAACATGAATAATTTTTTCGTTAAAAAAATTATCAGCTTTCTTTATATCATGTAAAACAAATCATCTCAAGTACACAAAATAATGTATAATTTATTTGAAATGAGATTAAATCTCTAAGAATAAGATAATGATCTTTTGAAAAATAGATAAGACAAAATCCTTAAAAATAAGTTGAAGATTCTAAAAGATAAAGGGATAAATTACACTTTATCCCCTTATAGTTTCATTTTTTTTTCTGCCAATAATTTCTCTGATAGGAGGATAGGAGGAAAAGTGATACAAAAAGTAATATCGCAATGGAGTCAAGTGACACACACACACAATTATAAAGACACTAGAGACATAAAAAAAGTATAAGAAATAAATTGAAAAGGCATAAAACTATTCAGAGATAAAGTGTGATTTAACCAAGATAAAGTGTAATTTAACCAAGATAAACTGATAAAGTCTCAAATAAATAACACAATTATCCTTTGAATAACATAAATTATCTTAATTTACTATATATCATTCTTTACGTCCAAAATGTTTTAAAAATATTGTAACACATTTCCTTTTATTTAATATTTTTATTCTTATTTTAATTTAAAAACATGAAATAAAACTAAATTTCTATGCTTTCGAAAAAATAACTAAACAATAAAAGAAATTAGCTTTTATTTTTGGTAACAAATATCTGTACTGCTCATATCCTAACTGCTGAGTAATTGGGTTTCAGTTAGCTTCTATTTATTCAATTTGGTTGGACTGACAAGTTTTTGGGTCATTATTTGGCCCACTAGAACCAGTTTTTTCTTTTATCCATGTATTATTTCTTGATGTGAGAATACAAATGATTTAAAACTTATTATTTATATAATTACTAACAAACAAAATGTTTACAACTCATAAATATTAGTACTCATGATAAAATAAAACAATTTAGGTAGTGGAATAAATGTCATTAAAATGCTATTGAAACACACTACTCAACATATTTTATCACTGAGTGAATTTCATGTCACTCCTGTAACTTTCAGATGAGTTGCACTATTCTGTTAGTTTAGTTATGTTTTCATCACGATACATGAAGAGAGCATATATAAGCACTAGGAAATTCGAAATTACATAATATTTACTGCAGAGGCCATCTTGATTACCTTATATACAGCAGTAGATAATAAATTCAACTATTCAACTAAAAGAGAGGGGAATCACAACCAAAATATAGATCAAGACATCAACCTATATATTTAATAGCATAATTTTGATTTATAAATTCTTCAAGGGTGTCAACACTGACTTAATACTCCTTTTTTTCAATCTCTTTCTTATCATTTTTCATCTATCACTTTTCTCCCTTATCTCTTTCTAAATGTAGACAATGCAAAAGATATCAACCAAACATTGTCCTTACCAGAAATACTAAAGAAACGTTATTGCAGACCATTATAAGGGATACCCTTATTCCCACTCAAGAACAACCTAAGATTAGATGCACACTACTTTACCAACACCAGCATTACAAATGAACATTCGATGTGAGGCTCCCACCCCAGTTCAATATTCAGAGCCTTACTCTTTTCTCAAGGAACTAGTCTTTCCAACAGTTGTTTTGGTTCTGAGCTTCTTCTTAGCACGTTGAATAAACTCTGAAAAATGATGGTCTTTATTGGTTTCGTTTTTGTGAACCTCATGTTCCGGTGCAGCCACAGGGTTGGTCTGACCCCGACCAATGTTTGACAGGGTTCTAAGTTTGTTCCCAGTACGTTGAATGAAATCATCAAAAATGTCATTGATATTCATTGATTTCGTACCTTGTGGCTGTTCCACCCCATGACCATGTTGTTGTTTCCATTGCATTGGAACATGAGGTTGAGGTTCACCCTTGCTAGCCACTTTGGTTGCTTTTTCAGAAGCATCTTTTGGTACACTTGAGACTGCTTTGTTTCCATTATTCGTTGACTTTGCAGTTGAGTGGTCAAACTTGATGGGTATTACTCCTGATCCTCCTGTATGAGCCTTATGATGTGGAAGTGGTTGGTTTTGGACACTAATATTAGTGAGGGGTGATGGAGAATTTGAACTAGTGGTGACAGGTTTAGGTTCTTGATTAAAGCTTGAGATGCGTTGAATGGCTCGGACAGCAGTGTTGCCTGAAAGTGCTTGACGGATTTTCCTGCATACAGAAGAGTTTGAATCGTTGTTTTTCTCCATGGAAACTGCAGGGTTAAGCTCAGAAATTTGTGGGGTGGTGCAACATTGCACAAGATTGTTTTCATGTTATATAGTGTTTATCCGAAGTGTGAAAGGGAAAGATCAAAAGACAAGGATATTTGAAAAATAAATACAAACATCTACTTTTGAAGTGTGGGAGCCAATAGTAATTGAAGGAACAATGAGGATAAGATTCCTAACAGCTAGCTAATCACACTAATGAGGTTGCTTTTTCTTAATTTCCATGGAAGGGATCAATTCCCACTTTCTATTCTTCAATTATTATATGATATCCACCTAGATCTGAAACTATCAACTAAAACTAGCACATTTTTGGTTTTGGTGTGTCCTTGGCACATTTGGCAGCTTAATTAGTCCATTGGAAAAAAGAAGGGAGAACAATGGTTGGTGCTTGGTATAGGATTCACCAGTCTCGTAGCTGTAAATTGGAAAAATAAACAAAGCCTAGTTGGAAGAATAACGTATTACGTTGGCTTCCCACGCAGGAAACGTGATTCTACTGGTCCTAAATGAATGTGAAGATTAGAATAACAGCTTTTGGTGGTGAAAATTTACGTCTAATCATGAAATCACACCCAATGTGACAATATAATACCGTTAGAAAGAAGAAAGGAAGAAAACACAAAATCCATAATATGATACTATCAGAAGTGATTTTTTTATTGTATTGTGTTTCTTGTACCACCCAAAATCCTATTATAGAAAATGTATAATGAACAACAAAATGGAATTGTTTTCCTATTTGCATAAGTGTAAGTGTGAAAAGCACGCGGAATATAATTTGTCTTAAACTTTTGTTCATCATTTAAGTTTTGTAAATGTCATGCTAAAGTTTCGGCTGCGCCTACAATTTTACATGCATACTGAGATGGAACAATTCTTTGCATGAACATAGGCTCATCCATGACCAGGGCAGTTGATAAAAGGTCTAATTATATGACATTAAAATAACTTCATCAAAAGTTTTATTATCTTTTTCAATTGTTATTTTAACATTTTTAAATTCCTTATACTTAAGGGAGACACTACTCATGCTAAAATTGTTAAACGACATCAATTGTTATTGTTATTTGAACTATTAAAATTTGATACGCGTGTGCTCTTACTTTTTTCTTTGTAATTTTTATATATACACGTGCCAAAAATACATGTTAAAAGAAAAAGTAACAGGTGTGTTTCTCCACAAATATGCAACAAACATTGCTGATTATGTCGAATCTAGAAGCTTGACGATAACCACATATGCAAGCTCAAAGAGACAAATGTCATCCTTCGACTGGCTACCATTTAGTAAAAAATGATAAGTATATCGTGCACCATATGCATATTTTATGATTCAGATAAAATTTAAAAATAAATGTTAAAGGAAAAAAAATTATTTTATAAAAAAATTCTATTATATTTGTGAGCGTGTGTGGCTGTAAGGTAAAAACTAGAAAATAAAAATTTAACGATAAATATGTTTAAATTAAAAAATATGTACATTCTCAATTAATTTAAAGAAATTAAATTTTAAATTAAAAAAATTTAAGAATAACATATGATATTATTTAAAATAATGTATTAAAAGACATTTGTTCTTTGATTTAATATACAGACAGATAAATAAACAAAATCAAACAATACATTGTTTGATTTGATTTTACGCAACTAGTTTAATATTCTCCTCAACTGATGCACACATCCTAAAAAAATTATCAAGTACATAAATTAACAGGATAAAATACTTTTTATAAATAAACTATGCTTATTAAAAGTTATAATATAGTTATGAATTGGTTAAATATTTAAGTGAATACTAATAAAACAAATTAAAGTGACAAGCAACATGAGATAGAGGACGTATTACATGGAGGTATTGAAAACTAGGAATTCTATCCACTTGCGAGAATCTGCAACGTGCCGTAGCTCGAATATAATCCTACGATTTGATCCCTCCAAGAAAAAAAGCAAGTCATTCTTATTAGAGTTCAAAAGCAAAGCACTCCAAATGAGTGATCTAAAATATAGTTTTACTCCTTTATTCTCATCCCAAAGATTTCCTACTTTTCCACTCATAAATATTCCCTTTCTTTTTCATCATTAATGAACGTTTCTTACCATCCTTTCCAAAGACAAGGATATATTCCAAACAGTAAACAGTTCCACCATCAATTTCCTCTGAACAGCTCTTAAAGACCCTTTTCTCATTTTTGTTTTATACATGCCGTGCAACAAGCAAACTAAAGTGACCTTGGGGTCAAATTAGTGCATATTTGAATTCAATTTGAAAAATAAAGAATTCTAATTATATCTTCTTCAGATTTATGTTTACAGATTTTTCAACATGTTTTTAAACACTTACTTATTGACCTTGACGCAATTCAACAAGCAGAAACGTAAACAATAACACCTACTTATCCTGTATCAAGTGCATACGTACGTTAAAGACTGGGGAGTATAAGCTCAAAGTTCCTGGTAGGAATTACAAGGTTGTTTCGCTCACAGGTATTATACAAGTCTAAAAAGAAATCCATGGACAAGTTATATCATATATATCAGAACAGTCAACAAAAAGTAGAAAACATCCTATAATAAAACTTTACAATAGTTCGGAGTAATTAGTAAGATGAAAATTGTTCTGATAATAGATATTTACAGTTTAGATGCCAAAAGAATCAATGAGTAAATCATCTTGATATTTCTATTGAAGCAATGGTTTCAGAATCTCTGACTGACAAAGCCTGTGAAAATGACTAATGAAAGGGTACGTTTATCATACAATCAGCATTGACCAAATTGTTACCCTTGGATTCTTAAGGCACAATTCCTCATTCGATGTGACTTTATTTAGTTGGGCTTTCACGTATGCTCCGTACTCAATGACGGAAAGTTTTAACAACTTTCTCTATTTGTCGCCGGCAAAGAGGACAATTGGTCAAGTGTGAAGAGCAAGCTGTACAGCAGCACATATGCCCACACCTGAAAATATAACGTAGACCTTAGAGGCTTTTAATTAGAATGTGAAATTAAATAGAGAACTAAACTTCAGGGACTTTGAACATCTAAGTCTGGGTGGTTGTAGCAGGCATATGTATAGATAGTGTGTACAATACAATTAACAAACCGACCTGGACCTAGTTGAGGGTAGTTTTGGTGGGTTGAGGTTAGGGTAAAACATATAGTACAAATAACAAAGAACTTTAACTCAGTTCACCAATGGAATAGAAGGCTAACTCAAGGGAAATGTTTCCTGCAATGTCAGATTTCTTTTGCCTGTAAAACATAGTCTGAATTTAATATTAAATATAGCTCACAGACGTATTTCTGGCCACATAACAGAATAATTTATGATGAACAAGCATTTTCATTCTTTATGTCTGATAATAGTTAACAAAGATCACAAGGACAAAAATGACAGATATTTTTAAAAAATAACAAAATTGGAAAAGGTAAAGCTGAGATTTGCATATATGGAAGTATGCTTGTCACTCTCAATGCTACAGCTTGTTATAATAGAAAGTTGTTGTACCCAGAGAAACATATAAATATAATATACCAAGCATTGGCTTTAGAACATTTTGTGTAAAACAAGAAAGTGGATGAGAGTGATAGCTTACGGAACAAAAACAGCATTATATTCCTGCTCAAGGCATATTACGCAAATATCTGGCATTAACCCATCCTTTTTAGCACCATCTGATAAGCTGTCGGCCTTTTCACCTGATAAAGAATCACAAATTTATGATACCTACTGAAACAGCAATTGCAAAAGCAAATATCATAGACCCATATAAATTTACCTTCATTATCTTGTCCCGACCTTTTCGCAGCCGCAGCAAGAACCCTGAATAATATTGTTCAGAATGACTAAATTTAAAAAAAATAAAAAATAGTGGTGCATGGGAATGTTGGATAGAGTAGTTTTGTAAAGGGCATATTTTCAATTGAGCTTTAGAAGTGAACTCTTGTTCATAACAACAAAATAGCATCACTCTTTTCTGAATTAAAAAGCTTTCGATGTATTTAGTTTTCACCACTAATGAGAAGAATCAGTGATGTGTACCTTCTTTGCAGTTCACCGCGGCGCCGTCTTTCCAATACGTAGCGAATAGCATGCTTGGCAATTATATAAGCACCAAACACTGTCAAGCCCACAGAAGCATACTTATACCACCTAATAAGAAATTTCAGTCAATAAAAAATCTGCTAAACCAAAACACACAACATGCATCTACATGTTTGTAAAATAACCTTGCCCATTTCCCGAGATTTGCAATGAGTTGATCAATTGTTTTGGGTGAGACATAAAATGGTCCTTTGTGGGGTCGCTGGACTCGAATGGTCCCAACATCATCTTTAGCAGCCTGATCATACAGTTTAATTATTATTTTTAAAAAAAGATAGGTTGCAAAAGTAAAGGACTAAAATTTAATCAACACGAAAATGGCAGTGGAGTTGACAAATTGAACATAAAGGACGACCTCGTTTAAAAATAGAAATTGCTTTCCATTTTTCTTGGGAACATAGTTTTTTATTCTAATATCATAAGCTGTAATGCATTTGATTTTGTGAGAGACAACAGTGACTATGACCAGAGTTTTATAACTTGTAACACAGAGTTCATCTCACTTAAAATGTATCAAATCTAAAATTTACACCACGAGAATTCAAGTCATCAGATCAATATCACTTGTAGCACTGGAAGTATTGCTTCTGTCATATTATGTATCATTACCAATCTACTCTGCAACATTGGTAATTCCAATTAAAGTAAAGTTCTTTAGCGTACACCTTTCTTGAGAAAGTAACTAACCATATTCTTGAAATTAATTAGATTACCTCTCCAACAACAGTCAAGGAAGTTCCAATTGGAAGTACCCGTTCAATTCTCTTAACTCCAAGCATCTGAAAACATGGTTTTAGTTAAGTCAGTTTACAAAATAAGCAGCTCAGTGCTTCTATTTTCTTTTTTTTTTGCAGGGAGAGAGGATCAGAAGGGATGGGGTGGATAAACTTCTAACACTCCCACCTTGAGACCTTGGAGATAATCTAGTGTTCCACGTACAAGTGACCGACCTGACTCTTCAAATGCCTCACTTCCAACAGGTAATACAAAACCAGTAGCACCCCGAGCTCCAACTATGTGCACACGATCAGTCCCATCATCCTAATACATAAAAATGAAGGGACTGTGATCCTAGATATTTACTTCAAGTGAATTTGGTTTCACTCAGACAACATATATTCTATCACAATCTTTCAATTTGTTACTAGTAAGATTTGGTAGCACAAGGAGATTGGTCACTTCATAAGCATAAATGTTGACTTTAAGAAGCAGATATACCATCAGTCTGATGACCAATAATAATAATAGTAGTGAAAAAAAAAACTCCATTAGAGGAACAGAGACAAACTGCACACCAGATACCAGGGAACCTCTTTACTCATAGATAGCATCAAAGCAGAATCTTGAATCCACGAACCAGCATCGTTGTGTTTAAGAAAATGCTGCTCTGCCTAAAAATAAAATCGTAAAACAGGTACAATATTAATTGCAAAGAGCTAAAGACGAGATAAGCAACATCCCATAAAATGGAGATTATTCAAGTTTTATGTCTACATACTGTTTCTTCAACTATTACACCTCTTAAACCACTGAACTCGCAGTTGATTGGAGTTTCAGAGCTAACTCTTCCAGAAATTGTAACAACCAAGGGTAATATTTCTGCATCTAACAGTTGTGCTGCAAAGTGAAGAACCCCAAGCATGATCAGCAACCACAACAGCACAAATTCTATCACCAACTATATAGTAAAACAGTTAACTATAATACTATCTAACCCCTCTCTTCTGCACCGTAGAAATGCATATCAGTTTCTACTTTAATAACAAATATTACTAATTGGAATACATATAAAGGAGTTCAGTGTCTTATGGATTCTATCTCAAGCATACAACAATTGCGAAAAGTGAAAATGTTACCAAAGTGATGACAATAAAAGACCTTGCAACAGAAAGCTCAGCATTCAGAATGACAGGTGAATATATCATGACAATTGATTATCAGTATCACTAAACAACCCAAATAAGGTCAATCTCAGGGGCCACTAGCACTTTCCAACCAAACCTCACTGACATTTGCCTACTGGAAGCTACCCTTCAAAAACCAAACAAACTTGAAATGCATCAATACCAACTTGTATGCAATTAAGTTACCACTACCAGACCAGTACTGTAATCAAAGTGGAAAGAGAAACAGCTTATCTGTGGTTCAATCAGTTCCACTATCAATCTTTTTTGTAAATTCCATTTCAAAGATACAAATATATCCAATTATTAATCAAATCACAAGGGGGACAGCATTTGAATATTAGTGAGTAGGATCATGTACAAATACAGTCAGGAAGCATAAGAAGCACAAAACCTGTCGATAATAGAACTTGCAGTTCCGGACAAAACACATACCTAGTTCCTTCAACTGATTGACCCGGGTAACAGATTTAAGAATTTCCGCATCCCTGTGACCCAAAAAATTAAAAAAGATGAAAACTTGACACGTTGTAGAATGTCACAAACGCGATTCAAGTGGAATGAATGATTATACCTGCCACTGCTTCTGCCGAGAAGGTAAAGAGCAGCAGCACTCAAACAGCAACTAAGGCCCCCCCAAGGAATCATCTTCATCCAACACTAAGCGCTCAAAGTCATTGCTTCAATTCAAAAGGGATTTGGGTCGGGAGAGTGCTCTAGGAAAATCAATCTATGATTTGATTGTGTTTCTGTTTGTGTCGCTAAGGTTTCTTCATTTCTTCACCGCAATTAAAAAAACAATAAAGGGGGAAAACAGTGCTTGAAGAAATTAAAAAAAAAAAAAAGAAGGAGGAAAAGTGAGAGAATTTGATGCAATGAGTAAAGTGAAGGAAAGGGCAAAAGGGAAAAAGAAGATTAGCAGAAGAGGATAGTGCAGCGTAACCCTTCCAATGGGTCCTTCCTTTTCCACCCCACAAAATTAATAACATTCGCCTGCGTCCCTCAAACTCTTGTGGTCATCGTACCTAACAATAGGGTCTATATATTTCTTTTTTTTTTTCGGAGAATTATCGTTTCGGTTGCACTTATTTTGCGATGTGAAATTGTATTTATATAACTTTTTTTACAACAAATGTACCATAAAAAAATAAAAAAGACAAGAGAAAAATATGATATAATATTTGACGCAATATAAAGATAATATTATATAAATTTATTTTGTGAAAAATATAAATCTTTTTCTCACGTTTCGTGACCTTTTTTTTTAAATAATGAATTTTATGAGAAAATAAAAATAATAATCAATTTATTTCCTCGTCGGAAACTGTGTTGCAGACTTGCAGTTGCATGAGCACAGAACGTTGTAGATGGCTGTAATGTATTGTATTCTCAATAAAAGCTTAAACAAAAATCTCTATTTATCCATGCGATGAATTTTATTTAGCACAGTTTTAGATAAAACCTTTCCATGACCCAAAAAAAGATAAATACATACACCCTCCTCCTCTTTCATTTATTATTTTAAAAGATAACTTATTTCTATCTATATGTAATTTTATTTTTTATCTATTATTTCACTTAATTTTTAAATATTTTAAATAAAATAACAATTAATAGATATACAAAATTAATAACTGACAGTCAATCATAACACGTATAGTTATTTTTTAAAGTTTATATTATTGAAACATACTTTATCATTATTTTAAAGAAATAGTTTTTCTAATAAAAAATTATCAAAATTAAGAAAACTAGATGCACACAGTTTTTTTGTTTCATTCGGTAAAATTAAGCTAAAATCAACTTATAACTATTAGAAGTTGTTTGATAAAATTAGTTATACAACTAATTAAAATGCATTAAAAAATTAAAAAATTAATATCACTTCATGTGAAATTATTTAAGGATAAAACTTGAAAAAATTTTAAAAGCTAACTTCTAATAAATTGAATACTAATTTTTCCATAACTAAAAGTTATATGCTTTCTTAATTTTTTATTTATCAAATAGCTTTATTAAATTATTGACAAAAATAATTATATCTTCTAAATAAGTTATAAATTCGTATTGTCAAGCACACTCTTTTTGTTAGTATTTTATAGCGTTTGACATGCGTCTTAAAACAAGGTAACAAAAGATATGAATTCCATGTTATAATTAGAGTATTTTACAAAAAACAAAAAAACAAAAACCAAAACAAAAAAAACATAAAGTTAAAACAAGGACCCTAACTTGTTTCAATTCCAATGACTCCTGTTGCTCTCAGAAACTCTAGGTTACTGCCACTAAAAGACCAAAGCACTGCTCTTAGATTATGCTATATACGAAGAACATTAGTGGCACTAGCATTACAGCTTACCTTAATGCAGCTAACTGACGTTCATATTTTTTTTTTTTCTCTTTCAGGGTAAATCACAAAATATTGCTTATTCAGTTTATCAGTCTATAACTTGTGTTCCTGCACTTTAACTATAAACACGACAATTATGATTCTGACAGAATATGAAAGCGAGAGCTGAAATCTCTTGGCATTGATAATCCATGCAAGGATATGCATCCTTTGGTTGCAATTGCAACTGATATCCAGCTTATGTAGAAACTAAAGAGGGGGAACCTGATAATTTCACCAACACGGTCAGTTTATCCATCTCATTGCAAAATTTTACGCAACACTTTACAATTTGTCTTGCTGCTATAAATGCAAGCAAACGAATATGTTGCTTGCTTGGATTATAGAAACAAGGTACTGACCATACCGTAAGTACATCAGCCAAGCACCGAGCAAGCCAAACGGCCACAATTTTGTGCTTGTGAGATCAAGTAAAGGTTCAATTGCTTTGAAACCAAGATTTTTTTTGCTATCACTTCCCCAAAATCCATGGACATGGACATCCAACAGATCAGGTATAACAGTTGGTCCAATGTTCACGCCTGCGGCACTTACAGCTTTACAAACTGACATGATCATGTCCTAGGAGATAGTATTCAAGCTAGCCTTAGTATTGCCACTGCTAGCAATGCCGCGGCTCTAAAGTAAACTTCTCTCAGGCTCTTATCCACCTTTTGAATCATTTCCTCATCTTTCAGTCCTAGCTTTCCTGTATTCTTGTTTATGCTGACAATTGTATCCCCTAGCTTGTTAACTGCCCAAGAAAGCCAAACCAACCCAAATCCGAACCCTGTGTTGAAGAGCTTAAATGCACAGAAAGGAACCCTTCCACAAGCTAGCTTACAGATCACGGATAGCAGGACAGCAAGACCAGTACCGGCAATGCCCACTGAAAATTGTGTCAGGAGCTGAGGAAGTTCAGGACCAGATTTCTTCAATGACAGAATTGCTGTTTTCCTGTGTTTTCTCTTGTCAACCATTAAGGACAGAAGGCTCTCACATGCATGCAAGTAGTTTTTCTTGTAGAGATCCCTCTCTCTGGCTACTTTCTTGTTCTTTTTTTGTGATGGCTTGACTTTGACTTTCTCAGGACTGTTACGCAAGAAAAAAGAATCAATATATTTCTTGAGCAAGAAATTAATGTGGCCATTGCCATACTTAGTAGATTAGAGCATTACACTATCCACAACCATGGAGAGAAACAGTCAACATAACAAAAGCTAAAATGCAGCCTAACAATTGATCTTGCTTCCTCTATATCATGATAAAGAAAAATTACATGTACATACAATATGGCATTAAAAGAAACTTTAGTAGATAATCCTTCCTAAACATGGAGGAAACAGAAATGCATAACAGTGGAATTTAACACATTATTAGAATAGATGAAAACCCCCCATACCAATTAACGCTTGTATAGGAAAGCATATTATGCTTATCCCAAAATCAGGAGAGGCCAAATTGTAAGGGAAAGTATACTTTGCATACCTCCTCACAGGAACAGTCAATGTCGATCGAATATCCAATGTGGAGGAATGATTTCCAGCTTCTACTTTATTGATATTCATCCTGTCCACATAGATTTTCAACAAAAATCAGTTGCTTGATAACAAAAAATAGACTGTTAAATATGAGGACTCAAAGGTATAAATAATATCTATTACTGAAGTATAATAGCAACATCAAGAATTTATTGAAAAATCAGTTGAAATAAGGAATCACTATGCATAAACAAATAAAGCAATTGAATGCAATAACAATAGAGTGAACAATGTTAAGGCTTTTACCATGCAGATTGCAAAAACTACAATATCTGACAATACATGGAGAAGAAGCATATGAATACATATATTGGCAAAGCCTTTAAATTTGACGTTGAAAATCTAATTAAATGTGATATTAACTCAGAGATTAAAAGTCTTTTAAAAAATGCTGATTATCCTGTTATACTATGAAAATATAATTTTAAGTAACCTGAACAGTTAGAATGTCATGAGACAAATTGAAGCTTAAACAGGTCCACGTATTTATATTTATACCTACTGAAGTGGGGAACAAGCATAGACTGTTTTTCAGCCTTCCGCACATGTTCTGATAAATATGACTCAGCAACTACAGAAATAAGATCTTTCATCTCAATTGCGGTACCCATAAATGTCACTTGACCATCTGGATGAACTTTAATCTTTGAACTAAGGGCTGAATCTTGAAAAATATCTACCAAAGGCTTTGGGATGTAGAATTTGCTTTTTGGGATAAAAGGTGCCAAAGGTTGTTGAGGTTCATCAATGCCTGACAATTGCAAATCCATCAAATCAGACAAGGACATATGTACTCCACCTATCCCTGTTTCAGCAATCTCAGACATGATATACTGCAAATTTTTATCATGCTCAGTGCATTTTTCAACTATGCCAAAGCCGAAAAGTACTGTGCTTGAACAAGTTGCTGCAACCAAGGATAACTGAAATTTCTTAGTAAGACACATAAAATAAACACAACAGATTTACGGCATAAATTATCTTAAACATTCATCACAGAAGTAATTGCAGCATCAATAATCAAATCTACCATCTGCCCTCCAATTACTTACATCACTGTAGCAATTAGCAATGCATCATACCTGAGAGAGAATCAACCTTCATCAGTTAGGTATTACCATAATCTTTTGGTCATTGAATTTAACATTTCACCACTAAAGTAGTAAGTGAAAGAAAGAGGCATAATCAATACACAAGAGACACACACAAGCTGTCCATAATGGCATAAGTTGAGAGGCACCATGCATAATGACAAAATTATTATATCCAGGTGAATGATCGATGTGGATGGATTCCACTCCTCCCTTGACTAGTAGTCTTGCTTGATGGTCATCTCTTCCCAAGGTGGAGGGAAAAAAGTCCTTGTAGGTAATCCTCTACATGGGCCTCTGCTTGCCACTCTTGGATATCAAGCATGTCATTGGCGCCTTGATTGGTAACTTGGAATAAATGGTCCTTACTCCCATAGTGCTTCTAGTAAAGAGAAAAGAAAAACTAACACCGTTCAACCTACAGCAAAGTACCACACTATAGGCTTACATCCACTGACACAAAATACAGAGAAAATTCACTACAATCAATGAAGATTACAAGTAGTCTTCTCTCAACTCTCAAACCATAATCTCAATACATCCAAATTCCCACAGTTGCTAAGATTTAGTACAGTCTATGATCTAACTACTGATTACAAATTTACGATATATATATATATATATATATATATATATAGGTCCATACTGCACGGAGTGCCTCAAAACTTCATTGTCCGCTTGCACAGCATTTTCAGCAGGTTCACGCATTGGCCCAAGATACCCATACATAAATATAAGCCACTTTACAACAAAACTGAGAGTGTATATGCTGGATTATTAGTTATTACATCACCGAATAAAACTTAAGTGGTGTACCTAGGAGCTAACCAAATCAGAAAAAAGTAAACAATCACATAACATTGTAGAAAGAGTTAACCATCAAATAGCTGGATCAAAAACACAACTCAGTAAGCTGCCTGCACACCTTGAACATCAATAAACAAGGGCCCTTGACTTTGAGCTGACAAGTTCACGTTGACAATCTGATTAGAATTGAGCCACTCTTTTTCGGACTTGCTCAACTCCTCAAATGGATTTGGCCTAAAACATGACCGATATCTGATCATTTCTGGTTTAGGTTCAAAAGGCAACAATGGTTGACAACCCTGTCTTACACATAAATTCAAGAAAAAAGAAAAAGTTAGGCCATTATAAAATGACATACATATGAGACAACCTTGATTTCAGAATTTTAACAAAACATTAACTGTTACATACTCACACACATTCGTCCAACTTCAAATTACTCAGTCAAACAACCATAACCATACGCAACTACCTTGATTTCAGAACTTTAATGACACATTAATTATGAAAGAAAATGTCACAAAGTCAATTCCAAAATACAAATATGCTCTATGTTACGCTCCAGTTTTAGGGGGAACCAAACCAATCCATTAATACTAAACCATATTGTTACCTTGGTAATGCTGCAACCGAGCATGGCCAGCTCTTGCTGCATAACAATCCCTGGAGGGCATCCATGAGAAGCCATCAAACACAGTTTCTGCAGCATTCTTTTCGTTTTCTGAGAAACGAGGTTTCGGAAACTAAAATTCCCTCCTTTTGTGGCTCTGTCACGCCCCCATCCACTTATCCCTCCCCGGACCTCAAATCCCTAAGATTTTGCACGATCCGAATCTTTGGGTGGTAACCAAAATTTTAAAAGATAAAAATTAAAATTGGTTTTATGTGATCCATTTGTTAAGTAACCAGAAAATTCCGAACGGCACGGAGTGATAATAACAAAATCCAGGTTGGAGTCCCGTAAAGGACAAGAAAGTGGTTGTTCTCTTCTTCACCTTGGACTTGCTCGGTGGCTTGTTACTGTGTGCCCGGTCGCACCTACACTATCATTCCTAATTCATCTCGACCGTTCATTCTTTTCTCTTACACATCTGGAACGTTAATTACGAGTTAATTTTGAGTTATGAAATGTGCGAGGTCTACGTGTCATGATCCTGGCTGCGCCATTCGTTTCCTGAAAAATCTGTCCTATTGATATTTTGATCGGTTAACGGTGTGTTTCGACGATCAATGAAAATGAGAAAAATAAATAAAATAATGTATTTTTTAATGATAAAAAATAATTAAATAATTGTTATACTTATTAGAATAAATAAAAAATCACTTTTTAATAAATTATTTCGATAGTGATAAAAAATTATTCTAATAAAAAAATAAACTTTTCTTTATGATATTTTTTTTGCAACGTAAATATTTTTAAGCTTTTTTAAATAAATAGAAATAATTTAATAAATAAAACCATGCCCCTCCCTCTCTCCTACTTTATCCTAATTTTAGACAAAAAAAATTGTTTTTAGAGTACATTTTTTTCAGTTGATACCTTAATAGATGTTTCATTTTTAAATAAGTAAAAATTTTAACTATTAAATAAAAACTTAGATTTTATTAAAATCAATAAAAATATAAAATATATGAACTATTAAATTTAAAATTATGGGAAAAATAATTAAAATTAAGATGTATTGCTTATATTGATGTGATATAACAAAAATTAAAAGTTAAATTTCAAATTATGATTAGTTAAGATAACGAAAAATTTAAAATTCAATTTATTTGAAAAAGAAACATCCTTATCTTAGTATTTGTTAAATAAATTAATTAAATAACATAATTACCTTATTAGTCCTGTGAAAAAATGAGTAAACCCTAATTATCTTAGTATCTGCACAAGGATATTTGTAGAGTTTCAATCGTTTGTATAATTGTTACCTGGACTAGTTTTTTTTAATATGCTTGTAATATTTCTAATATAAATTTATTTTTAAAAATATTAATCTTACAATGTCGAAGAAATCCCTAATTAAACGATAATAACAAATAATTTTTAAATTTGAATAATAACAAACTAGAAAAATAAGAGGGTTGTTAGATCAAATTAAAAAGTGTTAGCTAAAATAAAGGTTAAAGATATTTTGTTTTCAAATAAGTATCTGTGCATTTTAAAATCAATAGATAACAATAAATAAATAAATCAGTAGTAGTCGTTAACAATATAGATAATGAGATAAATTAATAAAAAGAAAATTAAACAAATCCAATTATCAAAAAAATAATATATAAAGAAAGAGAAATAGATTCAATCACAATGTAAACGCACTTGTCCCGTAAAGTTTTATCAAACCGGGGTTTTATTGGTGTTTACATCAACAACAAATTAGGAAAGATTGTAGCATCATTTTTTTATTTTTTTATTTATTTGTATATAAAAAAAGCACACCACAGAATAACACTATAGTCAAGTTAATAATTACTAAAAGGCGTTAAAAAAGAAATAACAAAAAAAAAAAAAAATCAAAAGTGAAGTCACGCTTTAAGCGCGTAAAAACATATAAACACTACAATCAAAATGACAGGAGAATTATTAGAGATTTTGAGAAGGAAAAAAGAAAAAAGAAAAAAGAACGTTCCTATCAAGTCAACACATGAAGATCATTAGTCTACATATCATACGTTAACATAGGAAAACTTACGAATAATTTTACACGAAAATTGCAACAAAAAGAAACGGACTAATTAAATTGCCATTGACAAAAATAGACAAATAATAAAAAAATAATACTTTTTGTTAATTACATAAATATTATTAAATTAAAATAGTTTTTAAAGCGCTAAATAAAAATATATTACATAATTTATTTAACCATGGTTTAACAACCGGGCTTAAAAGAAACTTTATAAGAACGTGTTTTTTATTTTCTAATGGGGTAATTGAGGCGCCGCCAAACCTGACTAAAATTTACAGCTTCACTCACCGCCGTCGGAGTCGTAACTTCTTTGAGGCACTGAGCTTTGCTTCTGAGATTTTATGCACACGTGTCATCAAAGCAAAGCGAGTTGGCCAATGACTTAGCTGAAAACCACGCGCAGGCGCGTCACAGCTAAATTAATTTCCATTTTTGCTGTCGGAAGTTAAACATTTAAAAAGCCATTAAAAGTTATCGTCATTGCCATTCATAATTTCTCTTTCATTCTCTCTCTCTCTCTCTCTCTCTCTCTCTCTCTCTCTTCGTTTCTTTCTTCCCCCTTTCTCAGAATCCAAACCCTAGAAATCCGTCCTTCGCAATCTCATAAAATTCCCCAACAAAACCCTAGATTTCCTCACAGAATTCTTACTTTCCCGAGATAAAGAGTAACATCTGACCCCATTATCGTGAGTTCGCGCGCAGATCGCAGATCCTGTCAATCTCCGTCGCTTCAATTTCCTATCTCCGATCGGGTTTGGATTCTGATAAATCTCTCCGTAATTTCAAGGCATTGGTGATCTAGCTCTCGTGGCTTGCGCATGGGTAAGATTCTGCGAGAAACCTCGAGGCCATCCTCCAATTCTGCGTCGCCGTCATCGTCCTCGGCTCCGTCAACGACATCGTCGACGTCGATCACCGATACGGTGAGGGGTTCGCACCAGTTCAAGATCACGGGGTATTCTCGGTCGAAAGGGATTGGGATTGGAAAATACGTAGCCTCGGATATTTTCTCGGTGGGAGGGTACGACTGGGCGATCTATTTCTACCCTGATGGGAAGAGCGTAGAGGACAATGCTACCTACGTGTCTCTATTCATTGCGCTCGCTAGCGAGGGGACCGATGTTAGGGCTCTTTTCGAGTTGACCTTGTTGGATCAGAGTGGGAAGGAGAGGCACAAGGTGCATAGCCATTTTGAGAGGACTCTCGAGAGTGGACCTTACACGTTAAAATACCGTGGTAGCATGTGGTGAGCGTGAGCGAATTGGCTTGTCTTTTTTATTCTTTTGATTTCGCGTAATTTTTAATCTGGCTTTTATTCACTTGGCTTAGTTCCGGTCCTAATATTTTGTTGAGTGTGGTGTTTGTTTGAGAACGATTGGAGAGTCGCTTTGTTTAAATTTGGGACGATTGTTATATTCTTGTTATAGAAAACCCAATCTTTGGTATAAGTGGGAACGCGTTTTTTTCTGTTGGTTTGGCTGCATTGTTACGATTTTTTTTAGAAACTGAAAAATTGAAAATAATTTGTATAAAGCTTCATGACTGAGAAGTCCGGAATTGTTAATTTTGTTGGAAAGATAGGTCATGAGTTTAAATGTGTGTTTTCGTTGTTGTTGGAAAAAGGTGATGGAGGCAAGGGGAGGGTTCATGTTATTCGAGAGGTATCTTGTCAGAGATTTATTCTATGTCATGCAAACATGTTTCACTAAACTGAAGCTTAGTTATTAATTCTTCAGATTACATGTGGGCGGGGTTGGTTTAGAATCCTCCCCTTAAACAACATGAAGTGATCACGTTCATGGAATGAGAGCACAAGAGGTGATAAGAGCTAATCTTGTCCGCACAACCAAACATGGATGGTAAAGCTCGAAACTAGTATTGATCATTCATGTGAGATTAAGTGGTCAAAATTAGCTCTTTTCATGCTCTTGCTTGATACACTCTCAGTTTATATGTATAATATTGAAATTAACTGTTTTCCCCCTAGAATATATTTGTGAATATATGATGAGTTTACTGCATGATTTTGGTTTGGTCAAACACCTCCTTAATAAGTACATGGAACTTTTTGTGACAAGAAAGCTGAACAAAAGTCAAGAGGCTAATTGCTTGAAATTGGGTGTTTCAGGGGTTACAAGCGATTTTTTAAGAGAACAGCACTAGAGACATCAGACTACCTTAAAGACGATTGCCTTAGTGTTAATTGTAGTGTTGGTGTTGTAAAGTCACACACAGAGGGCCCTAGAATATATTCGGTCCGAATTCCACCTTCTAACATTGGTCAACAATTTGGGAAGCTACTAGAAAGTGGAAAAGGCAGTGATGTGAGCTTTGAAGTGAATGGAGAAATTTTTTCTGCTCATAAATTGGTACTAGCAGCTCGCTCTCCTGTTTTCAGGGCCCAACTTTTTGGTCCTATGAAAGATCAGAATACACAGTGTATAAAAGTAGAAGACATGGAGGCTCCAGTTTTCAAGGTTTGAATGAATGCTTTCTATCTCTGCCCTGATATATACACTGTACTGCATGATTTTTAAAGTTATTTACCTTGGTTTTCCTTTTACACCGTTGCTAAGCATATTGTTGCAGCTGACTTGATGCCCAATTGTTACTATTCTTTTCATGATAGCTTATCTTTGCTGATTTTATTCTTTTTTTTTATTTCTAATACATTATACCTTAAGAAGAATGCCCTAATTGTGTTATTTATTAATGTATATTGAAATTTATTGAATCCTGTGAAAAGCAATGCAGATAAACGAGGCAACCATTTATTTATATATATACACATTTTTTTCAAAGTTAATTTTGGGTTTGGTTTCTTGAACACCCATTGACTCCATACAGTTGACATACAATTATTACATGCAGCGTTTGTTTCTAATGACATTGTGGCATTATTTAGTTTGGCAAATAAAGCTTAACAATATGCATATGGAGTGAGCAACTTGTCTGCTGTGCTATACCATATTTCTCTATTTTGCAGGCGTTGCTTCATGTTATATACTGGGACTCACTACCTGACATGCAAGAGCTTACTGGGTTGAACTCAAAATGGGCTACGACCTTGATGGCTCAGCATCTGCTAGCAGCAGCTGATCGCTATGGCTTAGAGAGACTTAGGCTGATGTGTGAAGCAAGCCTATGTGAAGATGTCGCAATAAACACTGTTGCTACAACTCTAGCCTTGGCAGAGCAGCATCATTGTTTCCAACTGAAAGCAGTCTGTCTGAAATTCATTGCAAGGCCTGAAAATCTTAGAGGTGTGTTTTTGTTCTTTTAACTTTCATTTGTCAAAAACACTCAGCTAGAAAAGTTCCAATATTAAGGGGTAGTTGGGACATTTAAAGGGCTTGAAATCATTATGTAATTATCATTTAGAGTTAAATATGTTGCTAACTGTTATGCTTGTCATTCCGTATTAATGCCTTTCAGTTTGAACTTGAACGAAAATATGCTACACTATGATCATCTGTTGTTGCCTTTTAACAAATTTTTCCTTATTAAAAAAACTATTTATTCATGCAAATTTATAGTGACCTTAAGAATTCTCTATATAGTCTTGTTTCTTAAACTCACCTGATTAGTGATTTATAAGATGGCTTTTACCCAAATCTTTTGTTATAAATTTATATTGATTAACAACAATTGAAAATCTTTTTGTACTTTTCTATTTTTCATCCTTAACTATAATAACTGAAGAATTTTCTTCCCTTTTGTTTCTTCAGCTGTGATGCAAACTGATGGTTTTGAGTACTTGAAGGAAAGTTGCCCATCTGTTTTGACTGAGCTTTTGGAGTATGTAGCTAGATTTACTGAGCATTCGGACTTCATGTTCAAACATAGGAGTGAAGCAATACTTGATGGCAGCGACATAAATGGAAGGCGTGTGAAGCAAAGGCTATAATGTGAACCCTGATCAGTTTTCTGTACGACCCTCTGCCCTCGCCTTTGAAAATTACAGTGAGAACCATATATAGGGGGAGATTATAAGCATTTATAGGATTAGAGGCAATTTTTAATTTTCTTAGCTTCATGTCTAGCAGATGTAAATGTGGTTTGTTTTGGTACTGCTCTGTCTCGCATAGGTCTCTGTGATACGTTTTCTCGTTAAAAACATTGGTCTGCAATGAAAGTATTGATTTCTGATGTGTCATTTTCCTTCCCTTCTTTTTTCCCTTTTACATGTGTTTTTTGATATTCTACATATTCCCGTAGAGTTGATCCCGTAGAAAAAGTCTGTTCGGGTGAAATAGAGTCTCAATGCTTTTGCGTGGATATGAACGTGGCTTGCTCCTTCGGTAAATAATTTCATTTCAAGTGAACTAATGAAAATGTCTATGAAAAAATAAAATAAAAAATTGATATAATTTTTAATACAATATTTTAACTTTAATGAATTTATTTAAAGTGGAGTTATTTACCTCGTGAAATAATATTGGCAAACATTATCAATACTTTTAGGTAAACATGGAGGAATAAGATCCCTGAGAATTGTGGTTTTGACAAAATTAACATTTTAAGGGATGTCGTTAGTAAATGATATACGTGAGTGACAAACTCAACAGTCAACACTCTATGATTATTACTATCAATTTTAAGGCAAAAAAATTACCTTAAAATATAGTAGAGATTGAATTCTGCTACAGGCAATAGTTACATGAAAATTTGTTACATGTTGATGATGAATTAATCCACTTGATTGTTGGGTTAAAAACTGAAGTTTTAAATGGGAAAAAACTACGTATAATTAAAATATATACTTGAAAGATTTTGAGTTCGATTTTTTTTTTGTGGTTTTTCATTGGTATTACTAAGTCATTGTTAAGTATTATTAAAATAAGACAATTCCCACTCTTCAATTTTTACGTGCAAAAGAGTGATTATTTACCTGTAAAATTTATAATTATCTAAAAAAATGGTGAAAATAACTTGAGTTTGTTCTTTATATTTTGTTTTAAAATATAAAGAGTGAACCTTTAAATTGTTATCAAAATTATCTAACTCATGTATTTTAGTCTCTCATATTTTAAAAACCTTTTGTTTTGCCCAATTTTGTAAAACAATATTTACTTTAGTCATTTTTAGGACAAAACAACAGTAGTAAATAAGGTGAAAAATGATAAAATTAAATTACCTTTTACAAAGTTAGGGACAAGTATAAGATTTAAAAATTATAAACTAAAATATACAACTTACACATTCTTTAACACTAGTCTAGAAGTTTATTCAAAACAAAAGAGTTTTACTAACCAAAAATGTATTAAGAAATTAAAAATATGTTTTTAAAAAATGATTAAAAATCATGAAAAGAGACATATTAATATTTTAATATAAATTTTTACTTTTAATTTTTTAATCAATATTTTTAAACACTAATTAATATTTATCAAAATATAACTATAATTATACTTATTTGTCAAAATTAACGTGATTGCCAGCATATTCATGTATACATTAATATGTATTTTAAATGACATTTAGTATTTTAGTCATATTTTGAGTTGTTACATTATATATATAATTCATAACTAAAATCAATATATATATTCTAAGCACATTAATAGACGTGATAATTTATTTTTTTTTATTTTCTCTTCTTTAATTTTGTTACTTTTTCTCAACCTTGTTAGTATAATTGTACATCAATTGCGTATTTAGTGAAAACCTATACTTTATCGCTTTTAATTGAATATTTGTTTCGCATTTTAAACCGGGGGGGGGGGGGGGGTGACCTCATACACACTACAACTTAAAATGACTTATTTAATAAACAAATAAGATTGGATAATACAAATGCTTAAATATGGTTTCATAAATTGATGCAATAATCAGAATAGTATATCAAAACACCACTTAAATTTTGCATGATCTTTCGTTTAATTACTTTGGCTTTTGTAAATTTTATTATTTTTCAAAGTATAAAAATTTGACAAAGATTTTGTATTTGCACATTTGGATTATAAATAGATAATCTTTGACGAAGGACTCAGATTTTAAACCCTTTCCGACAAAACCCCGTTTCCAAGAGAACAGAGATAGCAATTGCATACTTTTGCTCTTTCAACTCTGTTTTCATTTCATTCAAATCTCTCTCACAGTGAGGATGAACCTCTTCTCTCTAACCTCGCCACTTCCCCTTTATTGTTCATCCATTCCTATAACTACGGTTCCTCTGTTTCCCTCTTATTTTTCTCCCTGCAAATGCACATCAGGCGCAGGTTAGTCATTGCCGCCACATTTTTCATGCCATGGCCCACTCGTTCGCTCTCCAAATTGATTATTTCCTTTCTTGTGTTGGGGGTTTTGCTCACAGTTTTAAGGAGATGTGTCAACGAGGAGAAGGAAGAGGAGCTTCTAGAAGGGATGCCAAAGGAGTACTATGATGATGTATGTATGCACCTTTCTCGACTGAATCGTCATTGTTTATTCTTCACTATTTTACAACCTGAACTGAAGGCCCTTCTAGATATTTTTGCCATTTTCAAGTATTCTCTTTTATAGAGGAGTTTCCCTATCTTAAGGTGCCTTTGATAAATAGTTTAATTAAGTATTTATTCGGCAAGTCCTCATCACATATATCATAATTCTGATTACAAAACTTATTCGAATAAGCTAAAAAAACACTTGTTTTGCTAAGTTACACTAAGATGCTTATAGAATAGAATTAATTAAAAATAATTCACGAGAGTTAAAAGTTATTTTAATAAGTTCCTCGTAGTTAAAAAGTTAATTAAATTCTTATTCATTAAGTTATTTTTAAATGACGATTGATGTTATAAATTTAATCATGGAACTTATTAGGATAAGTTCAAAACATCTTATTTTGATAAGTTATATCAACAAGCTAATTGTGATGAGCTAAAAAGAGTTTACGAGAGTCATAAAGTATTTCCGTAAGCTGTTTATATGCTCTTCCAAACAGGTCAAAAAGTTATTTTCATAAGCTCTTTCGAATATCGCCCTAATACTATCTGAGTATTTATTTTTGCTGTGAGCTTCCTCCTATTTCTTATTCAATTGTCTTTGTATTCCCTGCTTGATTAAATCTTTGAAGGAAAAATGATGTTACTTCATTCAAATTTCAGTTCTTGTTTTGCTGGTCAATTAGGCTGTGCTTCTACTAACAGCCATGGCAATGGCAGAGTATGTTTAGGGAAAATATATCATCTTATCTTTAATGCCTGTCCTGATTCTGATTTTTCAAGTTTGTTTTCTGTTTGATAACTATCATGTCAAAATGATGAGTAGATGGTTTTCTTCTTGATTGTGGAATATCAACCATAAAAAGCATTGTTTTGTGATTTGAGTGTGTATCTTGGTTTGCATGTATGTTATGTTGTAAATTAAAATTGGTGGAAAGTTTTATTTGGGTAGATTTCATTAACCTTCTCTAGGATAGGAATGGCAAGCCCGACAACGTGAAAAGACCAAGGAGTTGCATCGAAGGCGTAAACAAGAAGAAGAGGAAGAAGAAAGAAGGACTGAAGAGTATCGTGAAATTGGCATGCGGCTGAAAGAATACCCAGAAGAAGATGTCATAGAAGCAAGGAAATTAGTTTCAAGCTTTATCACGGCTGCTGAAGAAGTTGAAGAGGTAATTCTTGGTGAAGTAATATACTGATTGTCATGCAGATAAAAAATGCCATCATGAACAAGTTTATTTTCAATTTATAAATTTACAATGGATTGCATCTGAGTTCCTCATAAAAATAATCATGCATGTTGTACAATGGATAAATGTTTAGGGCTTATCTTGATAAAATGTTGGGTTACCAAGCTGAAGCTTGGGGTGTTTTTTCTTGACCATATAGGGATCATCTGGTGAACATCAAGAACCTAATAGTACTGCAATTGACATCCTGGGTCACTAACTAACTATATAATGGAATTCAAATGAGAATTGACTTTGCAAACTTAAAACTGACGATCACATAGTTGTTTATAACACAGTGAATCTGATACCTGGACTGGTAAATTTGACATGTTTGAAAAAAATATGCATTTTTTTTTGTAAAAGAAGCTAATAAAAAAGAAAAAGGTTACAAGTGTTGCCTTATCTAAGAATATGATGAAAGGAAACTGACCAATTTCTAGAAGGAAGTTTTTGAATGCTGAAGGAAATTGTGGTGTAGTTCACATTATTAGAGAAAAAAAAAGATCTAATGAAAATCAAGGCAAAAAAGAAAGGAAAGTAATGGTCCACATCACAATTGCCTTCTTAACATGTTATTGCATAAATTTTACATATCATTCAATTATATCCAGTTTATAGTGATTCATTAATAACTCGTGCATCATTTATGCAGTTAACAAAGAAAATAGTAATATTGTAAAGAAAATGTTATAATTCCAGATGGTATAAGCCTTTTTACACCCACATGAATATCATTTAATAGATATTCAGAGATATTGACTGACCTTTTCTCTGATAGAGAATTGAGGAAGCTGCTGAGAAAGGAGAACTTACCGAACTTGTTTTAATGGTCATATGGAATCGCCTTGATCTTGCTCGGCGTGATGTAAGTTGGCATTTTAGAGTATGAAATATTTTAGTTATATATTTCAATTAACTTGTGCACAGGGTTTCGTTTTGTGATGAAAAGAGTAGCATATGTTTCTAAAAGAACTCTGTGTAATTTCTTTTCATCCTCTGGCTCTCGCTATCTTGTTTTATTCATTATCTTGGCATCTCTTTACAGGAAGAAAAGGATGCTATTAGAAGCCTGGATCTGTTATACAGAAGGGTTGAGGTAATAACTGTCCCTTTTTTTTTGGGACTAAGACTGTATAGCTGTTCTTTTAATTGAAAAACTTACCTCTCCCCCCTCCAATCCATATTTCCACTCACACACTTCTAATATGACAGACCTAGTTTGATATTTGCTGGAATTTGATGTCTTAAGGGCCTAAAAGTAAACTTGTCAAAATTAACTGGTGTTTTGGTGATTTATTAAAGTGCTTACAGCAGAACAAGGAAAACTGCTGTTAGAGAGAAGCAAGAATCAGTGCTTCTTCTCTTGGGAACTAAAAGCATATGCAAATAAATTTAAATTTAGACTAAATTTTTTTCCTTTAAATAGAACTTTTGATGCAACCACAATTTAAAAATAATAATATTCTTTCTCAGTAAGGCCAATGGGTTCCAGTACTACAAACCTCCCCAGTTGACTTTGGTGGTTGCATTTTCCTGTGGTCATGGCAGAGAAGTTTTGCATTGAATGATTTATTCAAATCTTCCTTAGTTTTCTGCAGTGGCCATTCTTCTGTTGTGTGCGCCACCATTAAGAACCTGGGGGTTATCAGGTTATTCTAATAAGTTATGTGTTTCTTTAACAATCTTTGTTGAATTTAATCCTAAAGAATATGATTTTATTTGTGTTCCATTCTTTAAAATACCTTGGATATTATTGACCTTTTCCTTCCCTAATCTGAATTTGCACTAACTTATTACTCCTTTTCATTTTTTTCCTGTTCTTTATTGTAGACTGAAATCTTGAAACAAGAGGCTACCCCTGCTATGCGATTGCTCAATGATCTTTTGATTATGTATGATGGCTTTGATTTTGAAGAATGGCTAAAGAAATGTAAAAAGGTCATGATTGATACATTTCCACGGGAAGATCCATTTAGTATTCTTGTTCCACCTGGTTTCGAGTCATTTGACATAGATAAGGTAAGCTGCACCTATAGGTTACAAGGCTTAAACTTTAGTCAAGTGATGTCTAGTAGTTCCTTTTAAGTGCCCCTCTCTCTCGTGATAATAACTGAAGCTTTAGTTCAGAATAATTATATGATTGAGGTAGATTGTAAGATATAGTTGGAAATATCAATACCAATTAGAGTTTGAACAAATATATATATATATATAAATAACCAAAAGTTTACTTCACCACGTTAAAAATAGGTAGTTTACTATTCAATTGATAAATGTTCACAGTAATGATTGAAATTAATCATTGATATAAATTGGTTAAGCTTAACACAAATTTATTTGTTTATGCATTGGTCAAAACTAAAAGTTAGATGGTATATATTCCGTTTTAACTAAGATTTTTGTATGCTAGAAATCACCTCTGGTTGTACCTCCTGATAAATTTTTGTTTTCAATCTTGGCTGATCTGATGTCAGCATCATGGACCATTGCGACCATCAGTAGAAGTCGATGATAGTCTTTTGAGGGTGGACTTTGTAAGGGAGGTGGATGCATTGCTGCAAGAGGTTCGTTCTGAACAGAGTGAAATGCAGGATGAACCAGGGTTTGATCCTGAATCCGTTGCAAATAGATTGAAACTACAGGAGAAGCAGCAAACAATACGCCAAGTAGAAGCTCTGCTAGATTTAGCCATTGGTTTGAAATGTTAAGGCTTTGGTAAGGATTTGGCCTGGCTTGCATTTTGATTCATGTTGGTTGAGTAATCTGACAGTTTATATACGTGAATAGGAATTAGTATGCACTGCATTTGAAATCCAATTAGCTTCATCTTGTGGTATCTATTTCCCTTCTAAAGGACGTAAAATTACAGTACCAAGCAGAAAAAAAAAACCGGGCCATAATGTAGACATTGCAATTTTGGGTGATCCTGTATTTTTAGAGGTTCAAGTGTGTTAGAAATTTAGGGGTTGTTTGGTTTAAGAAAATATTTCTTTTTCACTTTTAATTATAAAATTACGTTTTTGGTTTTATTCTTTTTTCTATTTTGAAAGATTTGTGCAAGAAACAGGTGTTAACTAAATGTACATTTGGCGATCCTGTACTTGATAAATCAAAGACTGAATATGAACAATAGAACATAAAATTTTAACAAATCACCTCTGTGGTGTCACTCTAGTAAATGCTATGGTTTGATGATAACCATGAGTGGTGTGGTAATGAGCTATAATTACTGCATTTATACGTTCGTGAATTCTATCCTTGGTCAGAAAATAAAGTGAGGGAGGAGGTTGGAATAGCCCTGCATTAAATAATGCCAAAATAATATGATGATAACTATAAGGAGGTTGGACTGCATTTATACCTTCTATCATAATTATAAAATAATAACGTGTTAATCAAACAATATATTAATTCAAAAAATTTAATTGATTATTTTAATTTACTGATTACGATCATATGCCCTAAACCTATGAAAAGTATATTAAAGTTAGCATATATATATATATATATATATAATATTATTAATTAAAAAATTTCATAGAGTACTGTTGCAAAAAAATAATTGATTAAACTATGATTTAATTTAATTGATTGATTCGATTTATGAAATTTATTGATTAATTATAATAAAATATGACAAATTTAGTGTAATGATATGTTTTTATTATTAAAAAATTATAAAAATAAAAGTTAATCTGTTAACATTGTTTATAAATAATGCAATAAATCTTAATAAATCAATGAATTAATTAATTCAAATGATTTAATTTATTTGTTCAATTTAAAATTTCATTGATTCATTGCCATGAAATATCTCAAACTTACGTAATTGTATATATTCTTATTAGTTATTAAAAACAATTGCAAAATATAAAAAAAGTGAAAATTTGTTTTGACTTTAAAGCTGTCATTCTGTATGATTTTGACAATAAAACTTTTATACATAATTATATTGTTGAAATTTATAATTTTTATAATCTTAAAATAAAAAATAATCTTATTCAATGTGTCATGCATATATAACACATTCAGTACTTGCTGATGTTTGTTAAATTTTGAGCTTTCAAACAAATTTTGTAGTGAGTACAAATTAATTTTTAAGACAAGTGAAAATTTTGTAACTATTTTGTTTGGTAAAATTGGTAATGGGTATAAGATGTATAAAACTCTTAAAATTTTTTTTATTTATATTAAAAATAAATTTATTTTGTTATTTAAACAACTTCATTTTTATTTTTATAAAAGGTCAATTATTTCTAACATCAGTTTTAAAATGAAAATTAACTAAAATCTAAATAAAGCCAACATGTCTTTCATTGGCGTAAACGTCCGATTGAGAGTTGAAAATGAAAAGATGAGGATTTCAATCCTCTATACTTACTTTGGCCTCATTCATTTAATTTATTTTATTATACAGTAAATTAAAATCATAAACTAAATTTGATAAACTTCAAGGGTTAAATTTACAATTGGGCACACTGCAGTTTCTTTTAAAACTGTAGAGATCCGTATCCAGGATCAGATTCCAATTGATTTAATTTTGAAAAAATATGTATGCATGAATTTTATTCAAATTTAAATGAATTTTTATTTTATATAAAATAAATATCCAATGATCTAAATGAATAAATGCAATGTAAAATCAAGCACGATTTTGTTTTCTTTTAAAACGGTAGAAATCCATATCCAAGATATTTCAATTGATTTGATTTTGAAAACTTCTCGACTTGGATGTATGCATGAAGGTTTCATTATCTTACTAAAACAATAAACAAATAATAATTTATTTTAACAATATACTATTTATAATTTTTAACTAACATCTTAAGAAATCAATTAATAAGATAATTTATTTGATTTTGCAAAAAATATTTGTGGATAGAGAGGGATTCCTTCCGACAAACGGTGGTGGACTTGTTTTGGCATTGGCAGACTTTTTTTGAATGCTAAATTATTGAGTTATCAATTTCCTTTGATTGACGCAACTCTGCAACCTAATTATTGAGTTAACGCCAGCCAGCTCAAACGTACCTACTCAAACTTTCTACTTCTCTTAAAAAAACAATATCATATTCTTTTTTTCAAATTTTATAATTTTGTCTATTAAATATCATTCCATAACAATTTCATCAATTCAAAATTAAATCACAAATAACTATTGCCTTTTGTTATTTAATATCTGTTTTTTTATGTTTTGTTTTGTAATCTTGAATAGTCATTTTAAAACAACATTGGAACAAACTCCTTGGATTATATGTTTTTCAGACCAAAACGTAAAATTTTGACAGCTAAACAACTCTGTACGATTTAAATAGCATTTTCAATATTCTATATCACAAAGGACAAGACGTGCTTTGTTAGGTTTAGTGAAAAAACAGGGTACAGAAAAGAAAGTGTAAAAAGTAATTCTTTTACTTGTTTAGATATATTATCATGTGAGGTTTACTATTTAATCATAATGATCAGATTTGGGCGAGAAAGGGATGTGATTTTTTTAAAGTTTTTATATCTTATTGAAATTGTTTTTTAAAATAATTAAATAATTGTATAAGTGAGAAAAATAAATCATATTATTTTGTTGTTAAAATAATTTTAATGTTATTATAATTTTTAATGTAAATTAGTTTTTTTTACTCATATAGAGAAGTAAAAGGTTTTTTTTTCCATTTATTTATTTATTTATTATCTAAATAACGCATTCTTTCTATCTTTCATCTTTCATATTTTTTCTTGTTCACTCCTTTTCTTACTTATTTGTTTATTCATTTTTCTCTTCATACAAACATTGCATACATGCTTATTTTCTTCGAGAACTGATATATTCTCTCTATCTTAAAATAAGTTTGTTGACAGTGATTAAAAAATAATAAATTAATTAGTTTTATTAATTATTAGTACTATTATTTATTCTTCTTATTTGTTAAAAATTTAGCTCATATACTGTTAAAAAATTATTATATTTATTTTTTATTTGAGACATTTTATAGCCCGTGCAACGACAGATTAACTATTTGAATATTTTTAGAATTCTTGATCAACAGTTGTTTTAATTTTTTCTAATATAACTAACATATGTAAATTTCGTATATTATTTATCTTTAAAAGTGGTTGAGTTGAATTTTATATTTGTGCAAATTTTACGTGATAAAACTAATAAAACAAGGAAGAGATAAAACACTCCACGTGAGATCAACCGTACATCTTGATTAATAATTCTAATCTACAGTTATTTACGATAGAATTTTGAATATAAAGTTTTTTAGATACAACATATAAACAAATAACAATAGACTTGCTTCATGGAACACGTATAGGAAATAAATCCGATATTAAAATCATTTCAACAATTCTACTTTCTCTTTGCTTTCTTCTTCATCCACAGTATCACAAAATGCCTTTCCTTTTGTTTCTGGCAAACATACTCCAAATATCCCACAGCACCCTATTCCCAACCCAAAAACTCCATAACACAAAAATTTACGTTCTCTACCAGCTGCTACCAGCAAAGGACCAAAAACACCACCAAATGCCACTACTTGCCTCACCAATGACAATGCAGAGTTGCGTATAGAAGTTGGAAACAATTCAGTGGTGTATATTAGAACAACATCACACGCAGTGCATGCACAAAAGAATGATATCAACTCAAAAACAATTTGTAACCTTGTCATTATCTTCCCTTCCATGACTGCTAAAACACTTGAAATCCCACTCATGATAGTGAGAAGGAAGATCGCGCTTCTCCTATTGAACTTGTCTAAGAGAATGTAAGTAACAAAAGAGGACGGAATTTCTGCCAAGGCATTAAATATGACACCCAAATAAAGGTTGAATGCCAAATTTTGAAGGGCTAGTGGCATACCATAATAAACCAAACCAATGCCTAAACCCATGGCTGAAGTCCCCAATATCCGTCTTGAAGACCAATTCTTTTGCAACATTATCTTAACGGCTGAGTACAAATCAACGTTACAAACTTCTTCCTCAAGGGACAATTTTGATATAGCCAAATTTAAGTTACTGTGACTGATTGATGTATTAATGCTTTTCAATACTTCCACAGCTTTTTCTTTCTTACCCCTTATCAGAAGCCATCTTGGAGACTCAAGAACCAAAAAATAAACCAATCCACAGTATAAAATAGATGGAAGTGAAGTCCATAAATATAGGTTTCTCCATGAAAACCCTCTGTTTATGTAAGCCAAAGGTGACAAGCTAAAAAACCCTGCACTGAAGAAAAAGAAACCCATAACACCAAGCTTCCCATGCCACCCTTTTGCAACAAGTTCAGAAACCAACACAAGTGCTGCAGTGCCAATCGTGCCACGACCAAACCCACTGAAAAATTTAAGCACCGAGTAAATCCAAACACTGGCTGAAAAGGTGGCAAGGAAGGAAGAGAGGGACATAAAGAGGCATGAGAAAAAGAGCATGTTCTTGCGTCCAAGTGAGGAGTCAGCAAGAGTTGCCAAAACAAGCCCACCAATCAAGCAACCTGCGAAGAACATTGAAGCCGGAAGGCCCATGACTAGGGAGCTCTTACACTCCAAGCCCCATTCTGAGATGATGGAGATTTCTACGGGCCCATCCCAGGCCCATGACTCCCTAGGAACATTACACGTGTTCGTTTCCGAAGTGCATGAATCAGTGGTGCAGTGCCACGATGGTTGTGCATCTGTGAAGATAGTGATGAATGTCTGTTGACCATCAAAGAACCAAGAAAGGGAAACAAGAAGAGCTTGGAGGAATTGGGTCCAGTTGAGTTCTCCAATGCATTTGTCTACTGTTGAGCTAAGAGAAGATGAGTGTTGTTCATCATCTTGATGTTGGATGAATGAGTCTGAAGAGTTAGATTGGGAGAGAAGATGAATTGAATCCACCATTTCCAACTCTCTATGCTTTAATTGTGGAAAAGTTATGCCGTGCACGACTCTTTTAATAGCATTTTGCAAGAGGCACGCATTGGGGTGTGTGCCAATATTTGTAATTTGGTAGGTTAATATTTAATTCTGTTCCTCCCTAACAATTAACAAAATCGGTCCCAAATTCAATGCTATCCATCTACTCTTTTTAACTTGATTATCAAATATTGATGTTTATATCCCTACATTTTAAAAGAGATGGTTGATTGAAAGAGTTTTATTTGAATTTAAAGAAAAATTTATCACTTTCTTCCAATTCTTTAAATTATTTGACTATTTTTTAAATATTAATATGCTTTTTAATTTCTTTTAAGAACTTTTGAAGTTAAAATTATGAATAGATTTTTTATTGATAAAAATTTATTGAATGCGTATTTAGCTAAGAATTATTTATCAAAACATGCTTTACATGTTTCATGATTCTTAATATTAAATGTCATTCTCAATGATTGCGGATCTGCTAGTTTAACTACATAAAAATAATTTTATAATACAAAAGGATATTAATTATTAGTAATGCTGTAATTATTTATGTATTTGTATATATTTATATGTGCATATAGACACATGTGCGTGTATATATATATATATATAATACTAATTGAAGGTGCTGGATGATGGGTCTGTTGCTAGCATAGCGTTGGATATCTTGTCATAGGGAAAATTTTATCTTTCACGTTCGAGAGGTGGATTCTGACATGAACTTGCAAAATCCGTGAGCATCAGGTCCCCACCAAAGTAACATTGTATTTGTCGTTTTTTTTTACTTTATAATTTATTTGTTTTTACTTTATTATCGTTTATCTATTTTTTTTCTCTATTTACCTATCACCCAAATAAAGCCTTAAGCTAGGTAAATTATACGACGACTAAATTAAAAAAAAAACTAATAATTTTAATAACAAAATCAGTATAATCAAGTAAATTCAATATATTCTAACTATTTATTTAATTTTATTATATCCGAAGTTAATATTGTAAGAAATTATCGTGTATCAAAGTTTACAAGTGCATTCTAGACGGCACTTGGAGATGTGATGCCTTTCTGTCAGCAAATCTATAGTGGGGTGCTTAGCTGCTTCTTGCATTATGGGTTGTTCAGAAGCTCAATGGATCTGATCCTCCCAATTCTGAATTAAATGCAGGGTGCAGTTTTTAACCTAATCATTCAAACTTATTTAATAAAATTTAATATTGCATTAATAAAAGTTTAAGGGTTCACAGCACCACCTTGTTTTTTTGGGTCAAACACAACCTTGGTATTTGTCATCACCTTCCGAAATGATATAATTAAAAAAGTTCGTAGTCCACTGTGAAGCCCAAGAAGGCCCAAAGTAAAGAGTATAAGCCCAGAAAAATAAGTGGGCCTTGCCGAGGAACATATTGGAATGCTGAAAAATGGAGGGGCACAGTAAAGTCACGTGCACGGAAGTGTGTGTAATGACCAAAGGGCATAGTCATCTCAATTCTCATCACAACTCACCGTTATTTAACTCTCTCTATATTAGTCAGCATTAAGCGCACGTTAGCCCACTTCACAGAGACTAAGAGCCCATGTTCCGTGTCCGTGCGCACCCTAGCTAGCTTCCACCTAACCAACTCATATCCCCCCTGAAAACCACTTGCGTTCCACAAAAATCCCTTCAAACTCTCCTCTCTCCAAATTAGGGTTTTCTTTAACACGCACTGTGCCACACCCACTCCGTTTCTCTCCGATCCCTCGCGTTTCAATGCCTGCCAATTCCGTCGCTAAATTCTGCACAGTGCCAATCCCTTCCATTATCCACCCAATTCGGCATTCGATTCAGTTCATATCACTTCTTCCCCTCATTTGACTATAGGGTTCCACCTATGGCGCCTAGCCGCAGAAAGGGCGCCACCAAAGCGGCGGCGGCGGCGGCCGCTCGCCGCCAATGGAAAGTCGGCGATCTTGTGCTTGCCAAAGTTAAGGGGTTCCCTGCATGGCCTGCCACGGTAGGTTTCGCTTTCTACTTTACAATTTACAGTTAAAGATTATATTTTTCTGTTGATTTTGGAGCTTAAAATGTGTTTTTGAATGTCTCTGGACTGCATGTTGGGTAGTGTTTAGGATTATTGGTTTAGGGTATCAATTCTTCTGGGATGCTTGTGGATCCAAACTTAAATTTCATGTCTTTTTGAGTTCTTTCCTGTGTGATGATTCTAGAAGACAGATAGCTGAGGGAAAATCCTGGTTTTTTTTACCTTAAAGTCTTAATCTTGCTTTATCATACTTGGATTTTACAGGATTCTTGACTCACTCAGGTGTATATGTTGTAGATATATTTAGTGCATAACTCGGATGGGGTTGTCAAGTTTTCAAAATTTAGCTGCAAAAGAGAAGGCGGCTTCTTATTTCTTTGGCAACAGTGATGGAGAAGATAGAAATTAGTGACCATAGACTGAAACTAGAAGGCGGCTTTTTGTTAATTCTTAATCCTGTCTCTCCTCCTAGGGAAAAAATGATGAATAATTAGCACGACTAAAGCTATGTTTGGTACACGATTAGATTTTAAGGGGAAAAAATCCTTAAACGAGGAGGACATAATTTTTAAGCCATTTCACCTTGCTTTTCCTTTCATGTTTTGCAAGTTTATGTAGAATCTGATGAAGTCTCTGTGCTGGAGAACATAAAAACTGCTGTCTTTTACGGAGGGATCCTGGTAGCCCTTGTTTGGTTGTTGAGAGTGTCTGGTTGAGGAAGACAAACACTGAAAATGGAGATACCCTGTTAGCGTTCCCTCTGTTTAGTAACCTAGGGAATCTAAGATTGATTGAAGTCGTTTCCATTTCCTTGCTAACAGAATCAATGATCTAACTGTATATCCTCAGTGCATGTCCTCAGTGCCCCCCACCCCTCATTATCAAAACACTGTCTGACTGTCATCATCAATGGTGATCTTGTTTATCAGAATAAATTAGGGTCTATGGTGAGATACACAAAAGCAAGAACACCTGAGAGATACAAGAGTGTGAGAGAGGATGGGTTTGCGACTTGGAAATGTTACCGTGTTAGGGTTACAAAAAGTTTTACCTTTAAATTAAGGGAATAGGTTACTCGCATAACATTTCTTTTCTCTCTTTTTTCACTCAAACATACCTTTTTCCCACTAGAATTTACTCCCCTAAAGTTTTACTGTTGATACCCTCCGACCAAATGCACCCTCAATCACGATGTAAATAAAAAAAATGGGGCCTTTGGTTAAAAACAATGAATTTTGTACCCCCCACCAGTAAATGTTTTATTTGACTTTTTAAGGTCTTTGCTGGTGGCAGGTCAGTGAGCCAGAGAAGTGGGGTTACTCCACTGATTGGAAGAAAGTCCTTGTTTACTTCTTTGGAACCCAACAAATGTAAGTATTTGAAACAATGTCTCATTTGATTGCTGGTAGTATTCTTGTGGCAATTGGTTTGTGTAACTTTAAGAATCAATTATTTATCTTTTAATTTCATAACCAAGGCAATTGAAGAATGAAGTTTAGTTTATGGTACATATGAACAATATCATAATGGCTTATGGATATCATACTGACTAGTATTATTTGATTGTAGTCTGTTGATATCTCAGTGATTGGTATTTTCCAGATAATTATGAGGTTTTGGTGTTAATAATCTTGATTAGACATGTGTAAGTATTATTGTGTTTATACTTGAGTTTGCACTATTGGATTATTTGAGTTATCTATTCCCATATTGTTTTAGCCAGCCAATGATTTTCAATTATGAGCATAATGCTCAATGAGGAGATGCTTACTGTCGGCTAGCTTGATGTTACATGGTGTGTATGTTTTGGTTCAAACCATACTTTATCGATTATAAACTGTGATAAATATTTTCTGTAATTTGAGTTAATAATAGTAGCACTTACCAAGTGTCAGACTAGAGTTACAAATATCACCAGGACATGATTTTTATATACATATGTAATTATGTAGTTTCTTTAATCTTCATTTTAGCTTATTAGTTGTTGGTGTATTATATGTATTAAAAGGAAAAAAATATGAACTTTAAAAGGAATTTATCTCAGTTATTCTTAATTTATAATTTTATAGGAGTTTGATTTTGTATTTCCTTTTAAGACATCACAAGCCTCAGCCTGTGTTTTGGAAGCTTGTCATAGCTTCACCCTCTGTTTCCTCTAGTTATTTGAGTCTTAGTGATGAACATGTCATAAGTTTTTAGTAATTCAAATTTTAAGTGTCAATTATCTAAGTATTGCAATTTTGTAAAGTTTATATTAATTAGACTATTGCTATCTTTGATATAATGGTCACTTTGCCTTGTGCTATGCGAAATAATGTATTTTAGGGAGCTCCACTGCACTGCTTTCCACCATTATCTATCTTGGTGTAACATTTGCTATTAGGTAAAATAATGGCCCAAGTCAAAATGAAAAGTTATTTTTATGTTTTTTTGTTTTAAAATTCAGCATGTCTACGATTTCATTCTCTCTTTCCTGTTGGCAGTTTCATATCTTTCTTACAGTTATCTCTCCCTTTGTAATAAGAATGAGTTTGACTAGAAAATAAAAAAAGAATTTGAGTTTGAATAGAAAATAAAGCCAAATTTCATTATTTATTTTACTAAAAATAGAAAATCAAGTTGGATAAGAAATAAAATAAAATATATTTTCTTTATTTATTATAATTTATATGCAAGGAGTTCTTTTATTTAATTATGAAATTTAATGTGATAGTATGATATATTTAAAGTTGTTTTCATTATATTTCTGAATCTTATGATTCAAGAAGATATATGATTAAAAATTAGCCCTGCTGCAGAGATTAAAGTTTGTGTTTTTACCATCAACTGCTGCCTCCTTTATTTCCTGTACAAACCTATTGCACAGATAGAGGCAATTGTCCTTATACAACCATTGCTTTCTTCCAGCAAGTTCCCAGACTTTATAAAGTGCATAGACACTTCTGTTTTGGCCTCTGTACCCCTTTGTTTCTCACTTTGTCAGCCTTTTCTGGCCAAGTCCATCCTTGTTTTGCATCTTATCTGGCCTCCACTAACCATGTCATCATCAATTATTGATTTAGGGGGTCTTTGGAAGAATTTATAGACGACTTATAAAAATAGCTTAAGACTCCATAAGCTCTTTTTAGCTTATTTTAATAAGCTTCTAAGTATAGATTATTAAAATAAGCTCTTGTAAGCTTTTTCCAATAGGTTTCTTGGTAAAAGTTTTGCCATAAGTTTGCTTGTAAAAAGAATTTATTGAACAAGTGCTTAATTAAGCTGTGTACCCAAATGCACCAATAACATTATTAGTTGTTATTCAAATTAACAATGATTATGTCTTTAATATATGGTTTTGAGTATTAATATTATATATGCCTCTAGTTTTGAGCATCTGTTGTTTTGTGTATTACAAATTATTCATTGTGTCTGCCATCTTTGGTATAGTGGCTGCCTGATTACTTTCTATACCAATTTATCATTTTTGGGATTGGTTGCTTCAAGCTGCTATCCTGGATTAATTACTTGAGGTGTAGCATCTGAATCCTACAATCATGATTCTAGTGCCCGAAGTCTCTCTCTTAAGCTTGTGATACCCTTTGGCACTGAAAATTGGGAAAAGGGAATTATGTAAAGTTTAATTGAACAAGGGTCCCTCTTAATTTGGAATTATAACAGTATTGCTTCAGAGTTGTAGTTTTGAAAACTAGGCTAGAGTGCTAGACCAGCTGGTTGAAAAGATAACCAGTAAACTTGTATAATTATAAAGTGATATAGTAAGAAACTGGTAAAAAATTGGTGAATAGATCTTCAAAGTTCAAACAAGAAAACTTGTCCACCTGGACCAATTAAGAAGTTAGAACAATTCTATCTTTTTTCTATAACTATCATGCTCTACCTAGGATGGCCTGTTTAAAAACACAATTTATTGATTGGCCACCTCTAGCTTTTAATAGCTGATATATGCTTGTGAACTTATCTAGTCTGGATGTGGGACTTGTAAACAGGAGTGGGATTAAATTCTTTGAATCCAGCTGGGGATTTCTGAAATGAGCTGTAGTCGTGTATGGTGCAATAAAGCCCATCCTTAAATTATTTTTCATCAATAGTCATTTGAGATTTTATATTGCGAATGTACATAAGTTCTTAAGTTATACGGCATTTTTTTCCTTCATCAGCAGTTTTGCATATACTAAAGAGCCACCAATGTACATGGGTTCTTAAGTTAAATTAATGTAATGTACCGTCATATCCTTTTTTGCCCCAAAATTTTGACAAAACGGTTTTTTTCATCACTCTCCAAGTTAATACAATGTTGCTCTCTGGTCCTCAGCGCTTAGCAGACAGCAGTTCCAAGCATAATATTTGAAAATGATTTATTGAAAAATGTGATTGACTTTAAAGTATGAAATCTCAAATTTTTGTGTAGTGCACATATTGTCACTTTCCTGCAAGAACTCTGAACAAAATTATTAAGCGAATTTTTGTGTCCTGTTATATGAAAATAGTGCTATACTGCCAACCCAAACCTTCTGGTGATTTGATTGGTTAGAGAGTATTTAAATGATGCCAAATGTTTTGGGTTTTAGTTGGTCTATTGCTTCTTTTTATCTGTAATAGTTTTTCTATGGTTGTACAGGGTGGCATCTATATTTTTTTAATTGTTTTCTGTTGCTTCCTTTCTTAGCCTTGGATTTAGCTCCTCTTAAGTGGTAATGTGAGGAGTGATACCTTAGAAAATGAGGATATGATATAATTTTGAAGTCAGTACTTGTATTTCAATTTTGCTGCTGTCTTTTTTTCTTTTTTAAATTTTTTGACTGGAATGTGGTGTAGTGTTTTGACAGTTGCATTTGTGGTTGGAAAAATGACGTAGAACTATATCTTGGCACAAGATGGCTTGGTTTAGAACTTGAAATCTACATATACATATATGAGGTTTTGAACTGATTGGGGAAAAATCTTTCACGCCAATTTTGATTTTGAAAATATCATATTAATCATTTAAATTTAGAATTGCTGTTGTTTTTCTTTTATTCCATATGTTCAATAAGGATGGATATATTTTAATTAGATTTAGTGTGATGAAGTGTTGATAGAAAGAATCCTATTTTAAGGGAAGGAAATGATTTAAACCTACCTGAAGTGTTGAAGGTTTATTTCTTCACTATTGATTTGAGCAATTGGCCACAGTTTCAGTTAATTTAAGCCAGATTGGAGGCCCCCATGTAAGACTTGTTGCTTTGTGTTGCAATGTGGTATGTTGGGTTGTCTAATTACTAATAAAAATGCTTTTTTTTTTTTAATAAATATGAATTGTGGATTTGTTTTGAATCTTTTGTTACTCCCTCTTTGCATTTTCCCCCCTAATGCATGACATCTTATATCTATTTAGCTTCCCAGTTCTGTTGGTTTTGAATTGATATTTTGTTTTGTAGAGCTTTCTGCAATCCAGCTGATGTGGAAGCATTTACTGAGGAGAAAAAACAGTCTCTTCTTGGAAAGCGTCATGGAAAGGGTGCTGATTTTGTTCGTGCTGTTCAGGAGATAGTTGAGAGTTATGAGAAATTAAAAAAAGAGACTCAGCTTGATGAAACTAGCTCTGGTGGTCATGTTGCTAATGCAGATGTTTCAAATCCAGTTAACTCCTCTCCCAAGGATCAGACGGATGCTCCTGAGTTGACACATACGTTACAAATGGATTCTTCAAATTCTATTATCAACAAACATGAGGTGGTATGTGTGGCTGATGATGACTCTGCTGCTGTAGTTAAGGATGAATCTCATAATAAGGAGGCACTGTTGGAGGAGCCTATTGATAAAACTGCTGTGGTGAAATCGCCTAAGCCAGTTACTTACACTTCTCGAAAAAGATCTGTGGGTAACTTGTGCTCGCAGGGCTGTGTAACACATGAATATGCCCCAGTACGCAGGTCAAGAAACTCATCGCGGGTTCAAAACTTAATTTTTCCTTGTAGTGGCAATGGAAAAAGTGCTGGTGATCCATCAACTAATGCAGCTCAGAGTGCATCCATAAGAAAGAATAAACGTGTTAGGAAATCACCTGATCTTTCTGGCGGTAATGATTTTGAATCATCTGCTTTTGTTTCAAATGGTAGCATGGAAGATAACAGTTCCGAAATTGTCACAATTGATTCTGATACGTTTAGCTTGAATGAGGGTAGTACAATTGATTCAAATTTTAAACTTGAACACCCTGAGACTAATGAATGCCCAGAAGTTGAGTTGAACAAAGGGCTTGATCTTGAAATAAAAGCTGTAGTCAACAAGAAGAAAAGAAAACAAAATAGAAAGAGAGTGGCCAATGATGCCTCCAAGCCAGCCAGTAGATCTGAGGAGGAGACTGGTGTGCAGAATGCCAGTCAAAGTTCCCAGAATGTTTGTGGAAATTCAAAAATGAGATGCTTTGAACAAGATGGAGATGAGCACTTACCCCTTGTGAAACGAGCAAGAGTCAGAATGGGTAAATCATCTTCTGTGGAGGCAGAACTCCATAGCATTTTCCAAGGTCAAGACAAAAGCTGTAAGGAAGATACTAACTTACTGCAGCAGATGATTACATCCTCAAATTGTGAGAATGATAGCCCTGCTGATGGAGACTCAACTGTGCTGAATGGAGCCTTGGATAATGTTTCCGCCCCTTGTTCCAACACTCAGATTTGTAATACTAAGAAAGATCAAACATTCTGCTCTGTGGATGGTGAAGCTGCTTTACCTCCATCCAAACGCCTCCATCGTGCTTTAGAAGCCATGTCAGCTAATGCTGCTGAAGAAAGTCAAGCTCATGTGGAAGCATCATCCTCTATAATGACATCAAGTGGTATGTGCTATATATCTTCTGTAAGCAGGTGTCCATTTATAGCCATTAATAATCAAGAGGGAAATGTTTTAGGGCTGCAAAAGTTGGATACTTGCAACATTGATTCGTCTCATATCAATGTGTGTAGTTTCTCAACCATTTCAAATCCAGTGATTTCAACAGAGAATGAATCATCTATACAAGTGGATAAGCAGTTGACCAAGTTACAGCAGCATGAAACTGGCAAGGATGTACTCCCAGGTGCTATCGATCAAGTTGGTGAAGAGCATAGTGATCATTGTCAGACTGCCAAAGTGGATTTGAAAACTCAGTCACATGAACAAAGATCTCCTAATATTGATTCCAAATGTGGTGAAGTTGGAGGCAATCTAGATTCACCAGATCCATCATTACCACCAATTGATGAAGACAACACTGGAAATGTGAATCACTCAAATACAGCATCTGATGCATCAGAACACAATGAAATAAGCCTTGATCCTGTAATGGGTGGGAACGAAAGTGATATTTTATTACCTCAAAATAATATTGATGTGCCTGAAAATGTGGTTGCTATTTATGATGATACAGAGAGCTTGAAGGCAGCAGTTGTTGATATTAGCAAAACTGATATGTAAGTTTAGTTATGGCTTGTTATAGTTCTTAGCTTTTTAACTCTCCCATGCAAATCCTCAAAGCAAAGAAGAGCAAAGTATTAAAAAAATATATTATAGTCCTAGAGCACTAAAGCTTGCTTTCTCTTTTCTGTTATGACATCTTGTTATAGAATTTGATAGGATGAACTTAAGCTTTCCTCATTTAGATCATTCATTTCAAGTGGTTGTGTTTACTTATGGCTTGTTATATATCATTCATTTCAGTTTGGTGGAATTTTACAGATATAATTAATATTTTTAATTACTGCTTTTATGATAGGGAATACGAAAGAGATCAATTGGTTATTCTTGCTTCATATCTTTTAGTTCAAGAAAACTCACGTCTATTCTTTAATTTCAGGAGTGAGGTTGTGAAAGAGGTAAAATGTAAAGGACCGGAGGAGGATATGAATTCTGTCTCGACATCTGATGATTTTTTGGGTGAAAAGGGTATTGTGGGCATTCGGTCAAGTCCATCCTTGATGGATGGGGGAGATTGCATTCCACAAGGATCACCTCCAACTAACTCTGTTTGCAATGTCTCTACATCAGACAGTAGTAATATTCTTCACAATGGAAGTTGTAGCCCTGATGTACATTTACACCAGAAGCAAACTTTATCTGGTCCTTATGATGGGAGTAAAGATGGGTATGTGACCACACAACAATCAAGATCTATGGGGAAGTCAAGTGAAGCAGGACGTGCTGCTTTGTTGTACTTTGAAGCCACTCTTGGGACATTGACAAGGACAAAGGAGAGTATTGGTCGAGCAACACGCATTGCTATTGACTGTGCAAAGTTTGGTATTGCATCTAAGGTAATATGATTTTTGTAACAAAAATGCCCCCCTACATTACTGTGAAAATGTTTCATAGTTGAATTGTGAATACTTGTTGATTTAATCTCAATTTGGATAAACTTCTCAACCAAGCACTTATACAGGAAGAAAGTAAGGAGGTAAATGAATCAAACTTCTCATTAGTCAACTTTAACTTATGCACCATAGCTTTTATAAAGCTCTCTCAACTAACATTATTTTAAATTACGAGAGAAGTTTGATTCTTTTCTTAACTTATTTCACCTCCAATAAGTGGTTGCAAAGTTGTTTATCCAAATTGGGCCTTAGATTAGTTCTATTTATCCAGGTAATTGCACCTATTTTGCTTATCCTAATTGGGCCTTGGATTAGTTTTTTCATGCATAATTGCCAATACGTAAAAGAAAAAAAAAATTACAGAACTAAAGCATGCTTAAAAACAATTGTTTACATTATGTGTAATAATAGGTCTTGAGATTCTGATATTTATTGCTGAAAAACTTATTGGAAATTATGGACCGATATGAAAAGCATGAGTATGTCGTTAATTTCTTTGCTTCCTCCTAAAAAGGATATCAATGTCCAGGATGCCAATAGTAGGCTGGTAGAAGTTTTGTTTGTCTTCTAATTTTTATTTTTTGGATACTTTAGTTTGATCTTTAGGTAGAATTTGGGTTTCCTTAGGAAGGAACATTTGGGTTCTTTGAGATCATCAATTTGGATGCAGTCACTAGGCTAGCTTGGGTCTTGAAGGATTGTGCTGTGCTTGATAATGAATTGTGTCCTGAATCAGAAAACTCTTTTAAAATATAATATCCGTGCTTGTATTGAGATGGAGGTGCCTTTTCATTTTAGTCAGTCTTTTACAATCATTGGATTTTTTGCATTATTTTGTCCCCTTCTCATTATAATTGTGAGTGTAGGTCCTTGACAGTTGCTAATAAAATAAAGGTCTCCAATTTACAGTATAGATGTTACAGCTACTTGTCACTAGATGGGATTAGCCACGTGGATTATCAACATCATTGGGTTTGGTTGAAAAACAAAGTCTCACACTTATTATTCACTGAGATCCTTTTTCATAAGTTTTTCCAAAGCCTTTCTTGGCCTCTGTCTGCCCTTTTTCATGAGGCTAAAACCATGCTATTTACTTTCTTCACTAGTGTGTCCCATCACCCTCTTTGCACATGTCCAAATCACCTTAACTGATTTTTTCTCAATCTTTTCCACAATAGGTATTACACCAATAACTCTTTGTATACAAGGTTTGCACTGTATGGAAAATGAAAAAAATCAAAGTTTTAAATAGCTGTTTCTTTTAACTGTGCTAGTACATGCATCAAATTACACATACTCCTATTTTTTAGAAGAAACTTTTCTCCAGTTGATGTATTACAGTTTAATTTCAATGCATATCCAGTTTTTTTTTTTTTTTTTTTTATCATCAGTTACATTAAATGTCATGATGTATTTTCTCTTTGCTGCTCATTCCTTGTTACCAGTATGGTGGAACCTCTTCGAGTGTAGATCAATGCAATATGATCATTCATGTAGCTATTGATGTCCTTGTAGAAGTGGAGATGAAATAGGGTGTCATATAATGTGTGAATTAGGTTGAAAGCTTTTGAATTTTAATATCACAGGCGTTTCAGTGAATTTGTCTGTCTGAATCTAACTATAAGGAATTGGCACATGTATGTAGTGTTAAAATTCTTCTCGACGTTGATGGGAGTTAAATCCTTCAATTGACTTTGCAGTTATTTCCTTTACATAATTGATGGATTTTACTTGTAAAACTTTACATTGTTTTTGTTGATACCACTTGCAATTTTTGGGGTCTTGGGATGTGTTCCCAGGTCATGGAAATTCTTGCCCACAGTCTGGAAGTCGAATCAAGCCTGCATCGGAGGGTGGATTTGTTTTTTCTTGTTGACTCCATTGCACAATTTTCTCGTGGTTTAAAAGGTAATATGTTTATCGCTTTGCCACTTTTGAAACTTTCTGACTAAAAGAGAAGATAGAAAATGTCAAGACCAGATGGTTGATAATTAATTGAAATATAAAATATGTCCGATTTCCAGGTGATGTTTGTGGAGTATATTCATCTGCTATTCAAGCAGTCCTTCCCCGACTTTTATCTGCTGCTGCTCCTCCTGGAAATACTTCTCAAGAAAACCGTAGGCAATGTCTCAAGGCAAGTTAATGAGTTTTGTGTCTTTTCTTACGTAGAGGTTTTGAATCATCCTTTTATGTTAATCTTTGCTTTGAATTTTTAGGTTTTAAGGCTATGGTTGGAGAGAAAAATCCTACCAGAATCCATTATTCGCCATCATATCCGGGAACTGGATTTATATAGTGCAGCTTCTGCAGCTGTCTTCTCACGACGATCATTAAGAACAGAGAGGGCTTTAGATGACCCTGTTAGAGAAATGGAGGGTATGCTTGTTGATGAATATGGAAGGTTTGAACCCGTCAGTACAGAATGTTTGACTATTTTTTTTTTTGGTGCACTTCTGGGAGTTTGTTTACTGAATTTTTTATTTGATCCTGTAGCAACTCAAGTTTCCAGTTGCCTGGATTTTGCATGCCCCGCATGCTTAAAGACGAAGATGATGGTGAAGAGAGTGATTCTGATGGCGGGAACTTTGAGGCAGTCACCCCCGAGCATACTTCCGAAGTACATGAAATGACTTCTGCAATTGAAAAACACAGGCATATCTTGGAAGATGTTGATGGTGAACTTGAAATGGAAGATGTGGCTCCCTGTTGTGATGTTGAAATGAATTTGAGTGGTAATGATAGAGGAAATGCTGAGCAGTTTGAGAAGAATCTGCCTGTGCCTGTTGCTCCTCTACACCAGGATGTGCCTTCATCTTCCCCACCACCACCATCTTTCCCTCCACCTCCACCCCCACCTCCACCTCCTCCACCCCCACCTCCTATCCTACACCACATGTCATCTACCTCTGATCCGTATCACACTGTAGTTAATTCAAATGGATATACTGTTTCACAGGTATGTCTTGCACCTTTTGCTTATGATTTTTGGCAGCAAGAAGTAACAAACAACTCATGGTGTGGTTTGTCCTTTTTACTTGAGCTCATTTGCAGACTGCAAAAGACAACTCACTTCACTCTATGACTCAGCCCTTGGCTGCACCTAGGCAGAGTCAACCTATCAGTGATGCAGTGCACTATCAAGTCTCAGAATATAGAGAAATGCAGATGCACATGCCAGAATCTACTTGCTCTTTCAACAATTTTCCTGTACCACCTCCAGACAATTTTCGACATTCTGATGGAGTTACTATGCATAATAAAGGGTATTCTATACGGCCACCTCATCATGTGCCATCCAATCAGTTTTCTTTTGTTAACGGAGAACAGCATGTGAAACATCGAAGGGATGTTCCACCACCCCCTTCTTACTCCAGTAGACAACACTTCTTGCAGAACATGGAGAGAGAAAACTTCTATAATAATCACGAGAGATTAAAACCACCTCCATATGATTACCAAGAGAGATGGAATGTTCCTGCACCTTATCTTGGTAAGATTGGGATAACTTATGGTTCTCGTGATATTTCTCATGTATATCAATTGGCCATGCAATGGCTTACTTTAGTCTTGCATAGTTACATTTCCTTTGTTTCTTTGGTAGATCCTCGGCATCAGGACAAAGGTGTGCCTGCCCCATATGGTTGTCATCCTTGTGAATCAACTAGAATACCAGGTCATGGGTGGAGATTTCCTACGCGGTCAATGAATCAGAGGAATTCCATGCCATTTAGACCACCCTTTGAAGATGCAATTCCAGTCGCAAACAGAGGTGCTTTTCCTCTTACCCCACAATTTTTCTTGTCATGAGAACTTTCTAATTTGATGATGCTTTTTGCCCCTTTGAATTGTTGGATATTATTACTGAAAAATAATGGCATTAAATATTTACATTTCAGGTCCGAGCTTTTGGCGGCCTAGATGATCAGAAAATACCAAGAGACCATGGCCGGTATACTTGGTGTTTTTCCCCTAGACTTGAGTTGTCCTTCACATATTAGTATTGTGGGTACTCAAGTTTCTTTACTTGATTGTTAGGTATAACCCACCTTCTGACCTTGTGGTCCATCATTCTGTACATGCAAGAATCCTTGGTGGAGGGTTCGGCAGAATCTGCACAGGACATGTTGATGATCTTCTAGGTTTGTACATATGTATTTTAGCCTCTTCTGCAGAATGCAGGGCAGGAAGAGTAACTGTAGAGTTGTTGGAGAGGGGTAACCTATTGAGGTTGTCATGTGTCAAAAAAAATTTTTGGCTCCAAATTTTTATAATTTATTTCATGGAAGCCCTTATAGAAGTTAGATCAATATATATAAATTTTCAGGGGATGTTTCTTGAAATTGTTCTCTTAATATATGGAAAAACTTCCTTCTTACAATTCGGTTGTATTCTCCAATTCATTTATTTTCGGGGGTCGAATCCGATTCGTTGTTTAAATGGGTAGTTTCACATAACAGAGAGTTCATGGTCTTAGTGGCCTCCCACTTCTCTGTTGTTTGGGCCCCCCCATTTGCATAAAAACGCGTTGGCTAATGGCACTGGTTTGTTGGAATTTATACGAGTTGGCATATTCAACTGCGATGCCCTGCATTTTTAAACAATTCAAACTGTACTTGCAGTATTGCGAATCATGAGGTTGCATGACTCAATTCTAATCCTCGAGTTAAACGACGTGCATTGCCACTAATGATTGGCTCTTCTCCACGGCCAAATTAATTTCTTTTTATTAAGCTAAAGATGTTTCTAAATTACATTTAGTTTGACTATTTTAACGAAATTAATTAGCTTATAATATTAGAAAATTTTGATGATTGGTTCCCGTCAAGCTATTACATTATATTAAGTTGAGATTGATTTTCTTGAGAATGATTTAGATACGCACATCATTTGTAATATATTTTTCCTCTTTTAATCTATACTTTTCAGATTATACTTAAATTGTGTATGATTCATTTATGGTTCTAAATTTATATCATAAATAATTTAAAAAAGAATATTCTACCTAAAAAAATACTCGTACGTGTACTTGCTAGTAAATAGGAATTGATACTACACATGCAACGCTCTGAATTTTGCAATGAAAATAGAAAAACAATGTAAATCAATAAAAAGGAGCCCTTCCCAGCCATACAAGGTCATGCAGGCCATGTTATGATTCCAGGGTGTAAGATGATCAGTCAACAGTTTTAAAAACTTTGAAATGTGCAACATTGATTCATTGAAGACAAGGACCTGTTGGTTGTAATCGTGTCAGAAAAAAGATGCACTAATAAAATTTTTAAAAGTGTAGATTTAGTATCTGGAGTCGTGTTAATCAATCGAAAAAAAATTGTTGAAATGGAATTCTTTTGTTAAATTCATTTTATACTTCCATGAGCATGCATTTTTATACTTCCATTTCATTTTAAAAAATTATCTATTAAATAATTATTTTGATCTCTAATTCATAACTGTTGATACTTAAATTCCGGCTACCTGTTACCTATAGTTTGTTACTTGAAATATAATCTCATCTAATATTTTTTATGAAATAATAAATCATAAATATTATTACAAAATAGAGTATCTTTTAAAAATACTCAAATAAAACCCTTCATCTAAAGTTAAATAAAATATCAAATTATCTTAAACTTCAATTTATTTAACAATACTTAATTCAAATTTATTAAACAGGCATTCATCTTACTTATTATATTGGTTTTTATTTTCTATTTTTTTGCTGGCACTCGATGAGTAGCCAAATCAGCACAGAGAATGCAGAGAAAAAAAATGGTGAATGAGAATGCTATAAATGGTTGAACTCAGTGTGCGACATAAACAGAAAACAGACTCAAACTCTTGCGAGTAGATCGGGAAAGAGAAGAGAAAAGTAGTCGGAAGAGTGTATTCTTTACATCTTCAAATGGGTGCTTCGCAATCAATCACAGAAAATTGCATCCATGAATTCACAGTCAAGGTATAATATATATACGTAGTTATGCCGAGGTCTTGACCGAAACAGAAACATTATCATTCTTATCTGTTAACATAATTTTGATTGGTGGCACAGGATGCCAGGGGCAAAGATGTGAACCTCAACGCCTACAGAGGGAAAGTTCTTCTTGTAATCAATGTTGCATCTAAATGGTTATTTTCTTTTTCTAACTCAACTTTCTTCTTGTGTTGCGTTTCCTTTCTTAATGACCTAAACAAAAGGAAGAAAAAAATATATCAGTGTACCCTTTATCTTTTCTGTGGCTAACTGAATTCATGCACGTTAAAAACCAGTGGATTTGCTGATGCCAATTATACCCAGTTAACTCAGCTTTACACCAGATACAAGAGCAATGGTATTTTTTTTAAGAAGCTGTTGATCTTCATTCTTCACCTAGTTAGAATGATAGGCCAAAGAGGAATTTGATCACAGTTGAGAATATTTTGGTTTTGATTTCAGGTCTTGAGATATTGGCATTTCCATGCAACCAATTTTTGAAGAAAGAGCCAGGGACTAGCCAGGAGGCGCAGGAGTTTGTGTGTACAAGATATAAGGCTGAGTATCCCATTTTTGGGAAGGTACGTTGCGCGCGCACACACACACACATATAGAGAGAGAAAGAAAATGAATGAAAAGACAATAATATGAGATGGTTAAGTCTTCAAGTGATATTGAGAAGTGTAAACAGTTATTAACTCACTGTTGCCTTCTCACATCCGATGGACTATAGCATTAGAGAACATTAAAATAATATATTTTTAATTCGTACAATATTGCATAAGATTATAAAATAATTTTTTAATTAAAAAATGTAGTATTTAATAATATCTATGCATTAAATTGTATTAATTATATATTTTTAATAAAAAATTACTACATATAAATTTTTTATCCTATACAATATTTTATAGATTAAAAATTTATTAAAAAATGATATAACTTCAAATTTCAAAGAGGATTTAGACCATAGTTTGTATATTTTATTTATTATCCACCATCCAACTTCAATTTTAGTGATGCATAATTTTATAAATTTTTTATTCTAATTTCTTACTACTCACTTGTTTGGTCCAACCCTGAAATTGCATAAGATATTGAACATAATAAAAGCCTTGGGTTGATTGAGATGTGAACACTTTTGTGAGTTATGTAGTCTTTGGTTAATTCTATGTAATACTTATTATGGCTAATCATAGTCCTAATAAAATACGATTAGCTCAGTAGTATCATTCAAATAATGAAACCATTTTGTAACTTGAATTATATATCATATTACTGACTATGATAAACTCACCATTTTGGCAGCAGTTGTACCCACAAACTTTTATTCTCCTATCTATCAACAATGGTTAACAAATATTAACCTCACCCTTAAAATTCCACGTTATGTGTAGATACGTGTCAATGGATCAGATGCAGCACCTGTCTACAAATTTCTCAAAGCACAGAAATCTGGATTTTTGGGGCCTAGGATTAAATGGAATTTCACGAAGTTTTTAGTCGATGAAGAAGGGCGTGTCATCCAGCGTTATAGCCCAACCACCAAACCTTTGGCCATTGAAGTATTCTCTCTCTCTCTCTCTCTCTCTCTCCCCGAGTGTGTCTGGTATGTGTGTGAATTGTGAAATACTAAAATGTGCTTAATTCACGAGTTGTTGCTTTGTATCTTCTACAGAATGACATCAAGAAGGCATTGCGGGTGGCTTGAAAGACTCCACAATTATTTCAAACCATTGCTCGTGTTGAAGTTATCTGAAACCAAAAGAGAAAAATATGTGATTAATGTTTATCCTTGTGATTATTTAATGCATATTTATGCCAATTGTTTTATTTGTGTTGTTGTGGTTGCATGAAATTTATTTTTTGGCTTTCGATATCTATTATTCTGTAAGGAAATTGATTCTATTTGTTTTTGTAAAGTAAACGTACGTCACTATGAGCTTGCTTGATTGAGGAAGTGGTATCTCGAAGCAGGTTTTTGTACAACAAAAAGTTGAGGTGAAAAATAAGAAGTGCTTCATTTTTAATTGGTGAAAAATATTCTTTTGGTTAATTGTTTTTCTCTTTCCAGTTGTTTTCTTTAGGCACATCTTAATAGAAGTATGAAATAATTTGGCAGGAGAATGCAGTAATTTTTCATTTCTCACTAAGTTTATGCGCTATCTTCCATTTTTTCTTTATCGTGTGAAACAAATACGCGTGGTATATTTACATGAATTTTAAACTATTATACCACAATTATAGTATAGAACGCACACATGAAACTTAATTTACCTGTTTATATATAATTTAGAGAGAGAGAGAGAGAGGCATTGCAGTGCTTGAACCAAGTACATAACCAAAGTTTCTACGCTTCTTCCTAACAAGGGAAGAATTCAAGTACTACATAGGGCAACACTATTTTCTCTTGCATGTATTTTTATGGAGCCAAATTTAAAACCGATATATATACAGATAATAAAAAAGATGGAGTCAAAGAGTTGATTCAACTCGTAATGATTGAATTACTTATAAGGTATTGGTACGATTTCTTTGTCAACAATACAGATGCATAACCGATGTATAATTACAATTGCAAGGGTTTGTTATAGCATGCAAGATAACATTATCTTTATTTGAGATAATATTCCTTCTCCCTTGAAATCTAAGGCCCATAAGCTGTGAAGCGATGGACATAAATGTGTATTAGTGCCCTCAATTATTTTGTTTTCTTTTGTTGAGTCTTGAGACAATCTTTAGTCCAATATCAAGACAATCTTTATTGTGAGAGGCGTGTGATCAAATTTTATACTTTAGGCCAACATTAAAGTTTCACCCAGCAAATGGGGTAGACAATCACACGGCTGCACCACAAATATCTTATCCTTTCAATTTGTTTTACTCTTTCATTGTAATTGGACAAGGACATGAAAGCTTAGTTTACACAAATTATACTTTTAATTTTTCAAGTTAATTCAGACATTGGCAATGAAGAAAACCAATGCACTACAATGTAAGTAGCAAATGATTAATCAATTAACATTTTTTTGTAAATAAATGTTTATTTTGAAGGGATCAACATCTTGACTTGTTTTCGAATTTTTTTAATTTTTAATTAAGATGAAAACTTCCTAGTTCAATTTTCAATTTTCTGCCCTACCTGAAAAATCAGGATAGAGTTTCGCACGTGGGCCGGGCCCATATGACGGAAAACTAATACCCACAGACACACGTGTAAGTGAAAATACACATTAACCCAATAACTCAATCTTATAGAGGCTGGCCCAATGCTGCCCACGCTGCCTACACTTGGAATAGCAGACATAGCGATGTGGGACTATTACTTTCAAATGTGAGAGTGAAATCACGTTTTGTGAAGATGATATTCACCAAGAAGCACCTAAACATTGAGTGAAAATGAAGGAATTTGACGTGGTTTATGGCTGCCGGCAATGATAAGCGGCAGACATGTCAGGTCGACAAGGACAACGACTTGGTTCTTCTTTGAGGCAACACAGTACACGTGATCATGAACTCCACTGGAGGGCACAGAAGTGCCTTCAAGAAGTTGTTCCGTTGGGAACACATGATTATGTTATGACCTCGTGTGTGAAAAAGCATGTTCTATATTAGGTGTATTCAACGTCAATGTGAGGATGAATACACCAATAGCGTTGCCAGTACTATCCAAGTGTATTAAAAGTTACTCAAACCACAAAATTCATGTGAGAAATTTGATGTTTTCTTTTTCTTTCTTTCTTTCTTTCTTTCTTTCTTTCTTTTTTTTTTTTTGTGGGGGGTGCATGTTTTACGCTATTTTTCTCGTGAAAGGGGTCTATGATTGGACTGAGATATAATAAACGAAATTAGTATTTTGATTGTGTTTTTCAGTCTTTCACTTGGGTTATAAATCTGAGTGATGACAGTGTTATTTAGTATTAAAAAAAATGTTTATATCATATATATGGAGGGGGACGGGGGAGGAATATTATTTCATAAAGGGACAAGAGAATGTCGTCCATATTCTACTAGCTAGTATCGTGTGCCTGAGTCAGCTTGTTCAAACAGAATAATTGAGGTTTGTTATGTGAATCATGTCAACCATGGCTTGGATTATATGATATCTGATGACATAAATAATCTTATTTTAAGTGAATTAATAAGATTTTATTCGTAAAAAGTTCATATACTTTTTAATATAATATTTTAGTTTCATTACTTCACTTTAAATGAAATTATTTACTCCACGAGGTAACTTAGACAAACCCTCTATTGTAAGGGTTGAATCCCACTTCTCAGAAAAACAATGTCATCTTGAAAAAGTTGATATCCCTCTTGCAGTACCGTTCTCCAAGAAGAAATCTCCACCTTTAGTTTTTCTTACTCTTTACCTCTTTTCTTTCCACCTTAAAAATTAAAGGTAAGATATTTCATGGAGGAAGAAATTTCATACCTCAGAAGTACGGAAGAAATACTCGTCCCTCTTGTTCCACCTGGTGCAAGTGGCAGCTCCATTTAAAGATCTTAAACTATTTGTTTTGGAGATACGAGTCATGCCTTTGAGCCTTTCCATACTTAGATAATCTTATTATTTAGTCATAATTACATCTGTAATACTTCATCCACCGACTGGTTTAATAGTTTAATTGATCTATAGAAGGCAGATTAAAAATGGTTAGACGTATTGTATAACTGCTATCAAGAATATGTCGTTTTTAGCAACCAACATACAACAATCAATGTACAATATATTACTTTACATTATCACCATTTATTGGTCATTCATTTTTTATAGATACAAGGGTGTCCATTGATGTCTTATTTAAATAAGCAAAAGAAAATAAAACAAACTAGAAGATAACATGCATTGTAGCTAAGTAGATAGAGACACATCCCACAAAAGGGATAGGCATTAACCAAGAAGGGACAAGGGATGACCCTTAGTGAGTAATAGTGGATGAGTAGTCCCTCTCAAGCGGGTTTGGCAAAGGGGACAGACTCATGGCTGTAACTTTGTCATCTTAGGTGGATGGTGGGACATGTCTCATTTCTGCAACCATGGGCCATAACATGTCATCCACCACAAATTTACTTCCTTCATATCTTCTTCACTCTTCCCTATATATATGGTTCACTCTTTCCCCTTAGCCTTCAGACCACAAATACAGTTTTCCAATAAGTCTCCTCAATAACTTAATTTCACACAAGCAAGGTTTGAAGTAAAGAGCAAATGGCAGCTAATGTATTCTCAGTGAGAGGTTCAAAGCTTCGATCATGGGAGCGGTGTTCCAAACAAGTTCGACAGCAAAGGACACGGCTTTACATAATCTGGAGATGCACTGTATTACTCTTGTGTTGGCATGAGTAAAATATCACAGTTTGGTGCCACCCCAAGTGGAAGAAATGGTTGGTCAAGCAGAATTTGGGTACCCATTTTCGCTTAAAACCATGCCAAGAGAGAAGAGATGAATTTAGACATGTATTGTACCCTCTGGGAACTTCGGGGGTGGCAATACTATAGAACAGTCAAAAGTGACATAGTTTATGTTAGGGGGTAGGTAGGTAGGTAATTAAACATGGTAGATGAAGCAGAAGTTCCTGCTGAACGTGTAAATTACAAATATACAGAATAGCATTTTATAATTCAATATATCAGACTCGTGTCTCAATTTTGTTGATATCGCATGCACACACATAAACAAGGCCTTTGTTTTTTTATTTTATCACTTTTACGCTACCATGGTAGAGGGACAACCAAATTTGGGCCCCTAATTTTCTAGAGTAAAAAATTACAATCCCTTAATCTCTCTCAGTAACTTGTTGACTCTGTAATAGAGAAGATTCTTACTAGAATACTAATAAATCAATCATACATTATTATGAGCAAACGTTGAGTTGGGCGTATGACTTTGAAGTCAATGGATTACCAACCATTTCCTATCACACTAGAAGTCAATATAATGGATTAATTAATTTGCAATTTCATTTAATCTTCAGTTTTCATGTTAAATCTTATTTTGCAAAATATTGATTATGACTGAGCTTATCAGTAGAAGGAAAGCTAGTAGAGTTACACAAGGGACGGTTAATGACGGCCCCATATTGGATTTTCAGTCATATCCCACGAGTTAAATGGAATATGATGGCATCCAAAACATAAAATAGCAAATAGTCGAGGGCATAAAAAGCACGAATGTCTTTAAAAAGAACAACTGTTATTTGGTCACATAAATGAACACTGGTAGTGGAGCAACCTAACTTGCAACAAAATATTGTCCTCAACTCTCCTGCAATAACCTATAATTCCCTTCTTATGTCTCTTTCTTTCTGTATTTCATTTCACAACACAATCAAATGAACATGTCTAATCAATGACGTTTTTAGCTTCATATAGTAAGTACTTAAAAGTTGTCAGCGATTGTAAGTAAATTCGACAAAAGGTAGGTTAAATTTAAAAGATGGTCTGAACATGTTTTGAAAAGAAAAAATGTTTTGGCCACTAACATTTCATTGTGTTGTTTTGGAAAACAAGCCGTTGAACTATTATAATATTATATTGTCTAACAAAGGGAAGGAGCTGATGACAGCTAATTAGAGCTCAGCAAATTCTAAAGACTCTGCTTTGCCAATAAATTTTGATTTTGATTTTGATTCTAATATAGGAAAGATAAAGGGGAAGGGGATACATTTCTATGAAGTAAAAACAGTCACTTCTGTATATGATTTTTCTTTTTATTTTCTACGACCTGTAGATTATAATATTTGTTCGGAAATCCGATCCCATTTGATGCACCGTTTTATTGATTCTCATGTTACTAACGTATTAAAGTATACAAACTTATTATATCTTGATCACGCTCATATTCCACTACGGGCAAAGTGGGATAAAAGAAAATTGAATTCACGAAAACACCATAAGCACCCGAAAATGTTATAATTATTATTCTTAATGGTTTTTATAATCAGAAACATTCCGATTTGGTATCTAAGCCCAACTGTAGATAAGTTAATTAGGTGATTCCTCTCTAAATACCACCAGAAATAAGAATACTAGTCAACCGTCTCATTTTACCCAACCTATACCATTTCCATAATAATTTGACTTTAAACACTAAATTATAATCTGGCGGTGGCACGTTGACCCAAAAATTATCCACGAAAAACTACCAGGGAAATATACGACCAAGAAATATCATACTGCGAAGAGGAAAAGGAAATATATTAAAACATATGACCCAATCAAACCAGTGTTGTCGGCACCGATTGAGATAAATTTCTGTTTCCATTCACATTGGGGAAAGGGGATAATTCCCAATTCACATGTTTATTTGGTTCACCGCAACGTTTTGTTGCTACACCTGTATCACCAATTATTCCACACATTGATACACATCACCCAGATTCTGATTGGGTCTTAATGCTTAGCAGAGCGCAAACCAGGGATGTCCCGCAACAACCCTATGAGTAATTAAATGAAGATAGAAAAAAACCAATAATCATTACAGATGAGAAAAAAGAAATCAAGTATAAACTAAATACTCCATTATTCCCAATGACATTTTCTATACAAAATCTGGAAACAATGAGAACCCAACCTCGAGGACGTATATAAAAGTTGTACATTACAAAGCTAGTAAGCTACTATTTATGCTATTACTACTGTTTGAAACGGAAGCTTGAAAGTAAATATCCAGCTCACAACTAATCAATGACATCCAAGGAATTCTAAGGTTTATTTGTAGTATAAATAATAGCTCGAACTCCTAGGTTCTTTCCTCTTTCAGCAGAACAAAAAGTCAGTAAACTCCCGAATTCAGTTCTGCATCTTTCTCAAAAATATCCCACCCATCATCAAGAAGAGCATTGCGATCAACTTGGGATTTTTCCTCGTCGTGCCCACTTTTGGAAGAAAGGCTTTCAATTGAGGCTGCCGGACTGGTCTTGCGAATTTCAGATGAATCACTGTGCTCAGAACCCACATCAGATGCCACGGTTTTGTGGGACGAACCTGAAGAAGCTAAGATGCAACTAGTCTGGCGTGAGGTGAAGGATTTACTCAACGGAAGATTTGCATCAAATTTCTCCTTTAAAAGCCTAATATCCTGACAAATAACAGAAATTTCTCCTCTGCAAAGTTAAATGAACAGTAAACATATTAGATTAGAAAGATATCACACGACTACAGAAGTCATAATTCATAACATAGTACACAGAAAAGTATGCTGAGGGAAGAAAAGAAAGAATCTCCATGTCCTAGCCAGGCTGAATCAGCAATTTTAGGGAAACGATATCAAACAAAATGCCATCCAGTCACAAAATGACCATATAAAAATGTAACCTCATGGTCATGATCAAAATCAAAATAACTTCTGTAAAAATGTTGAGAAGCATTCCTATAATATTGGAAACCGACAGTAAATACAACCGTATTTTAAATAGAAAAACAACTTACTGCAGCATATCAACAACCCGTCCACGGTCCATCAGGAACTCACGCAACTGCATAGATGAAAAGGAAGAAATTAAAATAAAAATCATAAAATATTCAGAAAAAATAAAAAACTCTAGAATTGAGTTTGCCTGTTAAGTGAATAAGTGGGTATCATTCCTTAATTTAATTTAAAGTGCATTATGACCTTAACCCGCTAAAGATTTAAGGGTAGATAAACACTCATTTGTTTACTTACAAAACAAGCTCACTTTACAGGAGCTTTCAACAAAATACTACATGAACACTCCATGAAATTAAACAAAATGATTTAGGAGCAGGAGAAACACTAGTAACCTTTGAATTCTCTTCTGCCTCCTGCTGTAGTCTTCCTGACTCATGTACTACCTCTTCCACCAGTGTTTCCTGTTCAACAAGAGCCTTTCGTGCAGATTCCTCCTTTGCAAGCCTTTCATGCTCAGCTGCTTTCCTCAATTCTTCTGCTGCAGCTAGTCGTGCTTCAAGAATTTGTCGCATCTGGAAGTCAGAACCAGAAGATGAACCGAGTAAGATGCTGTTAATTTTGTTTCTTTTACATCATGTTAAGCAATTTAATTGCACAAAGGAATAGGTTTTCAATTCATAAACAATATTATTAAACCACATGTCCTACATTGCTCGTAAGTAATTACAGTGAGATGATCTGATTATTACAATAGTCAGAACAATGTTAAAGGTATTCCGAAATGCAGAAACCTATGCCGCAAAGCTTTGATGAATAATTTTCAAATGAACATATTAAACTGTAAAGCACTTAAGCACCTCATCAAGAATTGCAAGTGACCTGTCCCTTTCATCAGACAAGCTGAGCAGACGTGATTGAAGTTCCTTCAGTTCAGTTGCCAGAATTGCTTTTTCTCCGTAAACTTCTCCTGCATGCTGCAAAGAAAATTTTGAGGATAAATATTTTTTGTTCATCACATGCAAAACAGCAACACCAAAGATTTTGTAACTTCCAGAACTATAATTTTTAATAACATACCATGTCGTTTGCTTCTTTAGCTTGCACCAACATTGTTTTATACTCTTCTACCCTAGCCAGAATGTTAGACCCTCCTGTAGCAGCTTCCATATTGGCCTGCTCTGCAGCTTTCTCCTGAAGTTCCACTTCTCTCATTAAGTTGATAAGAGACTCCATTGATGAAAACAACGTTTTCTGCATCAGTGTCAAATGATCTTTGGATGTCAGGACTCAGAAGTATTAAAGTTTTACCATATTTCAACCACCATATTGTAATTACATCAATACATACATACACACACACAGAAGAAAATTTATAAAATTTATGCGTTGGTATGTATGCTATCTATCTACTCTATAGATAGTTTAATCATGTATAGGAGGTCAAGTCATCATTAGCAATAATGATTTTTAATGTCAGCTTCACAACTTCTGCCATATGATTCATTATATGGCTAGTATTCCCAACATCCGATTATAATAATCTAGGACTAATAATACCTTGTTAGTTTTGGCTTCATCAATTATCTCCTCAAGCAGATCAATCCTGCTCACTTGACTATATTCGCTTACTGCATTATTCCCACCAATCTCATCTTCAACGCCATTAGTTTCATCAACAGCACCAGAAGGACCAACATCCAATTCGAATTGGAGACTTTCTTCAGCATTTAGTGGATTCTCGAAAACATGACAAGCTGCTTGAGCCACAGCGTTTTCCATCTCAATAAACGGAGTTTCACAATTTTCTAGTCTGTGACTTGTATCACAAATAGTGGCATCATAATCATCAGCTGAAGGACCTACAAAATCTACCCACTCTTCATTTAAATGGTTTCCAATTCTATTGCCATTGTTATTAGAGGAAGCAACTTCCTTGCCAAGGTGATTCTGTGTAACTTCCATCTCTTGACATATACCAGAAGATATCAAATTTTCACAATCAACATCCACATGAAATTGTCCTTGATCAAAATTTTCATTAGCTCCCTGAGTAAAGCCATTTGATGTCTCTGGAGCAATCTTGTATGAGGTCTCTCCGTTGAAGTTATCTTCAGCATTCCAAAAAATATTTAGCTCCTTAATTTCATTCAATCCAAGAAATTTATCAGCACCGTCATTTAAATTACAGGCACTTGACAGTGTGGACTCATCCAGAGCCACATTCAGATCCAGTCCAAAAGAATAATCATCAGTTTTAGTAATTTCTACAGATGTAGAATGTGGAGCAGAAGAAGACCCCGCATGTATGTCTTCAACAGGCTGACGATGCCTTAACATATTACCTTCTTCCTCACTTTCAACTACAGATTCAACATGTCATAAGAAATATATTAGTTAACCAGTTCAATGCAAGTACAGTGATATAGAAATGAATGTTTATAAAAACTAAATGCACCTGCAATATTTACTGGGGATCCATGGCCCTGTTCATGTGGAGGAGTAGCAGGAGGTGATTTTTTGGTCATGAACGGGATGACTTCAGAGAGAACAATTCCAGCAGCTAGATCAGCATCCTTTGGGTGTTCAATAGCCACAGCCCTCAGTAATCTGGCATCAACCTGTTCAGTGCAAAATGATAAAACACAGTCATCAGTTAGGAGCATTTATTGATATCAAGTCAGACACATTCCCAGATTAATACACCTTTATATATAGTCCAGGTTTTGGAAAATTTAAAGACTCATTCTCAAGCATATGGCAACTACCATTAGGCTTTGTTTGGGAGTTTAGAGGGAGAGAGCAAAGGAAAGGTTGAAAGGTAAAGTTTGGATGTAAATTTTTCAATTCAACAAAAGAACTCGCAAATTCGGGGAACTTAAAAATTACGTGAGAGGGTTTTGGAGAGCTTCTGAAATTCCCCTACTCTTCCCCTCCATTTTTAATAACTCCCCAAACAAGAGTAACTTTTAAAAATCCCTCCCCTTCCCTTCCCCCTAAATCAAACTCACAAACAAAGCCTTACAAATTTCTTAAAAATTGGATAGAATTGTACTTTTCTTCTAGAAAATATCAGCATCGGGAAAAAAAAAATTGGGTGAGAAAGGAAAGATACATGTTATCCAATATCCATTCATCCAACATAACCAACTTTATGCACTTAATGCTCAACTAGAGAGTCCAATGTGCAATCTTTCATTTAATTTGATTAATTTTATATTTGAATACCGAATCAACTTCACAATCCAGAATTAAAATACAAATAACACTGGATCACAGAACAACCAATAATTAAACTTAAAACAAAATAATAAAGGATTATTCTGCAATTAAACATTTGGGAGAAAAATTATAAAGTAAAGAGTTATACCTGTGGAAATATTTCCTGCAAGCATCTGTAAACCGAATTGAAACCCATGATCGAGACTATCTGCAAAGTTCCAAAAAAAAGGGGGGGATTGTTTTAATATTGATGCTTCAATGATATAAAAATAGTAACACGTAAAAGCGATTGAAACCTAAAATCGGGGGGAAATTATCGACATGAATTATGAATATAATTCGTTAAAAGAAGACGCTCAGGAACCCTAAGTTCACTGTTCGAATGAGGTAACGAAATCTCTTGCTAGTGCTAAAGTGAAAAACCCTGTCATTCAAGTATGTATGTAAGAAAAAATGAAAAATCTTCGGATACCTAAATTTCAGTGTGGCTAAGAAGAGAATGGAACCAAAATCGAAAGAGAAAGAAAAATTGAGGATGGAAGAGAAGGAATGACCCTGACCAGTGTGAAAGTGGAATTGAATTGAGGACCACACGGAAACTAGCTTTTTCCTATTTTCTGAAAATATGAAGAGTGACTGAGCTAAGAAATTGGATATAACCGTCAATTTCATGAAAACGGAGGGTGTTTCAGTCCAAACATTTGGCATGGCCAATAAAAAAGGGTCAAAACACGGTGATTTTGTTGAAGGTTACCTATTATTTCATTATTTAAAATAAGTTAAAACAAACTAAAATTCAATGGCAACAATTTTTCATTATAAAATTATAAAAACATAAAATTCATTTTAAAACATATTTTCTTTTGTTGAGTAATCTATTATATTATATTAATATAGTTGCTTTGTATTTCAAAAAATGATGCTGATACTAATAATAACGATTTAAAAAAGTAAAATTGAAAGAAGTTGTATTTTCTTGTTCATTGTTTCCATTTTCATACCTTTAGACTTTGCGACTGGTTCTTAATTGCTAAACTAAAGATTACTTATTATTTAAGTTATGACATGTCCCGTGGTTTAAAAACATTTCTTTGACTTAAGAAAAAATAATATATTATCTGATATTAACTGTTAAATTAAAAAAATGATTTCTTAATTACCTTGCGTTGTTTTTAATTTTATATTTTAAAAATAAATAATAAAAAATAAAGAAATATCGATTTTAAAATTTACAATCAAATTTTTATTTTATATATAAATAATTTATTGAAAAGAGGTAAATTTATATTACAATAATTGATATATTTAAACTATTTTAATTTTAAATTTATTTAAAAATGTTTTTGATGTACAAGAGAAATACAAGTATTTATGCCAAATTTCCCAGGGCAGTTCGATTACCCTGCTGGTTGAATGAATTAAGATTAATTAAACTTTAAGTATGATTAAATGTAAAAAATTTTAGTTTAACATGTGGGTTAACAACTAACAAGGTAGCCTGCAGACTACTAAACTCAAATTGGAGATCATAAACTCAATCCAAACCTGACCAAAGCAATTATATGAAATAATTGAGGATCTAATTGAACACCAAGTAAGCTAAAATTTAACCAAATAATAAGGTTGTTCTTTCAAAAACAAATATCATGAGGGGTTGTGTTTGATAAATTTGAGGCCTTGCATAAAAAAAAATAGAGAGACATGATATAATGTATTCTTTTTCATATAATTTTTTATAAACTTGTTGAGCTATAAAATCATTTAGTATAAATTTATAATCAAAGAATTCTAAAATTTCATTCTTGATAAATGATATTTATAACAATTGCAACTGTCTTTCAAATACTAAATTATTTGTCATAAATTTTTAAAAGAGTAATAAACTTTTAAAAATGATTTAAAGTAATATTTATATACATAAATTTGAAATTATATAATATTGTTAACACATTAATAATAAATAATACAATAATTTTATGATCTAATAATTAAAATTAGGAAGGTGAAGGAATGGTTGAGTCTCACCAAGTAGTATAGGGTGTGCACAATGGATGATCCTGCACATTCTTTGTGGAAGTTTAAAACAAAAGGGGCACATAATTTATGTGTTGATGAAAATTGGGGCACCAGAAAAATGATAGGGTGTATGATTAACTGATGAGGTTGACGTGAGAATGAAAATCTCAAACTAAGGGAAGTTTCTTTACCATGGACAATGACAATGACAGTGTCTATGTCGTCCCCATTTCCCCATCACATCATTCCCATTACGGTTTAATGCTTTTAATTTTCTTGGGCTCGTCAGGGATGAGGTTTACTGTAAAAGGTCCATTTAAGTCATTTTACCAAGTTTTCAACCCAACCCACTTGATTTTTTTGTGAAGATCAATCTTATAACACGTTATTTAACAATTTTTTTTTAAGTTTTGTTAAATTTAATCTAAAATTTATATTTAAATATTTATAAATAATTTTTTTATAAAAAATATATAATTATTATATTAAAATTATAAAAATATAATAAATATTTTTTATTTTAATAAAATTTTACTATTATTAACTATTTATTTTTAGTTTTAGAAATAGAGAATTAAGATTAATAATTTTTTTAATATAATTTAGTAATTTATCTACAAATTTCATAATATATCATATTAATTTATTCTAAATTTGTGTTAATATTTATTGCATAATCTCTAACGTATTATATAATAAAGGAATATAATAATTTTGTTAACAACTCATGATCTAATTTTTTTTTAAAAAAAATAAAAAACTTACGAAATTAAGACGTATAATTTACTCTGGTGCCTAGCCAAGCAGTGTGTGGTGGCTGTGCGTGGCAAGCTGAAGCTATGTTCTCCAAAACCAAAATCCACACTCTCTCTTCTTTCTGCCTCAACGCAAGATCCATATCAAGCCTCAAAGTAATGTGGCGCAAAGACCCAGCACTAGACCGAGCCATAGAGTTCGATAAGCGTTATAAGCAATGTGCTCGCGTTGTGAAGGAGCTCCTCAACGAACCGGGCCAAGTCATTCCTCTGCGCTACCTCGAAAAACGCCGCGAAAGGATGCGCCTCAAGGTCAAAGTCGAAACCTTTTTGAATCAAAACCCGGGCTTGTTCGATGTCTACTATGATCGCATCAAACCCAAAACCCAACCTGTTCGGTTTCTCCGGGTCGGTGACCGGCTTCGGCAGTTTCTGGAGGAAGAAAAACGGATTTTCAGGGAGAATGAGCCTTTGCTTGTGTCCAAGCTGTGTAAATTGTTGATGATGTCGAAGAATAAGGTTGTAAGTGCTGATAAATTGCTTCATGTGAAGAGGGAGTTTGGGTTCCCAAATGATTTTTTGGTTGATTTGGTTACTAAGTACCCTCAATATTTTAGGTTAACTGGGCTTCCTGGGGAGGGGAAATCGTTTCTGGAATTGGTTTCTTGGAACCCCGAGTTTGCAAAATCCGTTATTGAGCAAAGGGCTGAAGAGGAGAGTATGCGTATGGGGATAAGGGTTAGGCCTAGTTTCAATGTGGAGCTTCCACCAGGGTTCGTGCTGAAGAAAGAGATGAGGGAGTGGATTAGGGATTGGATGGAGCTTGATTATGTATCCCCTTATGAGGATGTGTCCCATTTGGATCAAGCTTCTAGAGAGATGGAAAAGAGGTCGGTTGGAGTGTTCCATGAGCTTCTTTCTCTTTCATTGCATAAGAGGATTCCCGTGCCTATCCTTGGAAAGTTTTGTGATGAATATAGGTTTTCAAATGCATTTTCAAGCACTTTTACTAGGCATTCGGGCATTTTCTATTTGTCCTTGAAAGGTGGAATTGAAACAGCAGTGTTGAGAGAAGCATACAAAGGTGATAAGTTGATTGACTGGGATCCACTGCTTCAGATAAAAGCTAAGTTTGTTGAGATGTTGGAGGAGGGGTGGCGGCAAAGAGCTGAGCAGTTGAGCTTGAAACAAGATAGAATTAAGGAAGATATGGAACTGTTGGCCGTCAAAGTTGGTGAATAGAAATATACAACAGGCATGTGGATACGAAGAGCTTTCAGTTTGGGGGAGTTTCATGAGAAAAAAGCTTGACCATTGCTGGCCAGTATGATTCTCCTCACTTCCTATGATTTTTAATCTTCAAGTGCATGAATTGTTGTAGAAAAATTGAATGTTTGCCCCTTATAGTAGTACCCTTCTATTAAAAAATGGTTCAATGAAAAGTTTTTGGCTGTGTTCAGTAATATGTGTTTAACTTTTTGTGTGTGTCTATATTGTTGAGAGTCTGAGACCAATTAGGTATGTTTCGGGCAGAGGATTGTTGTTAAACTAAAATTTCGTTTTACTTGTGCTAGTGTTAACGGTTAAACCTAATTTTGAAATTGGCAGAAATCAAAGTATTGCATTGCATTCCTTGAAATATCTTAATATTAACTTAAAAATATTCCTAAAAATTGTTGGAAACTGTGTTTCTTACTCACATATCTTGTTGGAATGCACTTATAAAGTAAACTTGCCCTTAGTGCTTGAATTGGCTATGTAACAATCAACCTTGTCGACCTTTGAAATGCATAATAAAATACTGAAGTCAGACTAGCAAGAGGGACGTTGAGTTTTATATTTATCTTTCTCTAACTCATTGTGCTTTGGAATTTAGGAATTTAACAAGATCCTTCAAATAATCCTTTTGGTTTCAGACTGAGCGTGTAGTATATTGGTGTTAACAAAATGTGATAAATGCTGAATTTCAGCTTGAGGCATCTAATGGTGGATTTCATCTGATGATTCAAAGTGAAAGAGAGTTAATGTGCTAAGGATTGAAGAAATGAGTCATATCCTTGGATGACTATGTTCTGCTCCAAATTACATTCTCAGAGCAGCAACATAAGTAATTGATTTCCACGTTTCAGAAACAGCTGGAAGCAGGCTAAGGAATGGTATAAAGATTTGACAACATGTATATTTATTTTATAGAATTGTTCTCGCTAACGGTCATTTAACTAATATATGAAGGTACCAGAATAACATTTACCGGTTTTTTTATGATGAGCTGGTACTTATTAGCAGTTTGCTTTCAAACAGGATAAAGTTAGAAAATTTCTCTCCTGTCTTTTGGTCAATCTTTGTTGAAATTATGGTTATGTTGTACTCTGTATTCTAACACACTGGAAGTTACATAGAATCAATGAGTGGTTACTCTTGAGTTTGGATGTAAGCAGAAAATGCTCATCTAGCCCTCAATCATTAACCCCAGCGACAAGCATGAACCTAATATAGGTTGTAAGCAGCAGACATATATGTTTATTCATTTGATATCTCTTGTTTCTCTCACTCTATATACCTTCCGCTAGAAAAGTTCCCCAAATGGTTTCTTCCCGTAAGTTCTGCATGTTATTAATTTGCGCATTATCTGATTCACCCTCCTTCATCCACACTCCTCACCTTTGTGAGATGAGCTGTTCGAACATTGTTCAGGAATAAGGTTGGTAGTTGGAATCCCATTTAGAATAGGTTGTTATCACCTACAAAGTCATCACACTAAATAGATGAGAAATAGTAAGCATGCAGGACCTCAAATCATTCTATTGGTGAGTATAAACAACTCATTTTAGACAATTGTAATTCACCAGATAAACAACCTACTGAAAACAAGCTTTATGAATTTGCAAGTATTTAAGCAGGTGTACTTCCTATGGTGACATTATGAACATTAAAAATATTCTGGGTTCCCATGTATTAGCATGACAGAAGAGATACAATATGAACAGAGTCAATATTTTCAATTTAATAATTCTCATTCTGACATTCCTTGCATTTGTGCCAAAGATGGAGAGCTAGATCATGCCACCAGTTATTCCTTCGCCACTACCACCTCTTCACCCACTTTGTTCATCCCAACTAGCGCTAGTAAGCTATGCTTGTGCAATGTTATCTTTCACTCCAGGATCACCACCCCTACCCTCTCCTTCACACCTTAATGACGACGAGGGAGACGGGAATCCCCAGCACAGGCACAGGCACTGCCACACCCTTCAAGTAGATAACTGTTGCCGGTGGCAAGGGAAATTGACAGCCAATGTGTGTGTGAAATTTTATTGCGATTGCCTCTTTTCCTTACAAGACCGCTGCATCACTACTCAATAATGATTGGAGAATCGTGTAATGTCATTTACTCATGCGGTGGGCCAATATAATTGCCAATCTTACATTTTGATGACTGGAAAGTTTAGTAGTAGAAAAGAATCCAATGTTGTGTATGGCAAGTTATGGTTATTGATTTGTTGCCATCAGGTTTTAAGAACAAAGTGTGCTCTAGCACTCTGAAAGCGTCTTGTAGGCTTGTAGCATGGTGAAATTATTCGCATAACTAGAATTACCTGAATTTTTAAATTTAGGCCTTCACATTAAATATCATTAAATTACAAAGCTATTGGCCAATTGATAAACTTTTTAGCTCAACTAACAAAACCGTAGATCCACTGCTTGGTCACTGATCATCTCTTCTAACAACTTTTTCATCACTTTTTCTTCATCATCTTGGGGAAATTTTCCTCGCTGCTATTAAACTGATTACCCTTTTGTACCCATCCATCAGAGTACAAATTCAAAATGCAATTTGTAGAAACATGAAAAAGCTCCCGTGTATTTTCCACACCTCCTAAAAACTCTTTTATTATTTCATTAACTAAATTGATTAAAGCCCTATTTGTGTAAACTTATGAATAAGTCATTGGAAGAGAAGAAAAATAATATAAAAATGAAATAAATCTTTTAAATAAGTTAAAAATAATCTATCCCTTCAAGTTAAATAAGTTAATTTTAATTTAAGACAAATTTTATTGATTTTTTATTTTTTTACTTTTACAAATACTTATTTTCAAGCTTACCCAAACAACACCTAATTAAATTGATGAATGCTTATAATTTTAGGAACTAAAATTACGTGCTACTTTTTCCTTCACTCTTTCTTTTGTAGGGAGGTGAGTTTGTTTATAACGATGAACAAAATCAATATAAAAACCCTTATATCTCTGAAAAATAGTGATGCAATTACTATAATAATAATAATAGTGAAAAGGAAAGAATAAATAAAGTGTCCACTACCCCTTTTGAAATCTATGCCCGTGTCTCTCATTTCCTACGCGTGGCACACTAGAAAGCACACAGTGAGTGTTAATTCAGACAGCGCTCTAAACCTTTATTTAAAAAGCTTTGTAGCGGCGATCGACAGGGAGTGACTGAAACAATGTAAAGTGCTTAATTATAAAATTATATTATAAGACATGGTGAATTATTATTATTATTACTAATATTACTCACACTACGTAAACAGTGGTCATAGCTAGGCCGTTACGTCCTAAATTTGGTGTTCACTTTGATCCATTACGAGTGGATAATTTCCTCTTTTGTAGTCCCTGATTAATAGCCTCAAAAGCCTTGCTCAATTGGCTCTATGGAAGTGTAAATATGAGATGCTTTAATTTATTATAAGCATGTAAGATACATGAATGTCTTACACACATAATTTAAGAAAATTCAAGGTTCTAGCTATTGGTGTAACAATAAGGGCACTCGGGATATAGCATGCGTCGTGCTGCACTTTTCCACTACCCACACCTTCTCTCATCCTCTACCCGAGTGATAATTATCTAGTTATTTGAAGAAACAATCTACCCTGCTTGTATAGTTTTCATTACGATTATATGATCAGAGCAATAACCACTATGAATAATGCTGATGGCGTTCTTCTTGTTGATATGGTATTGGTGGCTTTGGGTCAGTCATGCCCACAATAAAGGTGATAGTGATAGAATGATAATCGTTTTTATATATTTTTTTCTAAGATGATTAAGCATTGTTTTGGTCATTTTCTCATTCGATAGAATGCGCAATCTTCACAGTGCCTGTTCTCTTTCTAATAGATGCCAAAACATAGTCATTTTAATTTCTTTTATTTTCCCATACTAATTGAGTAATTCTTCTTTTAAAGTTCATTAGGAGGTAATTTTGTATTTTTCACTCAAAATGAACTAATCTAAATGCACATTAAGCATAACTCAAAATGATTGTTACTACTCATTGTGTGTTCTACGAGTATATTTAACTCAAAATGATAGATACAAATATATCATTATTAGACAATGTTGAAATCACATCCTCCGAATTTGATTCTCCTCTTATACACACGCACACTTCACCAAGCCAGCTGAATAGAAGAAAGATACTCCAAATTATCCTATTTAACACTGACTTGAAGTACTGCCTTTACAAGTATCCACCTTATTCTCACCCTTCCATTGTCTGAACTAATAGAGCAATAGTGACCTTAATAGTTTGTGCTTGACTCCATTCTCAAGCTTTCAATAATCTCACTTGAAAAAAAAACATTAATAAATAATTTTAACGTTAAAAGTGAGGAGAGTTTCAACATTATCTCCTAAAAGCTTAATCTAATTTTGAATAATAACTATATCTCTAGATCTTTAATATAAAATTTTATGATTTAGATATTAATTGGAGTGGTAGTGGGACTACTGCTTTGACCAAATGATGAGCTAAGGGCGTATATAAGAATCCAACCCAACATCGCAATAAAAGACAATATATCCTGTGGAACAACGTAAAGGCATTTATGCATAGTTTGAAAAGATAACTGAGTGGACTATTTTCACTTGGAAAAAGGAAAAAGAAAATCATATCTTGGTCCTTTTGTTCCATTAAAACTAACATATATATATTAACTGATTAGAATGGGTAAAGACTCGAACATTAAGTTGGATTCATGATGTTGTCTTAAAAAATCGAAATAATAATGTGATAATATAAACTTTTGAACCAAAACCTTAATTAGGCTGCATTTTTTTTTCATATTTAAAACTTTGTATACTTCTATTTTTAATTTCAAAAATATCACTTTATTTTAATAATATTTCATATTTAAGAATATTATAGACATGGGATAAAAAAAGAAAATTAAGTCATTTTCACAATATTTTACATTTTTCAAAAACAAAATAATATATTTTCCAAATGTTTTATAATAATATGTAAGCATAATTTTTAAAATTAAAATGTTTTAAAATAATTTTCAAATAAAAAATTTAAAGTTAATATTATTTTTTATCATATCAAATAATTTTTTTAATTTATAGTTATTTTTAAATTCTTAATTATCTTTTAATTTAATTTACTAATATAAAAAAATTTGTTATTTAAGCATTTATTTTGAATTAAATAATTGTTAAAATAATGAAAGAATATAATTTGAATTATTTATTTAAACAAGTATTTTAATTTAACAGTCCATAAGAAAATTTAGCACCGATGAAGATATGATTGGAAGAAAGTGCAACGCATGGGGCGTATCGTACGGAAGGAGCGGCGATTGGTGTGATTTTGAAAGACGGAGAATTGGAAGAAATGTACGGACGATATATGATTGGATATCCAAACACCTTTCAATTTAATCCAATCTTTTCAATCTTCCTTTTAACACTGCAAAGTTTAAGATCCCATTCGTTACATTTCTCCAATTATTCGTGTACAAAGCCACGGACGGTCCTATCATTTTTGTAAAAATAAAACGCTAAAATATTACATTTTTTATTTTGTTAATTTTAATAATAAACTTTATTGAAAGATATTTATTATATTTTTAATTATAATTTTTTAAAAATAAAATATTCTTATTAATTAATTAATTCAATTCAAACTGTTTTTCTCAGTGCTACTTAGCTTAGATTTATTTTTCTTTTAAGGAATACCGTTACTTATATTTTAATATACGAATTTATGCAAAGTCATTTTAAACTTTTATGCATATAGAATGAATCCACACAAAACAGCATCATTTTTTTAAATCATTACTCTCCTAAGAAAGAAGAAACATGTTGATGCTATGTAAGTATGGAAAGAGAATATTATCACTTCTAATATCCTGCTAATTATTCACCATTTGAACAACATTTTTTAAAATTGTCTAAACTTTCCTTATTCAAATTTACTAACTTTTTAATTATCACTCCTATTTAACTTATTTTTTACATTAGTTTAATTTATATACATGACTCGAGATTAAATATGAGATTATATTTTTAACTAACTTTTTTAGATTATATTTATTTTTTATAAAATATAATTTTGTTTGAGTGAAATAAAATTACTTTAAAATGGCAAAATTCTTTCTTCAATACTATATTATACAAAGGAAAGTGAACCCTATTTATTTGAACTAATATATATGTTGGTATATACATAATTATATTGATGAATAAAAAAACTATACGTACGAATGTCTAAAGAGAGATTTATATTTAAAAATAAAATAAAATCTTAAATCATTTCTTAAGATTGTATAAATTTTGATACATGTCATTGAAATTTTAAGTTTTTGGTTGATTTTTAATGCAAAAAAACTATTTTAGTCATTTATTTTATTTTTTACTATTCTTTTGGATTTAAAGGGAATAAAGAAAATACTGTTTTGTAAAATCAGGACTCAACAAAAAAAATCTTAAAAACTAAAATATTTGACATATATATATATATATATATATTCTCGAGAGTTAATTCAAGGATTTTTTCCAAAAAATTGAGGGAGAAATCTTGACCCATCCTTAACTTCATTGAATTCGTCCCATCCTTAATCATTCATGCTTAAGTTTTATATCATCTAAACCATTACAATACTCAACGTGAACAAAGGTTAACAAAAATTCATTATATAATGTCAAAATTGGACTTGCATACTCCAACAAATTGAAGGAGACCAGATGATTCACTTGTTGCAATGAGTAGGAGATCGAAAAGTTTTCTTATTTTCTTCAAACTCTCCTTCCAATATGATTACAAGTCCTTCCCCCTTCCCCCCAAAAGCGAAAAAACAAAACTAAAATATGATGGCCAAACAAAAATAACGCCTTTAATTGGTAAAACTAGCATGTTGCCGCAGCCATAACACCCTCGGAAGCTGGCACTCTAAGACCAGAAACAACGTTGGTATTGGTCGAATTATAGAGAAAACGAGCTACAATCATAGCACTGGGTTCTGCCACCAACTTGTTCCAAGCCTCATTTGATTCTTGTCCACGCTTTCGAAACACGGCTGTGGCATCCAAGCGATGAATTTCCCATCTCTTAACATTCTTCAGCCTATGAATCTTCCCTAATTGCTTCATAGCCAGCTTGCAAGTATTCAACTTTATTGCACTAAGTGCTTCTTCCAATAACTTTTTCCTCGTTTCCTCACCCACAAACGCTTCCCTCCTAAAATACTCATCAAATTCAGGGACCCCAATGGCTCTTCTAATTCCTCTTGAATAATCCCCGTTGGGATTGAAAAAGGGTCTCAACTCGTCAACCATTCCACTGTGAAACATTTGATCAACTCGTTCTGCTACATAGGAATAAAGAACAGGCATTGACACGTCCACCCAGAGGCAGCAAAAATCGTACCTTGATCGGAACTTGTAATCATCATCGTCGATCAAAGCCTCAAGATATGAATTGGAACCACCAACGATGATTGGAAGCTGTTCATGGGCAGTGATTGATTGAATGGCTGATGATGAAGTGTCACAGAAATCATTTACTGTGAACTCAGTGTCGGGGTTTTGTGTTCCTAGTAAATGGTGGGGTACGCCACGTTGGTCTTCTTTGGAGATTTTGTTTGTGACTATGTCAAGTCCTTGGTAGACTTGAATTTTGTCGGAGTTGATGATTTCTGATGGAAAACATGTTGCAAGGTCAACGGAGAGCCTTGACTTTCCTGTGCCTGTGGCTCCCATCACTAACACTACCTTCTCTTTCTGAATTTGCCTCACATTAAGTTTTTTGCCACTACAAGGAACGTTTACTACGGGTTGTCTTAGTCTACACATAAACAGTGAGATGGTCATGGTGATGGGTGTGATCTGACCAACCCAATTTATGAGAAAATTAAGGACAAGAAAACCCACCAAGAGTATGAAAATTTAGAATCAATTAGGCAAAGTACGGGGTAGGGGAATTCTTTTTATATATAATTTGGAAGAGTACACACAAAGCTCCAAAAAAAATGGAGCTAATACAAGATGGGTGTTTATTTGGTGTACAAGGTCAATCATGAAAGGTGTAACGCGTCTTCAAAGCTCACATAAGAACTCAAGTAGAGGTAAATTGAGAATGAGAGAGGGTTTGTGGAATATTTATAGCGTAGACAAATCGAAAGAGGTCAAAACTGTCACTCTCTGCTTCCCTGTTCATGAATATAAAGTAGTCACGAATTATTGATTGTCAACTTGGTGTTGTCAAATATCTACAAACTTTATGCCATATAGAAATGTTATAATGGTCCAGAGGCTCAACGAAGCTCTTCAGGGTCATCTTCTTTCTGAGAAGCCAGTGGGCACGGTAGGTTCTATCTTTAGTGGGTTATATGGCAAAGAATGGCAAATTGCATAAAGAATATATAAATGATAAGGTCATTCTTATTATTCCCTAATGTTTGTTTCTTTTGTATTTTGTCTATATATATGTGTGTGGGTTTTCCGCTAGGCGGTAGCTAGCATTTAGTGGTTAGAGCAGCTTTTCCACTCATCGTGTCTCGCATGATAGGGTAAAATATTCTCTTACTTTACAATAAACAAAAATAATTGAACTTGCACTGATATATATTTAGATAATTTTAAATTAATCTAAAAATATCATAAATTTCAAATAAAGTTACTTTTATAAATGAATTAACATTCAAGTTTGGGTTGAACATATTCTCAACTGTGTGCGTTTGGATTAGTCTAGTTAGATGAAATAATTAATTTTATTAGTTTTTTAAGCGAATATAATTTTTTTCAAAAAAAAAAATCTAACTAAAGATAGACTAATTATAATTAATAAACTGTTGTGTATTCATAAAAATAAAGACTAACGGAACTTATCATTAATGTTCACTTAACTAGTACATTAAATAATAAGACAAAAAAAGTTGAGTTCCATTCATAATGGATGGGACTATCTTTCCTCCTTTTAAACGTTTAAACATTCGTGTGGTAAAATAAATATTTTAAAATGTTAAGGTGTGTAAGAATTCAACTAGAGATTACAAGGTTCAAAATATATAAAAAATTAAATATTAAAAAAGTACATGTATTCGTTTCACCTTTGTTTACTTTGTGAATATTCCTTTTAAGCTAGCATTATGCAAACAACTAAACTGGGCTAACTTTACTTCGCATCACTTAACTTGTAAATCGAATAATAAGACATAAAAAGTATGAATTCCATTCGTGTTCATGGGACAACCTTTCCTCTCTTTAAACGTTTGTGTTGAAAAGAAAAAGTTATTGAGGGTAAGAATTTAACTAAAGGCAAAATGTTCAAAATATAAAAAAAAAATCTTCAGTAATAAAATATTATATTATGTTTTATTCGTTTCAACTTTGTTTTCTTTGTCAACCTTCCCGTTTGGCTTTTCGTTTTATCCCTCTGGTAATTAGCCTGCTTAAAATTTCAGCATATGATAATTTAAATCGTAATTTCGATTTTGATAAGTAATGAGCTTAATATTTCTATACGTGTATGTGCCATGAGACGAACTATTCTCTGGAAGTTTACATAATACATGTAATTATATGTTAAAAACTGAGCCCGCACGAGGTAATTTGTTAAACCAAAAAAATTAAATATATTAATTGCCAAAAATAAAAATGGTCTAGTATCACTTTGATAGGTCCAAAGTCAATGAGTACAAAGAGATTAGGAATAAAAATGAGAGGATGATGTATCTGCAAATGTATTTTAATGTTCAAGTCAATAAATGCACCAACAACAAAGTAATAATATGAAATTGATTATGCACTTGGTGTAATGACGTTGACCAGTCATTTAGATATATTTGAAGCAGTCCCAAAAGGAATAGATCAACGTGGCTTAACCTCCAAAGGATCTAGGTCCCTAGGATAGATGCTGTAACTCCTTGAATTTAATATTTCATATTAACGTGCATGAAGTGTTAGATGTGCATATGTTTACAAGGTCTCTAGGATAGATGCTGTGACTCTGAATATAATCTTTTGTAGCAGTGTATATGAAGTGTTTGATGTGCATATGTTTAGATTTAAGTGCACCTTAAATTTGACATTTGACCTAGTTATATGTAAGATTGTTAGCAATTCATGAAATGCCTTTGGTTTTGGGTCCTCTTTGGACTATCCCAAAACAAAAAAGTATGAGGGTAATTTGTGAGAAGATTAAAGCTAATGTGAAAATTTTATAATTTAAGCAAAAAGAAATAAAATAAGTTAGAAAGATATTTAGAAATTAATTGGGTAGTAAGGTATATAACGGTCGTTCACAAGAAAATGTTCTTCGTCATTTGTTTTGTTCATGCAAACGTGCTTCTCAAAGTGATCAAATTGATTAGTGCCCCATATATGAGAATCTTCCATGCATAAGAATAGAAACGACGATGTGAAATAGAACCGTATGACCTAAGCAAACTGCATTTATTCTAATGAACTGTTATGGAAGTACTGGTTCATTTTCAAGATTGACAATGATTGTATGCTTAATTTTATGCATGACAACGAAGGTTGGCCATGGCAATAAGTGCCGACTTGAGATTCGTATAGGATAATTATATGGATCCTTTGTTCGAATTGATCCATGCAACTTAGTAAGCACTTCAAGTTTGCATGGCCAACGATATTAAGTTATGAATGATCACATAAATCGGTTTGTTTTATCCGATACATATCAATAATGAATCCAACTTTAAGGTTGACATTGATAGAGTGATCTCCAAGATAATCGAATCTACGGTTTGGAAGATATAGCTTGAGATTCTTGTAACAACAGGTGCAGGCGATCATTTTGCTGATTGATCAAACTCGGTTACGAAAGGTACTACCACCTATAAAAAATGGATTCCTTAACCCAATTGGAATTAGGATGTATTTTGTTACTCGTTTGAAATCTATTGCACCCTTCAAGAGAGAATAAATAGCAATTTATTTTATTTTTGTTGAACCAAACACCTGATATAAGTTTTTTCAACGAAAAATCAAACACATGTTTACATGTACAAGCTCAAATATTAATATATTCACGTAACTCAAACAATAAACGAGGGAAAGTGTTCGGGAATAAAAATAATCTTACACTAGAAACGAATATTAGTCTCACATTACAATATGAAAATTAATACTTAAAAACAGAAAGAAATATTTTGAGGCAACCATTATTTTCAAACAAAACTAAAATTAAATGTTCAAATGAAACTAAAAAATCTCAATTAGCTTGTTATGGACGTACCTTCAACTAGAAACGATATGTCAACGTACTATTCAGCATACGTCGGTGTTGATGTTCTTCTCTATCAATTAGTGCGGTACATAAGTAGAATAGTACTTATTCCATCCTCAAATTGGCAATTATATTGAGTGTAAGTATCATGGTTTTGTGCTGCAACTCAATAATAATAATTATAATTAAAAAACAAGATGTAATAGATGCTGCCCTCTTTATTGTTTTTAGGGTTTTTTTTTTTTTTCTGATAAAAAATTGCTTTAAGAACTAATTCATTGATAAAGTGGCCGAAAGAGAAGTATTCGGCAAATTGGTTTAACTGATAATATTGATTAATAACATCGTATAGCTTTTATTAATGAAAAAACTCCGCTGATTAATTACTCTGATTTTAGATCATAAAGGTACTACATTTGGTCTTAGGCAATTTGTGGTAACATTTAATTAGTCGGATTCTCTAACTCGATTAAACTATATATTTAAAACAAAATATATAAAAATATTCACACCAATAAATTAGTAATAGTAGGAGTCAAATCTATTAAATGCAATTAACCAAATTATTAATGGCCTCTAGCTTTACTTACAGTTAGATTATTTTTTTTAATTTTTAATAAAATTTTATTATGTATAACTTTTTATTATATATAATATTTTACAAGTTACAAAAAATTATTTATAAAACTGCTGCCTTTGACTAATCATGGACTGCTATAGCCACAAGCAATATTGTCTTGAACAAGATTCATTTGATTTGTGTCAGGATAGTATATAAATATTATTTAAAAGAAATATATAAATTAGTCATAGATTATAAAATGGTGAAACCTCGCTATAAAACATTATCACTAATTAATAATCGATTGTTAAATTAGTTTTTATCAGTATAATAAACAGTATATACATATACATATATATATATATATATATATATATATATATATGTATATAACTTTATTTAATTTTTGATAAATAAAAATTATAGCAATAAATGTTTTTTAATGTAGCGATAGATAATTTATAGATATTAAATTTTACGTAACAATTTTAACCGGGCTAGGTTAATAAATTAATATCTGCCTATGGATTTTCCTTTTCGTGCCTCACATTTCATGATTCTTCTTTATGATGCCATGCTCTGTTCACTTTATATGAAAGTACTTTTACTTCCTAACAAGTACTTTTAGAATAGTAATTGAAAATTAAAAAATTAATAAAAACATTTCATATACTATATATTTCTTGACTGTTGCCGAATTTCAATTATTGAACTAGTGGTAATTCGTTGGATGAGGTATCCCCTAATTATTAACTAGTAGTATTAATTATGTGAAGAAACTTTAGTAACATATTTGATATACTTTTTATTTTATATTATTATTATTATTAATTGAATTTCATACGAATCTCGTTAAAAGAATGTAGACTTTCTTAAAACAAAACCATCTGATAATCGAAAATATGTTAACATAAGCATGTTAAATAATACGTTGTTCATGATTTTTTTAGTAAAATATTATTCTTTATATATATAAAGAGAGAGAGAGAGAGAGGAAAGGTAATTCTGAAAAATATCTTTTAGAAAGTCCTTTTAGAAGTTATTTTTCTAAAAATTAATTAGAAGAAAATTCCAAAAAAAAAAAATTTCAGGATATTTTTTAAAAAACAAACACAACTATTATAAAATTATCTTCAAGTCCAACCCTGCAAGCATAGCCAATGAATCACAGTTACACTTATTATGAGGAGCAATCTCTTTACTCCTCGAATATGTTAGATTTACGGTAGCTTTCCGCAGTACCATTAATTTGATCAAGCATAGTAGTTCATTTCAAACAATAAGCTCATATGATTGGGTTAGCAGCGAGACATTTAGTTACTTCGGAAGAAGTCATAAATGTTATTCTAACACAAAAACAAAATTAATGATCATATTACTTCAAATGTCAATTTGGTTCTCATGCTATGCGTCCAGAAGGAAATTATCCAAACACTGAAAATAGATATCACCATACTGAAGAAACATTAAGATAAATAGACAAAAGTTTTGTCAGACAAGTGTAGTTCCGTTGAACATTTCCATTGCTTCACTCAAGTCATCAACCAAATTCATGGGCAGCAAGAAAAGACCCTTACTCTCCAGTAGCTGACTGGCTGCCGTTGAATGTTCTTCAAGTAGTTTTCCCATTATCTCCTCAAGGGGTTCATTCAGCATCTGTTGGTTGATATAATGGCCATAACCCTGCAACATACAATACTTTGCAATCAAAGATTTTACATTATGATTCTGTGTATGTACTAAAATGAAGGATAAATGTGTACCTCATGAAAAACTAGTGGTATAGCAGTTGATTCAGCTTGCAACCTACCTCCACTTTGTTCCTGCAAAGAATAATCTCCCTAGTTATTGCCTCTATCTTGTTCCAACTTAATGTAGAAACTAGAACATCTACTTGTCCCTTATGCCATTTAATATGCATGTTATATGACAATTGATGAGATTGAGAACATTGGGAGTAAAAACGTACCTTTATTTGAAGTTGCAAATATTTGACATAGTCAATAATATCGTCCAGTATGTACGCTTGACTACCCTACAAATTAAAATTCAGTTCACCAAGTAAATGTTGTAAAATTCAGTCTGTGAATGCGAGCTGCTTAAATATTACTCCAAAAACCTGTTTTTAATGTTATGTTTTCATTTATGCACGGGTTATCATAATGACACCATCTCGGCATATTCAAACACTTAGAAAAAAGTTGGTTGGCATTTCTGGTGATTCTGTTTGAGTAGCTGATCAAAGAGAGAAACATCACACCATTAATGATAAATTGACAACTTACCAAAAAAACCACCCTAAACCCATATTTATGGATTTGTCTAAGTTAACTAGAGATTTTGTCGACAAAAAATTAAATAAAAAATTAACATAATTTCTAATAAATATCTTTAACTTAGAGAAACTCAATATTCATTCATAAACAACGGGTTACCTCAGCTGGATTTGGAAGCAATTCGTGTAAAGCTTTGAGGTTTTCAGCAATGCGTTGCCTGCGTTGCTATATTGAAGAGTACTTAATTAGGTGAGGAAAGCTAATTTGTGTCAAGAAAATATAATAAATTTGTTAAAGCTAAATTGCCAATAGTGTGGCCAATGGCAAGTTTCACTCACACGGTCAGTGACACGTGTTTTCTGTTTTGAGGAGCTGCATCCTGGTTTGGGAAGGAAAGAAGGTGCACCAACCATTACCATTGGATCAAATCGTGAACCATTATGCTTATCTCCAACTGAATCTGCTGTCCATGAAGCATGACCCTATCGCAATATTATAGTACAAATCATTATTAAAAAATCAGAATAAAGAATAATCTTTAAAATATATCAACAATTGCATTGAAGCATCGACCAACCTCATCATAAAGAAGATTTTGACTACTTCCACTTTCAACTTTAATTGTTTCCTCTCCTTCATCAACTCTCCAAAAACCAACCTGCAGAAAAAAAAAAAACACATAATAATGTATCCATGCATATCCGTATGCATGAAAATCAATATTCATTTTCACTACCTTTATTTATTTATCTATTTATTGTGTTCTATGAGCTTACCTTCCTTATGTCAAGGTCATTACTTGAAGAAGCAATAGGCTTAAAGCCACAAGCTTTTCCTGGGTCATTGTAAAAGAAGTTTCTGTCTATCCCCGTGATCCCATTACCATCATTCATGCTGCCAACAGGTAGATAACTGTTCCCAATCATGTATTCAGTTGAAGTGTTGGGCATATAAGTTGAGGATTCTGAAAGATATTCAACATAGTTATGAGATGGTTTTGGGAGGCAAGTCCACTGGCTCCCATTTCTTCCAGATGCTGCAATCACAAATTTTGGGTTTGGAATTGGATGAGCCTCAGCTGAATGAGAGACATCATTGGTGGTTCCTCCACTGTCACAAGGCACTAGTTGCTCAGTGTTCTCTTGGTGGCTTTGAGCTTCCATTACTAACATGTTCGAAAAAAAGAAAAAGAACTGAATTATATCAGAAAAACATAAAATAAAAGTGAGTAAGAAAATGGTAAAGGAAAGAACTTTCTGGTACCAACTGAAAAGAAGCACAGAAAAAGAAAAGGGTAGTGGAAATGATAAGAAGAGCGACAATTGGGGGTAGGGTTTACATGCAATGATGAGGATGAGAATGTGAGCGTGCTCTGTTTCTGTTCTGCTTCTTAATGCTCTGTTATTGCCGGCTACGTACGCAAGCAATGTGTATTGTGCAGTGCTGCCAAATAGTACATGTGGATTCTGGTGTCCTCTCCGCTTGAAATATCGATTATACCCTCTAAATATTTGTTAAAATAAGGCATTTGTAAATACTTTTGTGTGCCCTTAAGAAAAATATCTTTATGTGAGTTCTTATTTCTGACAATAATGTATTAATGTTGAAAAAGATTTCTATGAAACTATTTTTGGAATACTAATTTTTTAGCATCTTCATTTATTTTACATATAACACACAATAAGAGGCTTAGTATTTATATTAATTCACAGTTTTACTAAAAGCCCCAAGGAAGACTAAATTCTATGTCTTCTATAGAATACAGTTTGAGACAAAATAGACGAAAAAATGAATACGGCAAGAGCATCCACAGCTGAATTTATTTCTCAAAAAACATGTCTCCATTTAATCAATCCTCACTTCTGTTGAAACGATTGTATTTTTTTTTTTCATATAGTTTAACCTTTATTTCTTTTTTTTTTATCTTATGATTTTTGTATTTTGTATTGAAAAATGGTTTTAATTAAAAAACGGATAAAGGAGACAAAATTTGACAAGAAAATGAAGAAGAGAAGAAATATATTTTAAACTCTAACACTTACAATCCATATCTTAAGTTGAGATAATTCCGTAGACTTCTTTCTTTTCTTTTCTTTTCTTTTTTTCTGGTTTATTGTTTGACGTTTGTTCCTGATCTCGAATTTGCAAGCTAAAATAAAAATAAAAACAAAATAATAAAATAAAACAAGACGTCCGGGCCTTAAAAACAGGCCAAGCCCATGGAAGAAAAAGTATTAAAGGTGACGTACAGGGCCCGGCCCATTACTTGCACTCCAAGAACACCGCCATCATCGTCGACCACGCTCACGCATTAGAATCCCACAAACATAGGAATATTCCTTCATTTCCTTTAAAAATAAAAAATAAATATTATATTATATATTATCTGCAAGGGTTTGTGTTTGTGATTGTGTCGTACCTAATTCAAAATTCATTTCTTTTCAATCCTCTCTTTGATCCCAATTTCTAGATCTGCTTGTCGCTGCCATCGGCAACTAACCATGGTTCTTCACAGAGAACTCGACCTTGTCCTTTCATCCCCTTTCATTGATCCCCCAAAAGGTAACTCTTTTATTTATTTATTAATTATTTTAATATGGAACTGTTATTTTCACAATTGCGTGCTTCTGGAGTTGGTCTTGAGTTTCTTTAATTTTAAAATTGAATTTTATGCGCCCAGATCTATGTTCCTCGTGGTTTTAAATTCTGTAGTAATTTTGTTGAAAATGAACAGATGGTTCGAAACCCAGTGGCATGTCAATTGAAAAGAAGATAGAGTTCCTTGAGAGCTTGACTGGAAAGGTTATTCTTTTAGAATCATCCATTGGTTGTGTATATTCCATTTACAGTTACACTCATTACTTGTGAATTGTGATTGTTCTGTTATGAAAAAAATGTAGTTGCCTTAATTTGTGATATTATTGATTATTTGTGGTTCATTGCTGTTTGATACGGAAATTTAATGAATACATTTGAGAAACTTCTTAATGTTATCTTATTTTTTTAGGTCCCAAGCCAAATATGATATCTATCTATATGTTTATGGACTTGCAAAGTTAATTAGATTTATAAATTTGATAATCACATTATGAAACTGATGAATTAATGTAGTATTAATTAAGTGGCATGGCATTTTGTGATTGAGTTTGAGTGGCTTTTCTTGAAAGTTTAAATGAAACAAGTTAGAATTCCTAATTTGTTTTTAACTCTAATCACAGATGTTGTCTCTTTGAATATTTTTAGTTTTAACTAATTTAAATAGTTTAATAAATTTCCTACTTGAAGTCCTTTCACAATTGAATTCACTTGTACTTTTCTGTTTTAAAATGGAGAACACTAAGCATTGGCTAACTTTAGGTGGACAATTTCTTTTTATTCCTTTCCTTTTAAGAATTTTCACAGCACTTGTAGAAATGTATATAAACTTAATTAATGTGTGTCAATGATATACTGCAAGTTTACCTACTCATTTTTTTTTTGTTTATATTATATGTGGAGCTCCTATGAGGCTAATCTTTACTAATTGTTGATATGAATATTATAAATGTGCTCATAGTTTTACCCATTCTGAGTGATAACAATTACAAGATATGAATTTTCTGATTTAACGATTAGGTTAGAATTAACTTGAGACTAATGTTACTTGATTCAGGTCACCAATCGAAGGTCTCGCAGGTGGTTAAATGACCGTCTCTTGATGGAACTAGTGCCACGTTTAAATGCAGAGGAAATTAGGGGCTTATTTGCTCCTCCACCTTGGGGTATTTATCTGAGTCAACTGTATGTTATTCATTGAATTCATAGCATTTTCATGGCTGTTTATTTTTATGCTAAGACTATGGTAGGCAAACAAAAATTGAATTCTTCCATGCAAGCAAGCTTACTAAAGTCACGTAATTTTTATTTATTTATTTATTTATTTTTTGGTGTGTGTGTGCATGCTTTATTACAAGTGCATGGGAATCAAAGGGGTCACATTCAAAATGTACATAAAATCTATAGGACACTTTGAAAGTGCACTGACTTTGAACTTTCAGTGATACTTATTATAATTTTGTTGTCATTTTCTGATTTACTTTTTCCTTCCTTCTTTTCTTGTATTAGCTGATCTTTCCCTTTTTATATGTTAATGATGGTTGGGTTCATTTTACAGGTGACGAAGTGCCACCTTCAACATTTTGCATGACTAATGTGGAGAAGTGGGATAGATTCAGGAATATAGACATGGATAAAGAGGTTATATTTATAATTTACTTCTTCATATAAACTATCTTTGAGGTCTTTTACTGTTTATGAAAGTAATTTATTGCACCTGCAATTGGATTTAACAACCATTAAACTATTGTTGGCACTTATTTAAAGTGGGTCTGGGTGTCATTTAGGTTGTGATTAGTGTTTCCATTGTAGTAGTTTGCTGGAAAGCCTGTTAATGTAATTGTGATATTTGTGACATGTATATATAGTTTGTGTGGGCATCATGCTCATGTGGCCAGGTGTGCATGCTTGAGGATTGCGATTAGTCTAGATCAAGGCAAAAGTATAACCTCTAGGCTGATTGCTTGGTTAGCATATGAAATTGCATTTTAATTATATCTTCATGAGGTGTGGTGAGTCTAGTGACAGCTGATAAGCATCTCATTATAGTTTTTTGTTTGCTTTGGTAGGTTAATATAATTCATGCCCTTGAAAACTCTTTAGAAAAGAGAAAAGGTCATGTTGATGCTGACAAGATGGCAGTGTTGAATGGCTGGCATAGAGTTGATTGTAGAACAAGAGAGGCACTACGCCGCAGCTCTCTTTCCGAACTCATAGAGGGTTATGAGGTATATATCAGATTAATGATTACCCCTCACTGAGTCCCCATCCCTAAATCATTGTGTTGCGCATGAAAGGGCCTAAACCATGGGTGCTTGTATACTTTTCATTTGCCATAATTACAAATAGTTTTATTGATATTTACATGGAATCTATTTTTCCCTTTTAGGAATGCGTGCGGGGCTTCATAACAGAAAGTGCAGATGGGGGAGTTCTTGAACTACGGGTTCAGGATCCCTTTCATAGATTGTTGCTGCATGGAGTTTGTGAGGTGATATAGATATACTGGTCCCATTGTTAATGTCCAGAAAATTTTGGAAGTGCTTGAGAGTACATTTTATGAAAACCAATAATTGATCATGAGAAAATAGCTTGCTGAAAAATAATTTCAGACAGAATTTTTCCCATAAAACATTTTCAGGAAAAAACAGTTTGTCAGGATAAGCCTTCATCAATGGATTGTACACTGGAAAATATTTTTCTTTTGAATGTCACCCCAAACAGCAGAAAAAGTTTTTTATTCTACTCCAAGCAATAGAAAGTGCTTTTCACACCAAATAGGAAAAAGCTTTCCATAAGGGTATTCTGTCAAAACAAACTAGTGATGGGTGTTTGAGAGAGCAGATCCAATTAATTCCCCCTTGATACATAAGCATCCTAACAATTGTTTCTCTTGTAAGCTGATCTGAGTATATTAAATTTTGTTGGAATATTCTGTGAACAGTTTTACAATCTGGCATCAGATACAGAGACAGATTTCAATGGCACAGAGTCGTCAAAGATTACAAGGATAAAGAAGAAGAAAAGGGGTTCTGCCAAGCTGTCAAATATCACCCTGTCCCATTTTCTGAAAATGTCCAAGGAAGGAAGTTGGTAGTTTCTTCAGGCAGAGCTGTTGTCCATACAATAAAGCCTGAACCTTAGTGATGGATCTCCTGAACTGAAAAAAAAACCTGCCTCAAGTACCAGGATGAACAATGTACACAATTAGGTATTTTTCTTTTCCAGAATATCACTGTAAATTAGTTCGTCAACCTGTATTTAATTGGTTGATGCCAACAATCAACGAAAGTTATTGATTGTGGGAATACAATGTTGTAGCTGATTAAATCTGATTTTAATAAATATCACATCTTATGGTTGCATTATCAGAGATATACGTCTATATGTACATATAAAGGTGAGATAGTCAATATTTAGAGATAGAATCAGGATCCAAATTCTATTTTGAGCGTGGTTTATCGACACAGTTGGGTTAGGAAATCTTAATTTTTGGATTATTGGTGGTGAGGAGTGCATAAAGGCAAGTGAGGGGGATGCATATATTTGTTGGTTATATTTAACCCGAACTTTACTGTTGGAGCTAGTCTTTTACTGTTAGTGCCTTTATATGTGTACATAGATAATTGTTTCAGAGTGCAAATTGCATTAACTTGAAGATTGAATTGTGGGATAAATAGTATCGGAGTATCGGATTATGCTTTAAAATCTGACATTTATAATTATGTAATATATAAACGTACTTCAATTTATAGTGTTCGTTTCAAATTTCGGGAAACTTGACGAACTTGATTTACTCGTAAGAATGAGATATATATATCACCAAACTTTCGTCAAAAATCCATAAGTTTCGTTATTCCATCATAATTATCATCTTCTGCCTCCAAATCAAATATGGTTACGAACCTCATCAAATGATACTCTGTTTCTCTTTCTCTATCTCGCATGTATATCTGAATTGTGTATAAGGAAAGCAAACATACGGTCGTGCACGTAATCTTCACTGACTCTGCTTTCAAAGGAAATCCACCAGTGGTTTGCTTGTTGGCTATCCTCTATAAGATCCACACCCGACAAAATATGCGAACAGACTATCCTCTGTATTGGCTATAAGCCGTGCATTATGATAATATAAGACGAGAAATCTTAGTGTATGGTTGAAACCTATTAAAAGACTGAACCCTAAACCTAATTGAAAAGTGAAAGTAGCGTTAAAATGGATACATGTTTTAGTATCATTAAATTTTGTTAAAAATTAAAATTATGAGAAGATAAAGCCAACTTATTATTAACTACGCTATTATTATAAAAAAAAAATTTCAAGTTAAACTCTTCGTTATTATAAAAAAATAAATATAAGTTGAATTTTCATCATTGTAAAAAAGATAAATTCAAGTTAAAATTATTTTCTTAATTTTTAAGTAAAAAATTTTTATTCAAACTTTATAAATAAGTGATGTTATAAAATATAAAATTTTATAATAAAATAGTTTATTATTTAATATTAAAGTTTGTTTTAAAGAGAAATTTTAACAAATATTTTTGTGATTATTTAAAAGTGTAATTGGTTATTAACAAAGTCAAAGTGGTTTGAATAAAAAAATGATTTCTTAACCGTTCATGTTTGTTATACCAATTATATTTCAACCATGCTGTGCTGTATCTTGCGCACAAAGACAGGCTGGGAATTTGGGGCGGGGGGCTTGATTTATCTGGTTCTGACCCGTGCTTTCTTAAATAGTTTTTAATTTAAGAATTTAAAGTAATTAAAAATAAATTTAATTTTAATACATTATTAGTATAATTTTTTAATATTATCAATTAATTAAAATATACAGTACATATATTTTTAAAATTAATTATTATAAAAGTTGATGATTTTTACTAATATAATAATTTATAATTAAATTAGTGCACTTTGATTAATTTCTAAAAAAATGTAATAGATATATTTTTTAATAATATAATAATTTATGATTCGATAATAATATGACATATATTTTAATAATTTCTCAACTCATAATAATTTAACTTTTAACGATTTCATCAAAACATTTATACTTTTTAGCATAATAATAACCAGTCAACATTACCTTTTCCAGCGACCAATTTTCTTGTCTTATCAAACTGGAACGTGGAGAAGTATTAGGAATACAATCATTCTAAGGTATTCTTATTACTTAATTAAAATTTATAAAAGTACAAGTAAACATTATTAAATAAAATAGAATTTGTATAATTTTTAATAAATTTTAGTCTTTATAAAGATTTGGTTAAAAATATAATATAACATAGTTATTAAGCTTACATACTTGAAATGCTAATAAAAATTAAATTTAAATACTTTTTTGTTTCAAAATAAATTAGATTAAAGATGGAAAAAAGTGATGCAATTATTAAACTTTTTTAAAAAATATGATAGAATTTGGATTCTCTCATATTACTAGTATGATATGGTAGTATTAAAAAAATAAAATTTATTAAATGAAACTCACTACTATTAGTCTTAGAATCCAATTATTAATTTTAATAAAAATATAATTTTTTAACATATACGTTATTGATTGAAGGAAAATATTTTATGTACCACGATCTGAAGATAATTTTTATGTTTTAAATATATTTGAATATTTGTAAGAAAAATATTAAAAAATGAAAAATATACACATTTGTATACAGTGTCGTGTAAAATATGGAAGTGAGAATTCAAATTCGATTTGAGTGCACAGAAGAATCTTTGAATACCAATAAAATAGTTTATAGATGGACTAAGGTGGTGGTGTTGATTGCTTTAAAAATGACACATACGAAGTGAGAAATTGCAAAGAAGCAACGTTGGTGGCGGCTGAAGGGTGCGTTGAATCTTTGACCAGTTTTAGCAATCGAGAAAGCAATTGGGTGTCAATGGCAAAGAAAGCAGTGAAGTACAGTGTGGTATGTTTCTAAGTTGTAACTGAACTGTGTCGTTTGTTATTACTATGTTATTGTGGATAAGGTGTGCACTGTGTTAACCAGGTTGACGCGTTCACTGAGTCAGCGTTCAGGGGGAACGCTGCTGCGGTGTGTTTGTTAGAAGAAGAGAGAGACGAGCGGTGGTTGCAAGCAGTTGCCACTGAGTTCAATATCTCCGAGACCGCTTTCTTAACTCGCATCCCCGAGTCACATCACAACCTTAACTCGCTCCCCGCTGCCTCTATTCCCCGTTTTCATCTTAGATGGTTCACTCCTGTTGCTGAGGTTAATATAATCAACACCTCACACACACACACACACACGCACCCTTGTTCCTATTCATTATCATTCATCGCTCTTATTTTCACAACTTGTCTGATTTTTCAATAACAACATTTCTCTTAGAATTAAAGGTCTACACATATATTCACAAAATAAAACTCTAATTCTAATTAAAAAAGCAGCATGAATAATACTTGTGTTGTGCACCTAAATTTTGTCTCATGATATACTATGAGCTCCATATATGTTATTAAATGCGTTATTTAAATCATTGACGTTATCTGGACCCTTATGAAGGTTAAACTATGTGGTCATGCCACATTAGCGGCTGCGCAAACGCTATTTTCATCTGGTATGGTGGATGCTCCAGTTATTGAATTCGAGACTCTATCTGGACTATTAACTGCCAAAAAGATTCCACCCATCAATAACACTAGTGCCTCTAACTTGCAAAAGGATGGGTTTTATATCGAATTGGATTTTCCTGTTGACCCTGTTTCAGAATTTGACTGTGATGATACTTCACAAATCTCTGGGGCATTGGGGGGTGCTTCCATAATTGACATAAAGAAGACACATATTGGAGATGACTTGATCGTAATTTCTATATCTTCTCTCCTTCTTTTTTATTATCGTCTAGTACATATAATGCGTGTTATTTTTTTTTGCATCATAAATATCTGTTTGATTGCTTGATCGTATGTATTTTGAACAATTTGTGCACATTGAACATTATGAAACTTAAATCATTTCTGCTAGGTTGTACTTGAATCTGGAAGAGCTGTCACAGAATTACAGCCACAATTTGATGCAATAGTTAAATGTCCTAGAAGGGGGATAATTGTTTCTGGGGTTGCTCCTCCGGACTCAGGATTTGACTTCTATAGTCGATTCTTCTGCCCAAAGTATGGAATCAACGAGGTGGGTGGCTGAGAATTTTGTCCATAATGTTTCTACAATTGATTGACTATGTCGCCTTAATTATGCAATACTAATAACAGAGGGTCCTAGTAATTTGAGGTTCAGATTTCGATTTTGAACCCAACAATATTGATGCAATTTTGGAGCCACATAATCCGTTCAAATGCTATTCTTTTTTTTTTTTTTTTTTTACACTACAATTTACAGGTCTGTGAGCAAATCTGAGGTCACGTCTTACTACAAGAACTTCACCATTTTAATCATATTACAAATAAATAAATCTTCAATTGAAGGCACATAATATTGTTATTAATATTTACTTCCTATTTTTATAAGATCCATTGATGAATCATTTAGAAGAAAGACAAGGGTATTAAATTATAGAAAGCAAGTCCAATCTTCCATTCCACTTCAATATATGAAAGTAGAATTAGTGAGATAATGTTAAATAAATCATTTCATTTCAGGATCCTGTTACTGGGAGTGCACATTGTGCCTTGGCATCTTACTGGAGCAAGAAGCTAGGGAAGTGTGATTTCAATGCTTATCAGGTAATCTCCTTCATTTCATTGAGAATGGGATTACCTTTGTTATTGTGGCACTAACATGTAGATTACATTCGTGTAGGCATCAGCCAGAGGGGGAGTTCTCAATATTCATATTGATGAACAGAACCAAAGAGTGCTTTTGCGTGGGAAGGCTGTTACCGTGATGGAAGGGTGTATTCTGGTCTAGTCATTTTCTAGTATTGCAGAATTTGTAATTGCACCAACGTATGTTTCAGATGACAATAATTGTAATTCAAGTATTGAACTGTTATGGTACTTTATCTCAAATAAACCTCTGCATTCGGCATTGGTGGTTCACGTATAGGGATAAAAATAGGCCACGCTGAAAGGGATGGTAGCCTAGCTTGACCTTTTTAATAAATAAATTAAGTTTAAATTTTTTTTAAAGTCTGTATAAGTAAATAAATTAAGTCTGAATTGTTTATAAAGTCTGTTAAATCTGACAGGTTTAAATAAATTGTATGAATGTTATTTTTTTTTATCAATTTTATGTGTTTACTATAACTTTATTTGTTGAATATAAGATGTCTGTAAACAAACAAAATATATTTTTAAAATAAAACTAAAATATTTATTATTTATATAATTTTTAAAAATAAATCAAGAAAAATATAAATATAAATTTTATTAATATAAAATATTTATAATTAATATTTAAATAATATTTTAAAAATTATTTATAAAATTATATAAATATTATTATAATTATTTAATAATTATTAGTAACATTGATAAAAATTAAAAAATATATAAACTAATTTGATAATAAAATATTTATATTTTTATTAATATTAATTTTCTTTTATAACAGATTTTAGACTATGTTAAGCCACTTAAATAGATCAGGTTAAATCTAAAATAAAATTTTTAACAAATAATAGTTCAGACTCAAATCTAATAATTATATTACATACTAAACCTATTTAAAATAAAGTCTATGCGGTGTAATAGTAATATAGTGTTTGTGATTCGAATAAAATTGGTCAGTTTATTGCCTTTTCTTCTAACTCTTTTTTATGTGACACGTAATCGATAAAATTTGGACCCATGTCCATCGTTTGATTCTTTTGGGCATAGTTAATTCAGGTGAAAGAATACTATCTGTGGATATACACTGACAGCAGCTAAATTTTTTCCAGAGGTTATTAATTTGAATATTCTGCATATTAAAAGGAAAACGAACCAGTGAATTAAGGCCACTGGAAAGTAGCAATAAAAACAAAAATAGGATTCAGACACTTACTTGTTCATTTGATTGTGCCCTTCTGTGTCGGTCAATGGTCAAGTGGGAATGGTAAAGAGAGGTAACCAGTAGACAAACAGATGTCAGAAATTATATTTTGTACAATAAATATATGTACATTAATCAGAGGGCCAAGAAGAAATAGTATTAAATATATGTCCCTATATATAATATTAAAGTTCTTTTGGCCACGATAGTAAATATGTACAATTTAATAGTAATAAACTTTTATTAAATAATGATTAAATTAATAGTATAATATATATTTAAAATATTTTACCAATAGATATTTTTAAAACACTGAAAGCAAATTTAAAAATAAAAGAAAAACGTGTCAACTATCTTAATAAGTACAATAACAAGTTTTATTTATTAAATATTCTCACAAAAGCCTTCTACTTTCTTTTATGTATAGAAAATTTGGTACTAGTCGGTTGAATGTTTGGTACTTAATAATTTTAAAAAAAATCATTATTCACAAGTTTTTATATTTAAATTTTTTTTAAAATCATCAATAATAATTTTTGACATTTAAATTTTTTTAATATTTTAAACATTTTATTAATATCAATATTTTGACACTTCAAAATTTTCTGCATCTACACAAAAAGTTGTTGATGTTTGAATTTTTACATTTTCGTAATTTTTTTCTGAAACTTTATATTTCGGTTATATTATTTTTAAATCCTATATAAAACTAAAAAAAAAAAGCAAAATATTTAACATTATTACTGAAGTGAGAGATCACAACGAAACACGTTGGTGGCGGCTGAGGGGTGCGTTGGAGGTTTGACCAGTTTTAGCAGTTGAATTGGTGTGAGAATGGCAAAGAAATCAGTGAAATATTGTGTGGTATGTTTGTGATTGAAGTGTGTTGTTTTGTTAATTTTGCATAATGAGGTGGCCACTGAATCGTAGATACGCAGGTAGACGCGTTCACTGAGTCGGCGTTCAAAGGAAACCCGGCAGCAGTGTGTTTCTTAGAAGAAGAGAGGAACGATGAGTGGTTGCAAGCGGTTGCCACCGAGTTCAACATCTCTCAGACGTGTTTCTTAACTCACATCGCCGATTCCCATCACAACCTTAACTCGCTCCACTCAACCTCTCATCCCCGTTTTCATCTCCGATGGTTTACTCCTCTTCTTGAGGTTTTCTTTTTATCTACTCACTTCAGACGATAAAACATATTAAGGATTTTATTTATTTATTTATTTTATATTTTTTAAAATGATTTGTACTATTTTTTTCTTGTTAATGATAAATGTCTAAATAGGCAAGAATTAAATAAAGTTAAAGGTACATTTAAATGAGTGTAATTAATGCTGTTTAAACTTATAAATAAATGGCAAAAGTAGTAATTTAGTTTTTTAAATTTTTTTTATTTGGTTTGATCTTCTAATTTTATTTTATTTTATTTTGCTATAGTCTTTTATCTCTTATTTAGTTTTAATTTAGTCTGATTTATCAATTATAATGGTAAAAAAATCACTGTAATTAATTAAAAATATCATAATTTATAGCAACTTTTTACTGTCACAATTAATAAATAGTACGAAATTGAAATCAAATAAAAATTAAAAGACTAAAAAATAAAGAACCAAATAAAAAAATAGAAGAAAGGAGAGGATTAAAATTTATCAGCATACAGCACGTACACTTGTTTTTACCAATTGTTGAACCCGGGCAGGACGAATATATTCATGATCATATAACAGCTCTCATTTTCATAATTTGTTTGATTTTTCATTAGTCTTGACTAATTTAGATGAAATTGTATGAGCTCAATGTGTTATTAAATGTATTTAAAGAACAAAATTGATAAAGTACTTTAAGTATTTATGATGATATTCTTTTATTAAAATCAGAGTTTTACTTTAATAATTCATATATTAAAGGTTAACAATGATTAATGAAATGAAGTTCTATCTTCGGTCGAAGAAAGTATACTAACACTCGTTGAGTTACAATTCTTTCAGTTCTTATTTAAACCGCTGACATTATCTGGACTCCTTATGCAGGTTAAACTTTGTGGCCATGCCACATTAGCCGCTGCGCACACCCTATTTTCTTCTGGTTTGGTGGATACTGATGTTATTGAATTTGTGACGCTGTCTGGAGTATTAACTGCCAAAAAAATCCGACCGATCAATAACACTAGTGCCTCAAATTTGCAAAAGGATGGGTTTTATGTTGAATTGGATTTTCCTGCTGACCCTATTACAGAATTCGACTTTGACGACACTTCACAAATTTCTGGGGCATTGAACGGTGCTTCCATAACTGATATGAAAAGGACACAAAATGGAAATGATATACTTGTAATTTCTTTATCTATTCTCTTCCGTCTTTATTATTGTCTAGTACAAATCAATTGCAGCATAATTGTTCCCAGAAAGCAACATTAATTTTTGCACATGCATGCCATTTTTCGTCATTGTAATTTTCGTAGGTTGTTGTCACATCTGGAATAGCTGTCGCAGAATTACAGCCACAACTTGATGCATTAGTTAAATGTCCTGGAAGGGGGATAATTGTCTCGGCGATTGCTCCTCCAGACTCTGGATTTGACTTCTATAGTCGATTCTTCTGCCCAAAATTTGGAGTCAATGAGGTAGGTGTCTGAGAATTTTGTCCATAATGTTTCTCCAATTGTATTGGCAATGTCTTCTTAATTATGCTATAAATGATGACATAGGCTAGTAGTAAGCTGAGGTTCAGATTTTGATTTTGAACTCAATAATATGGATGCAATTTTGGAGCTACGTAATCCATCCAAATGCTATTTCTCTCTTTTTTTACTTTTGTTTTTAAACTACAATCTGCTTGTCTGTGAGCGAATCTGAGGTCAAGTCTTACAAACAAGTTCACCCATTTTAAAGTATATTAGAAAAAACATTAAATGAAACCACATAACATTTTATTTTTGCTATTTACTTCCTATTTTTACAAGTTCCAATGTTGGATCATTTAGCAGAATGCGAAGGGTATTATATTGTAGAAAGCAAGTCCAATCTTTCATTTCACTTCAATATATGAAATTTGAATTAGTGAGATAAAGTTAAATAATTCATTTCCTTTTAGGATCCTGTTTGTGGGAGTGCACATTGTGCCTTGGCGTCCTACTGGAGCAAGAAGCTGGGGAAGTGTGATCTCCATGCTTATCAGGTACTCTCCTTCCCCCCATTGGGAATGTGATCATCTGTGTTATTGTCTTAATAACATGTAGATTACATTTGTGCAGGCATCAGCCAGAGGGGGAGCTCTTGATATTCACATTGATGTGCAGAACCAGAGAGTGCTTTTGCGTGGGAAGGCTGTTACCGTGATGGAAGGGTGTATTCTGGTTTAGTCATTTTCTGAGTATTGTAGAATATGTGATTTCACCAACATATTTTTCAGATGACAATAATTGTAATTCAAATGTTGAACTGATACGATACTTCATCACATAAATAAACCTCTTGAGCATATTAAGTATTGGAGGTGGACAAACATTAGTATGTGGTGTAATAGCATTGGTTGACAGCAATGATATTTTCACTGAAGATATGCGAAATAAATGTATATACGAGAGACAGCATAGTAAAAAAAAGAAGAAAAAGTAAAGATATCGATATGGGGTTTATTTACTTTTTTAATGTTTTTAAAAAATAAATTCTTAAAATAATATTTTTTAAAAACATAATTTCTGTCTAGGATTTTTTTTGGTACGTTAGGAGTTGTTTCATCTATTGTCTTAACAAAATATTTTTTTATTTTTTAATTATTATTTTATTTTTAGTAAAGACGAAATTATCAGATTATGTCACGTGTATTATTATGTGAGTTTCGTCGCAAAAAAAATACACAGAACTACGCCATGTGTCATGTATGAATCAATTTATAAAATTAGTTAAAAAAATTATATTATAATATTTAATTAAAAAAATTATATAATTTTTAATTAATAATTATAAATATATTTAAAATGTACATTAAGATTACATTATGTATGACACTGAAGAGAATACATATTCATAAAATTATAAATTTAAAAATAATTATCATTTTAAAGTATGAGTCACATTTTTTTTTCTTTTTTCAAAGTAGTTTTGTAAGTTAAGTGTGATATTGGACCCATCCACACCGTTAAATTCTTTTGGGCATATTCCCATTCCTGTTAAAGTACATGGGGACAGCCGACAGCAGTTAAAAAAATATATTCAAAATTGAACAACCATTAAAGTAAAGTTTGAAAGATGTTATTTAAAAATATTATTAAATCAAATAAATTATATTAATTTATTTAAATTGACTTTTTTGTGATAAATGAATTAATTATTTAAATTTGATAATTTAAATTGATTATTTTTTTGTATTCTGTTTATAATATTTTGTTTTCAAAATTTACTAGTTTTGTCCAGACAAACAATCAAACAACCAAGAAAATGTAAAATGAGAGGATACTAGTAATCCAATAAATAAGAGCACGATTGATATGGTGAACCTAAGCCAATAAATAAGAGCGTGATGGACCTTTGTGAGCAAAATTCATATGCCTAACTTTTATTATTTTGTTTTAAAAATATATAATTTAATTTTACTTCTAAAAATATTTATGCGGTTAATTAATTAAAATATATTGTAAATATAATTTTTATAATATTTAATAATATTATTAATATAACGATCCGTATCATTAAATGTAAATAAAAAACTTGTAAAAAAGAATATTTCGACGTCCCTTTTAATTTCCAGAATCCAATTGCCGGTGTCGTACTCCAACTGGGACCAAGGAAAGAAAGTCATTATGGCATTAAAGGAAAAAGGTGTAACGTATACTGGTTGAGTTTAAAAATTTTAAAATACTATATGTAAAAGGTATTTATTATATCTTAAAATTTTTAATTTTATAAATATTTTTACTAAAATTTTATTGTATTTAAATATTTAAAATTTGACCTTTGAAAATTGAAGTTTATAAAATTAAAAAAATATATAATATAAATAAATATGTATATATAATTTTAATATATTAGTAATATCATTTTTTTACAATATTAATTAAATAAATAATTAGTATTATCAAATAATATAATAGTATAAATCATAAGTTAATACAGAGACGAAGAAATCATGTAAATTACACTAAAAATTATATTATTAATTATTTTATGCAAAATATGAATTTTATCTGTTTAATTATTAAATTATAACTATATATTACATTAAATATTTATACTAAAATTTTTCAAAATTAAATAATTACAAAGATATAATTAAAAAATATTTTTATATATTTTTTAAGTATATATTAAATTATTTTTTATCTACATAAATGATGTGTCGAATAATTTTAGATTGAACTAAATTTTTTTAATCCTAATCAATGTGACAGAAGTTTTGAATCCAATAATTAATTTTAAAATAAAATTATACAATAAAAAGTGTTAAATGGTGTAATTTATCAGCATAATTTAACTTTTATTTTTAGTTACTTTAATGATCCTTTTTAATATATATTTAAAAATACATAATTTATTGGCATAAAATTTTTTTATTAAAAATTAATACATTGATATTATAATTGCAATAATTTTTAATAAAAATATCATTTATTTATTATCTTTGAATATAGGTTAAAAATATCATCCCTTAAAATTAATTCTAAAAGTTGGTGTTGACAAAATGATAAGAAAATTCAAAAAACAACCGTGGGGGCAACATCATGTGAACTTCATAAAATTTGATGTGATACGATGAAAGGAAAAAGAATATAAATGTAATGAAATATAAACAGATAAATGTTAATTAGGGCTCTTAATATAAAAAGAAAAGAAAAAATATATATTATTGATATATCTGTTTTCATGATTTTCAATATACATCAACATAATTTTTAGTAACAACTTTCTATATAATTTCTTAAAAACACTAACCAGTTAAACCCAAATAAACGCACAAAGTAAGTGTTTAAGTAGTTATTTAAATAAATAAAATAAAGAAATCAATAGCCAGAGAATTTGAAAATACAGAGAATATTAGAGTTGGGCAAAAAATTTAATTTTATAAATTTAATCCATAATTAATATTAAATTGGTTTAAAAAATTTTAATCTATATTAAATTAATTTTTTAATTAACTATATTTATATAACTAATTTAGTGTTTAAATCTACTTTTTAAAATTAAATTTTTTTTATTTATCTAAATTCATATATATATATATATATATATATATATATATATATGTGTGTGTGTGTGAAAGTATTATCTTTTATATTAATTTTATTATTAATTTTTATTTTTATAAATTTTAATTTAAACTTTTGTCATCAATAAAAATAATAATATATTTTATAAACTTCTATAAAATATAATATAATTAATAAATATTGTTAAAAAAATTGAAATACACTAATTTAATATAATATTATGGATAACAAATTAGTTTTATTTTAAAAACAAAATTCACGTATTTAAATCTAAACACAAAATTTAAATATGTGAATGGATATCCATTCATTTTTTCACTTTTAAGCCTCTAGCGAAATAAATATTTTTAAAAAATTAAATAAATATTTAGTAGTTCTGTTAAAAATTTGGACTAAATTCACTTCTACATTGTTCAATCCTAAACAAATGCGTAAATATATTAAATTTTTTACTATGTAAAGAAACAAAAATATTTTCATTTATTTGAAATTATTTAAATGATAACAAATTAAATTTAAAATTAATTTAATGTAAAATTAAATTTAAAATTAGTTTCAACAAAAATTAAATTTGAAATTAAATTTTAATTTTAAAATTATTTTTAAATTAATTAAAAATAAAATAAAATAATTTAAAATTTTATCCATATAATTAGTTTATGTGATAAATAAATGATAAAAAGTAGAATATATATAAATATTTATTAGTTCAATAAAATAAAAATAAAAAATATATTATTAATAAATTAAAATATATGTAAATATTCTCTTGACATGTATTGTTAATTTTTATATAAATATAATGAATTAGAGAACTCTTTATATTTATATTTTTAATAAAATATTAATGTTTAACAAAAAAATATATATACAAATATAATGTTATATTAATTATTATAAAATTTAAATATTTATTAATATAATAATTTAATAATGATATAAAAAATATTTATAGTATATTTTTATTAGATTTAAAATTAATTTTAAAAAAATTAAAATAAAATAATCTATAATTCAATCTATATAATTAAATTTTAAATGTATCGAGATTAGTATTTAAAAAATTTAATGCATATTCACCCTTAGAATATGACTGGGCAGATTTTATTATTGAATAGTGAAATGAACCCATGGAACACGAGGTGGTGGTGTTGACCAGTTTTAGGACTTTAAATTTGAGAATAGAGAGAGACACTTTGTTGGTAAGTTCATGGCTCAAAAACCTGTGAAGTACTACGTGGTATGTTCTCTTTCCAACTTTGTTTTTACATTTTCGAATGCGAATCATCTGCACTAAATCTGAGTTTGAAACGCAGGTTGACGCGTTCACCGAGTCACCGTTCAAGGGAAACCCTGCAGCAGTGTGTTTCTTAGAAGAGCATCGGGAAGATGACTGGTTGCAAGCGGTTGCCACTGAGCTCAATGCCCCTGTCACCTGTTACTTAACTCGCATTCCCGAGTCTAATCACAACCTTAACTCGCTCCACGCAACCTCTAATAACGCCCGTTTTCGCCTTAGATGGTTTACTCATGTTAATGAGGTTGTCAAGTTTTGCCAGTACCCAACTCACACTCGCACTAGCTTTGTTTTTTTACCAGTAGTTGGACACAATTTATTCATCATAATTATAACTTCCATTTTCATAACTTGTATGATTTTTCTGTAATCTGTATTTGCTTGTTATATGCATCGTTTAAAGAACAAATCTTACATGCAATGAAACTTCATATTCTACCAAAAACACTTGTAGTGCTATAACTTCTAACATTATGCAGGTTAAACTTTGTGCCCACGCCACATTAGCTTCTGCGCACACACTATTTTCGGCTGGTTTGGTGGATACCAATATTATTGATTTTGTGACGCCATCTGGAGTACTAATTGCCAGAAAGGTCCCAGAAATCAACGTCACCAATGCCTCAAACTTGCAAAAGGGGTTAGTTGAGAATGGATTTTATATTGACTTTGATCTCCCCGCTCACCCAATTATAGAATTCAACTTCGACGATACCTCACAAGTTTCTGGGGCATTGAACGGTGCTTCCATTGTTGATATAAAGAGGACACAAATTGGAAATGACATACTTGTAATTCCAATATCTCCTCTTTTCCATCTTTTTTTTTTGTCTAATGCACATTTGTTACAGCTTAATTATTTCTTGAGAAACAGGAAGTCCTAGCCATATTTCTCTATGGTGAAGACATTTTTCACCATTGTTGTTCATTTTTTTACGCATGCTACTTTACTTTTATCAGCAAAATAGTAACAAGTAGGTGTTTTTGAACACTTTTGGAACCTTATCTTTATAATTTGTTCAAGGTTGTAGTCACATCTGGAAAGAATGTAACAGAAGTAGAGCCACATTTTGATGCAATAGCTAAATGTCCTGGAAGGGGGATAATTGTTTCGGGGATCGCTCCCCCAGACTCGGGATTTGACTTCTACAGTCGATTCTTCTGCCCCAAAGATGGAGTCAATGAGGTAAGTGGCTTATAACTATGACTATAAAACAAAACTTTTGGAATTGACTTTAGTCAAGCAGTTCACCATTTTAAATTATAAAAATAAAACTTTAGGCACATAATATTATTATTACTATCTACTTTTACAAGGTCCATTGTCTGATCATTTGGGTGAATACCTACCAAGGATTTTTATTGGACAAGTAAATAACTCAAAATTTAAATTCAATCAACCATCCTTATTTTTGAGTTGGACCCACATTCAAAATATCTTAATATTTATTATAGAAAAAAGTCCAGTCAAATATTTATTTTCAGGATCATGTGTGTGGGAGCGCACACTGTGGCTTGGCATCTTATTGGAGCAAAAAGCTGGGAAAGTGTGATCTCAAAGCTTATCAGGCATTCTACTTCCCCTCATTTGGAATGGGATATGTTTGCTATTGCTATTGTCTTAATAACCTGTGGATTACATATGTGCAGGCATCACCGAGAGGGGGAGTTCTCAATATTCATATTGATGTGAAGAACCAAAGAGTGATTTTGCGAGGGAAGGCTGTTACCGTTATGGAAGGGTGTGTTCTGGTCTAGTCCTGTTCCAAGTATTGCAGAATATGTAATTGCACCATTATTGCTATCTCATGACAAATAATTGTAATCGTAGTTCTGAAATGTTATGAATAATGCCTAAAGAATTAAAAAATATATATTATAAATAAAATTTTTTAAAATTTTCTCTGCACTCTAACATAGTTTTTAGTAAAAATTTTCCATGATTTGGGATATGGAGGATAGATCTTCTGCAGATTTCAGTATCAGCTTTTCCAGATTTCTCCGAGTGTATTCAGTGGCTTCTTTGTCCTTTTTCTTTATCTTTGATGGGCTTGGTCCGTCCTTCATAGTTTTTTATTTCTTTTATTTGTGGTATAGTCTCTATGTAAGCTTTTGGGACTCTTGACCAATCAAACTATAGTGTTTTAAAAAAATTATAAAAATATTAAAAAATTAAAAATCGCCAAAATCGTCAATTGCGTATTTGATTTTTTTTTTTCTCAAAATTACTATGAATGAGTTTTGATTTTTTGAAATTGTTTTAAAAAATTATCATTGACAAATTTTGATACTTTATAAATTTTTGTTATTTCATTAATAAATCTCTGCCTATGACAATTTTTTAACTTTATATTTTTGTAATTTTTAAAAAAAACCCATATTTTAGTGTATATTATTTTTAGATATCATGTATGAAAAAGTAATGTAGATACCGTGCTTGATTGGCAAAATACCGTAATCGATATTCATAGATATCGTATTCATGAATAATTGGTTTTAAATTATATTGATAGATAATCTATACAAAGCACGAAAATAATAACTAAATAATTATTGAGAAAAGATAAAGCATGCTTTCTATTATATCTAATAATGACACAAAATCAAGAATTTATGAGATGAATAAATACGAAGATTATTCATCCTCTCTCTATACATTATTATATATTTGTACCCCCAAAAAAATCTTATCGCTGCTCTTTTGTTTTCTGACATCCTAAGCGGTCTCCTTAAGTTCATATATACTCCAATGGACCACCTCGTTACTCTCCCAAAGGTGCATTCTTTCACAACTGATCAACTTCTTCTAATTGCATGAGCAGACATTATATAACGCCAAAGCCTCTCTAATAAGATAGTTTCACCCTTTTTGCTTTTTCACTTGAATTATTTCGTTGCAGACTTTTGGTTTCAAGCCACACTGCTCGAAGTGTCAAAAGACGGTGAAGAAGTTTTTATCAACACTGATTGGAAGTATGGTGACGTTTGTCCCCTTCTTCACTTTTCTAATAAATAAATGAAAATATAAATACACGATATAGTAAATTTAAAATACAAATTTAATTTATCTATAATCGATCTTAAATATTATCATTTTGTTATAGTTTCTTATGAAGCAAGGAAATCGAACATAATTAGCTAAAATTAAATAGGAACTTTGTGCATATGTAATGTAATTAATTTTAGGTGTTAGCTCCATCGCGGTTGAAGAGGAAGGAAACGAAGTAAAAGTGACTGTGAAGAGCAGAGTAAATCCTCAATATACGCTTGCAGTTGCTGGGATAATTGAAGCACTGAAAAAGGCAAAGGAAAATTCATATGGAGGCACGACAGTGACACCCCCAGGAAACGGGGTAGAGAATAACAGGGACGTGTCATTTGGTAAGCAACCAGAGAACGTGGGAACCAAGGAAGAGCTCGGAAATAAGGGTGTTTTTGCTTCTTCCAATGGAGGTGACCCTGGTAACAGTTCTGAAGGAGATGATGATGAAGTTTATTACACTCCTCCACACAGTCACAGTCCTGATTCTCGCTTCCCGTCGTTCGTTTAAATGCAGCATAATGTGAGGTCATAAGTAGTTGTCCCAACACAATAATAAGTTAATCATTTCTTTCAGATTTAACGTTGTTGTTTTCACCATGCTGAGGTTTCGTGTTTATCACAGAGCATGTGGGTTTCTCAAAACATATCATTGTATAGCCATGCCAAATGCAGTAGTAAATAAATTTAGTCTGTTTTTGATTTAGTAAAAAAGTTGGGCAGTCACGCTTTTTCAAATAATAATAGAAGGTCTAGTGCACGTGCTAAACGCATATTTCACAAATTAATTTTCGAAACATGTTTTTTTCTGCATATTTTTGTTATATTATTTTTATTAATAATATAAAGGATTTTCTATATATTGCGTACATGTGTATGCTTTTCTCATTTAATCGAACTAAATAAGGAATCCTCTTGTTTTGCCTATTTAAATTTTGATTCTTTAGAATTTTTTTATTTGTTCTTACAGTTCCAGTTTTTTAGAATTCCTCTTTTTATAAAGTATTAAATAAAACTGTAAATGTATTTAACAAATAATAAAATTTATAAAAAATATTAAATAATTTTAAAAATTACCTTTTTATTTTTATGAAGATTTTAAACTAATTAAAATAAATAAAATATTATATATTAATAATGATTTAATAATTTCTCTGTCAACTTACGAAAAAAATGGCTGTAAGAATTTAACAAAAGACTTGTTTATTTCGTCTTTACACGGACGATTTAGTAGAAATAAAAAACAGAAATCAATATGTTGGGTACTGCACCTCTTTCTTTCAACATCGTCCTTGGGTTCTCTCCTTCATCATCAGTTTTACGATTTATGAGTAGAATCAGTGACGTTAAAATCAGCGCATGAGAGGGAACGAGACAAGAGCGACGAGGTGAATCCCAATCTGTTGGTTTCAAGGTCAAACTGAAGAAGATTATCTTCCAGCTGCTTCCCTCCGATCACGATCGGCGTTTTCTTATTCACCCCACCGTCCACAAAACCCAAGCACCACAAATCCACCCCCTTCTTTTTATTCGTAACCCTAACCATCGAATTCGCTCCCAATATTCTCCAAATCACATCATCTTTCAGACCATTCAGCACGAGATCAACGGTCGGCACCACGGGACCAGCAGGGTTTACCGTGAGATCTCCCGCAGGGTAGCACACGTTGAATGGCTTAACGGGGGACGTTATCGTCAGGTTGAAGGCAGAGGAGGCAGCTTCCTTCACGAACAACTCCGTGAAGGCTTTCTGAACGGAAGACTCCAAGAGAGTGTAGGGAGTAGCGGTGCTGATCTTGGTCCCACCGAAACCGTTGTCCTTATCTATGCTCAATAGAGTTGCGTTTATTGGAACATGCTTGCCGTTGACTTGAATGGAAGTCAAGCCAATGAAATGCTGATTTGAAGGGGGATTTCCGCCGTAGTTTATAATGGTGTCCCCAACGCCAACGGGGTTGACGATTAGGGGAGTGTAAATAAGGGACTTAGAGAGGTCAATTTCGGAAGAAGAAAAAGAAGAAACATTGTAGGGTCCAGTGGAGCCGAAGAAGGCCACCCCTGGAGCCTTGGAAGAGCTCGGAAAGCAAAGCGCAAAGCAGCGCGGAGAGGAGAGAGAAGCGCTGATTTGGGCCGGGAAAGATACATTGGACCGGCCCAATGCGGCTAATCCCGTTACGTTTTTGGGAAGGCCTTTGAGTAAAGTGGAGCGTGCGCAACCGAAGGTGTAGTTGGGGAGAAGAACCAGTGGGCCCTCTGTGCTGGGTAAAGCGAGCGTGTCCACCAGAACGGCGTCCGAACCTGCCGTTCTGATGACTGGGTTTTCCGGGAAGCAACCGCAAACCAAGTTGGCGGGTACGCAATTGGGATCTGGAGGACCGAAGTCGCTGCAGTTGTCGCAGGATAGTGCTCCGAATCCCAGGGAGGCGCAGAAAGTGGGGTCGCACGTGATTTCGTGGAAGGAGGAAGAGTTATAACCTGCGTCGCAGACCGTCCATGGGAACAAGAAACCGAGGTCCAGGAAGAGTTTTGTGGGGCGAATTGGGGTTTTGAGGAAGACGGAGAGGGTGAAGAGATTGGACGACTTGTCTTTGGAAATGGGTGCTACCAGAACTGTCGCATGAGTTGGAATGGGACAAACACAAAACAGGAGGCAGATGACATAGAAGAAAAAGAAGTAATGGAATGAAGGTGGAAGAGACATTTCAGATTTTGGAAATGGAAGTCAACAGCGTGAGATATGAACGTTTGCTAGTTGGGCTACCTATTTAAAGAAGCAGAAAAGATAGTTACACAATTTGTGTACTCAATAGTCAATCCACATGGAAATTAAGAAGGGGGGGGGGGGGGGGGGCGAAGATCTGGGGTAGCTTTTATCTGCACAAGTCTGAACTCACCACCCTTGATGGAAAACACCGTGTCGAGGACCATGGTAGCAATATCTTATAACAAGTAAATCCACGCCAGGACATAATTCCTCTTATATTATATTATATAGGCCGAATATTTTTAACCAATCAACGTCGTTTACGGGATCAGGTCATTATGGATGACGCAAAGGGAATAATACCGTACTGTAAACCAGCCCAGGCCAGTGAGTGAGTGACTTCGACCTGTCCTGTGTTAATGCGTGAAAATAAAGGATGACGATGACATTCATGAATTCCCTAGGATCAAGCGATATTGTCGAAATTGTTTACGTTGACAAAGTGGACTAAGTAACATAATGCTAAATTAAAGTACATTTCAACAGTCCTTTAAAAATACCCGTTGTTTTATAAGTTAACTCGTGAATAATTCAGTAAAAAAAAGAAAACAGAAACAAAACATCAACATTCTAAATATTTCTTAAAGGCCAAAACCAGGGACGTTGAAATCAGCACAAGAGAGTGAGCGAGACAAGAGAGATGAAGTGAATCCCAACGTGTTAGATCCAAGGTCAAACTGAAGAAGATTATCTTCTAGCTGCTTCCCTCCGATTACAATGGGCGTCTTCTTATCAACCCCACCGTCTACAAAGCCCAGGCACCATAAATCCACCCCTTTCTTTTTATTCGTAACCCTCACCATCGAATTGGATCCCACAGTTCTCCAAACCACATTGGGAGCATGCAGCACGAGATCAATGGTGGGCACAGCTGGACCAGCAGAGTTTACCATGAGGTCTCCCACAGGGTAGCACACATTAAACGGCTTCGCAGGTGTGGTTACAGTGAGGTTAAAAGCAGAGGAAGCTGCTTCCTTCACGAACAACTCCGTGAAGGCTTTCTGAATGGAAGACTCCAAGAGAGTGTAAGGAGTCGCCGTGCTTATCTTAGTTCCACCGAAACCATCATCCTTATTGATACTCAATAGGGTTGCATTTACGGGAACACGCTTGCGGTTGACAAGGATAGAAGTCAAGCCAATGAAATACTGATTGGAAGGGGGATTACGGCCGTAACCTATGACGGTGTCTCCAACACTAACGGGGTTAACGATGAGGGGAGTGAAAACAAGGGATTGAGAGAGGTCAATTTTGGAAGAAATATTGTAGGGCCCTGTGGAACCGAAGAAGGCGATTCCTGGAGCCTTGGAGGAACGAGGAAAGCAAAGCAAAGTGGAGAGGATAGAGCAGAGCTAATTTGGGCCTGGAAAGAGAGCTTTGACCGCCCCAGTGAGGCTAAACCGGTAACTTTTTTGGGCAGGCCCTTCAATACAGTGGAATCGGAACAAGAGAAGGTGTAATTTGCGAGGAGAACCAGTGAGCCCTGAGCGCTGGGTAGCGCCAGGGTGTCGATGATGGCTGCGTCTGAAATGCTGGCTCCGGTGACTGGGTTTTCGGGGAAGGAACCGCAAATGATGTTGGTGGGTATGCATTTGGGGTCGGGTGGATTGTCGAGGGTGCAGTTGTCGCAGGAGAGTCCTCCGAATCCCACTTCAGCGCAGAAAGTGGCGTCGCAGGGTATGCGGCGGAAAGAGGAAGAGTTGTAGTTGGCGTCACAGAGTGTCCATGGGAATAAGAATCCGAGATCTAGGTAGAGCTTTGTGAGGCGAAGTGGGGTTTTGAGGAAAACGGAGAGGGTGAAGAGACTGGTGGATTTGTCTTTGGAAACGGGTGCCACTAGAACTGTTTCTCCTTGCAGGGTGAGAGCGGGAAATTGTAGGATGCAGATCACACTCAACAACAAGAAGTAGAAGACTCTGCGCGATGTGAATAGAAGGCACATTTTAGAGTTGGGAAAATACAAGTCAACGCAAGTGGAAAGGTGGTGATTGAAGACTGATATATACGAATGAGTTTGCATGGTGCACTGATGCACTGCATATATATGGAACAGGAAAAGAAGCCTTTTTCTTTTCTTAATATTTAGAGTGGACTTAACATTTTAAAAGTGGATAATGGGACTCATCGTTAAGACAATCATGACACGTGACTGTGTCGTAGAAAAATGAAAAAGCTATTTTGTTCTAAAATTAAACTAAATTAATTTGAAGATAATTGCTTCATCGGTGGAAATTTTGTCAAAATCTGGTGGCGGTGTATTCTTTATCTGCCTAACAATACTTGATGCTATAAAAAGGATTGGGTCACATGGCAACATGCTATTGTTTATTCTGAGTGAGTAAAGTAATATTAATTGTTGACCAGTCTGCTTCATAATTCATTTCTCAAACGCCGTCACCGACACCGGTATCGGTGACGCGGGCAAGTGGCCGTCACCTTGCTGCCGTGCTTCTCTTCGGAAATCATGAAGATCCTTTAAAGGTGCAGCTATGTACACCAACACAAGGCAACGTTTGTTGCCCGGGTAACCATGTTTCGACACTGCCAGAAGTGTGTTTGCATTGATAGAGAGAAATGATATTAAGTGGAATGGATTGTAATACAGTGAATAAAATTGTTATTTTATTATCTAAATATTTGTTGATCAAATAAATCTAACTTTTTTTGTTATTTTTATATAATAAAAATATTATATTATAATATAAGAAATTGACTAAATTACAACCTTTTATAATAAAAATTTATTTTATTTTTAATACATTTAATAACAATGGAATATAATACATATTTTTTATTCCCGTTCAATTTTTTCCTAACATTTATAGAAATTGTTTCGTTAAATTGAATTTAATAATAATAATAATACAAACTAAATGTATAAAATTAAGAAACGCCATACTTACTTTTTCTTGAAGGATTTTTTATGTTGCTTTTTAAAATTATTGTAGAATGATAATTTTAATTTTATCACTATTTTAAAAAAATTTAATGGTTTCATAACAGTATAGTATTGTTATTTTATTTTAAAAATACTTGTAATATTATTTTATGAACAAAATAGCATTACCCGTTGAATACTCGGGGAAAGCATTACTTTGTAGAAATAATAATAGTTTTTGTTTGATAAGAATTTGATAGAAATAGCTAAATTTTGATAAGTTTGACACATGGATAGATATTGATCGCGTTATAGAGATTTAGAGCTAAATAGTGTTATCGCAGGCAATTCAGTTCCTCTTAAATTTCAATTGAAATTTTGTAAATTAATTACTTTTCAAAATATTATTTTGTAATACACATTTATTAAACATAATTTGAAGTTAGTCTAAAAATTCGAAATCAATTTTCTCTTTTCAAAATGATAACTTATAGATTCAAAATAAGAGACATAATTTTTTTTAACATATAAATAATGTATACTATCATATTATAACTAATTTTTATATTTAACTTCTTAATTTGAAAAAAAATGTTCTATTTTTATATAAAAAAAAGTGTAAAGTTTGTTGTTGATAATGAGATCGTCCCTTGTTATACTTTTTTATTTGAATACCTCATTTTACTATTATTTAATAATAATCATATTTTTATCATGTATATTTTAAAATTTTTCATAAATTTAAAAACATTCATACGATACAACGACAAATTAAAATGAAAATAGAACTGAGATTCTAATATTTTTAATAAATAAGTAAGAAATTTTGTTAGAATTTAAACATACGATACATATAATACTTATATTTTAATAATTAATTTTTAAATAATAATTTATATATAATTTTTGTTTAAAATTAAAAATTCCGTACACTACAGACATTACTGATTAATTTTTTAACAACTTAACTAATGTAAGAACATTTCGATAAATCTACTGAAATACAGCGTTGAAACTGCCACCTCTAAACAGTGGGCAATCTTGTCTATTCGCACGTGGACTTTACGTATGCTGCACAAATTCCAATTTTATTGAAAGAATAAGAGATAGACGCAAATTTAGTAAATAATCAAGACACAGTTTCATGAGTGAATCAACTTTAACCTGTCCCCAAATTTGAATTATATTTGTAATAAAAATTAAAATTCACGTGTACATTTATTTTAAAAACCTAGGGAATCGGCCTAACTAAACAAATTAGAGTTTGCAAGTATTGTTTTAGCTCAACAACTTGTCTTAAAATAAAATACTATTTTCTCCTTATAGAAAGCATATACTGAAAAGAATTTGAGAAAAAGAGGTTATAAACATTTCAAAGATGTTATCTTTCTCTATTTTGATTCCTATTACATTATATTATTCATCACATATGTCATTTTCCCCCCTCTTTTAGTTATATATTTTTTAAGGTGCAGGTTGTCGGAGATGCCTAAAATTGTCATTCTCAAGAGGTACAAAATAATTTCTTTTAAATAAAAATTACAATACAAAGTTTTTCGGAATTTTCTATTTTAATTAAATAGAATTAATTTCAAATGTATCTTTTTATTAAAAACAAATACTTTTCTAAGCGTAAATCAAATATGCACCCATCAGTATATATATAGTGTCAAAATATTGTGATATTTGAATGAAATGATAACAGCTAATAGCAAAGCAAATGCATGAAGTCTAAACAAGAAAACAAAGAGCAAATAATACAAGCAAGGTAGACCCGGTGGCCTTGCCAAAAAGTTTAAGATAAGAGAAGCAGTCTTATTTGACGACGTTAACATCTGAGTTGTCTTTTGGCGTATCACAACCTGCGTACCACGTTCTTTACCAATAACATCATCATCGGTCATAGCATAATCGAGGAATCAGCAGTGGCAACCCGCACTCCCATTTTTTCAGTATATAAATAGAGGTGCCTCTCCCTCAACTATCCACTCCCACACAACACCATGGATAATTTTAACTTTCACCATCTCTTCACTGTTCTCCTATTATTCTTCGTTGCATTTGCGCCATCTTTCGCTCAACAGTCTTTCAGGCCCAAAGCTCTCGTCGTTCCACTTAAAAAAGATGCATCAACGCTCCAATACGTCACACGAATCAACCAAAGAACCCCACTCGTCCCACTCAACCTCGTCCTCGATCTCGGAGGCCAATTTCTCTGGGTTGATTGCCAACGCAACTACATCTCCTTCACTTACCGCCCCGCACGGTGCCGCTCTGCACAGTGCTCCCTCGCCGGTGCCAACTCCTGCGGCGACTGCTTCTCGCCTCCCAGTCCCGGCTGCAACAACAACACCTGCGGCGTCATCCCCGACAACACCGTCACCCACACCGCCACGTCCGGCGAGCTAGCTGACGACGTTGTCTCTGTCCAATCCACCAACGGCTTCAACCCTGGACGAAGCGTCACCGTTTCCCGCTTCCTATTCTCCTGCGCCCCAACCTCCTTACTCCAAGGACTCACCAAAGGAGTCACCGGCATGGCCGGTCTCGGCAGAACCAAAATCGCTCTTCCCTCTCAGTTCGCTTCAGCTTTTAGCTTCCACAGGAAATTCGCCATTTGCGTCTCTTCTTCAAACGGCGTCGCTTTCTTCGGTGACGGCCCTTACGTTTTCCTTCCCAACGTCGATGCTTTTCAGTTACTCACATTCACACCACTGTTGGTCAACCCGGTCAGCACCGCCTCTGCTTTCTCCCAGGGTGAACCTTCATCTGAGTATTTCATTGGCGTGAAATCCATCAGAATCGACGAAAAAGTGGTTCCCGTTAACACGACATTGTTATCCATAAACAGCGAGGGCGTTGGTGGAACGAAGATTAGTACAGTGAACCCTTACACGGTTTTGGAAGCTTCCATCTTCAAAGCAGTGACGAAGGCTTTTATTAGAGCGTCTGCTGCTAGAAATATAACGAGGGTGGCTCCGGTGGCGCCGTTTGAAGTTTGCTTCAGCAGTGAGAACGTGCTGGGCACGCGCTTAGGCGCGTCGGTGCCAACCGTTGAGCTTGTGCTGCAGAACGAGAACACAATTTGGAGGATATTTGGAGCGAACTCGATGGTGAGTGTGAAGAATGATAAGGTTCTGTGTCTTGGCTTTGTAAATGGTGGAGAGAATGCGAGGACTTCGATTGTGATTGGAGGGTATCAGATTGAGAACAATCTTCTGCAGGTTGATTTGGCCACCTCAAGATTAGGGTTCAGCTCTTTGCTCTTCGGACGCCAAACTACGTGTGCAAACTTCAACTTTACCTCCACCGCCTAGAAATAAGGCCTTAATTCGCCGAGTTTCAATAATTATCATTATCTGATTTTCATTCGTACTAATAAATGCCTAAGGACATTATGTCGCTCTTGACAATTCTACGAGTCTTATGAAAACATTTATTTTTTTTTTCCTTTCGAGTTCGTCTATCTACTAATAAATGTCTAAGACTGATTAGGGTAAATAAATACGTATTTGTTTTTTATTGATTAATGTGCATTAAACATTTATAGCTCTTTGTCTGCTTATCTGGGAGCAATGAATATAGCTTTGCTTTATTTAACAGTCCATCTGATTATGACAATTTATAAATTAATGGATTTTAATTTAATTAATCTCTTTAATTTATGACAATAATAAATTAACGGCCGAACTTGACATCGCTGCCAAGTTTTTAGCACTTCTACCTTCTAATGTTGAAAATTGTGTTGTACATTTGGGTCTCCCTGGATCAACGCAATTGGCCAATTTGGCATAATACACGCGTGCTTATTATTATTTTTTTCTTTTTTTTTTTGGAATTGAACTTAATTTTGGGTGCCCAATTTTGACAAGTTATTCAACAAATGTATATAACTTGACCTAAGCATAAAAGTTAAAATATATAACTTAATTTTAATTTGTGAGAGAAATATAATTTATTCTATTTGTTTGTTTTCTTAAAATATTTGTGATAAAATTTATCCGAAAATAAATTATAATGCAAAACTAAATCATCCATTATATCCAGAGATTGTATGTAAACAAATTAGCTAGTAAAGTTTAGTACCTCTAATCATTCTGTTGGTTAGAGTATGAGCTTGTTTATTTTGGTTTTGTGATACATTTTGAGTAAGTATGATCTTTTATGTATTACTTACGTATTGTATTATGCTTCAAGGATTATAATTTTTCTTTTTCTTGCATAAATGTCGTTGCACTGTTTTTGAATGAATAATTTTATTATTATTATTTTTAAAAAAAGTGAGAAACACGTGTTCACCCTTTGAGTCTAATAGTTTGACTATCGTTCTCCACTAATCTAGCAACCGGTAGTCTTTAGTGAACGCAAATTATATGTATTTTTGTTCAACATATTTTCAATTAAAAAATTTCATAAAACCAATAAATAAATTAAAATATAAAATTTACTCGTCCTCAATTGATAAAATCATTCAATATTATTTTTTAAAATAATTAAAATATTTATTAAAAATCCAAGTAAGCTTTGAATAAAATTACGATGTAACTTTTTAAAGAAATACTTAAATTATTCTTTAAATAAAAATTTATTTAATTATAAAAAATTTAACTTATTTTTAATTAAAAATATTTAGAGAACTTAATTATTTTTTTTAAAAAAATTTATTTAAAACAATTCTAATTATAAATAGTATAAATAGCTCAAATTAGCGCTTGATTTAACTTTGTTCATGTTTAGTTTCAAAGAAAATAAAACGGGAGAAAAAAAATTCTAAAATAAAAAAGAAAAGAAAAGAAAATTTTGAATATGCAGGGATTCATTCTTGGTATTGATGAGTAGGAGCAATAACACTAAACGGTGTCGTTAGCAGAGCGAAAAAACAGCTCACGCGATACTAGAGTGAGCCCGCTCCTTCTCGGCGGTGCAGGTAGCGGTGCTCATACTGTGCGCCACCATGAAGCTCGTCAGGTCTCTCTCTCTCTCTCTCTTGTTTTAAATTCTGAACCTGAATGAAAACCTTAATTTGATGAAAACTGGAGCAGGTTTCTGATGAAGTTGAACAACGAAACTGTGTCAATTGAGCTTAAGAACGGTACCATTGTTCATGGTACCATCACAGGTTTTCTCCCTACTCTTTCTTCTTCCATTTCTCCATTAAATACATACACACTCTTCACATTGTTAAACCCTAGCTACACTTCTCACTTAAACATTTATCATTAATTAATTAATACAAACATGTCTCATCGTAACCTTCAATCAAGATGGTTAAGAGTCATGAATTTTTTTTATTCGCATATTACAAAGTGCTACCCGCATTCTCAATTGGTGACTGCAGTGTTTTTTTTTTTTTTTTTCTCTCTGTCTCCAGAAGTCAATAAACGCTTCTGGAATTTTAAGATCTCAATTATTTTTGTGGCAAACAGGTTGCTTACTTGAATTTAATTATCACTTGCAAATTGTTAGTTCAGGTGCTGAGAATTAAGATCCAATTTTAATTTTATATTTTATTGTTTGACATTTTTTTCTGCTGCAATCTAGGTTTCTCTGTTTTATATCTGATTGTTTATCTTCGTGATTACTGTATGTACATCTTCTTGTCATGTAACGATGAATGGCTGATTACTCTGTCGTTTGTGAAGAGACTATAAGATACGAAATTCCAATATTGCTGTGACAGGTTTTGACTAACAAGATAACCATTTGGATTTCCTTTTTTGCCTGATTTAATTGGGGAATGTATTGATGTTTGGATTCATTGCACCTAAACTTTTCATAACATAGGATTGTATTTACGGTTTCTCTTTGATATTTTTCTGTATCTTGGGAGTTGCCACTTCTTATGTAGTTACATTCTAAATATTTGCAGCCTTTGCTTTTCATTTTTGGTGGTTCCGCTTCTGCTTCTTTCCACAGTTATACATTAACGATGTTTTGCCCCCTCTGCTTTTGTATTGCCCCCATTTTCCTGTTAATATATTTTTTTTCTTTTACTATCTAAATAATATTAACAATACTTGAAATAACAGTGGCCAGAGACATTACCATTTGAACTTTACTTCTTGTGCTGTAAGAAGTTGTTTGTTTACAATGACATTTCAGCAAGAGACATCATAGCCTCTGAAGTTTGAGTTGCTTGCTTGGGTGGCAAATGCATTACATTTATGCCATGGAGGCGTAACCAGGAGCCATTGGATTGAAGGAGTATGCATAAGATTCAAGACACTTAAAATTTTGAATCCTCAGACTGCATCTCCATCATTTGGAACTCTATTCTTTGTGTTCTTTATGCCTTTTCTATTCTTGGGTACAGTACCGAGCCCCATATCAGCCTATACATCTTACCTAATATAGGTCAATCTTTTCAGAAACACACCACTCTATCTGTTGCTTCTGGTTAAACATCATGCAGCTTGTACTATGGAATTTTCTACTCAGCAATGATCTGGTTTTATTTTGACTTTGTCATATAAATAGAAAACTCCCAAGTTTTATATTACGTTTATTATCTTGACTTGTATTAAATGTTTGATGTCCAAGGCTCTGGGTGTAACCAGCTTCATAAATTGTTACTGAACATAATTACATTATTTTATGTAGGGTTATGAAGGTAGTAAATTCTTGGATAATAATATGGCATGTCTTGCTACTAATTATCCAAATGTATATGTTGAGCACCCAGGAATTTTCTCAGTAATTAGCAGATATTGTCTAGTCTTATAATTATGGGATGGGATCAGAAGTGTTTTGGCACTATAGTCATTCTGATCCTGACTTGTTTGTTGCTATGCTACAGGTGTTGATATCAGCATGAATACACATTTGAAAACAGTTAAACTAACTTTGAAGGGGAAAAACCCAGTGACTTTGGATCATCTCAGTGTGAGAGGTAACAACATTCGTTATTATATCCTTCCTGACAGCTTGAATCTTGAGACTTTGCTGGTAGAAGAGACGCCAAGGATCAAGCCCAAGAAACCAACTGCTGGTATTGTACATTATTTGACTGTGACTGCAATGTTTTTCATCTGGAGATATTTTGTTCAGGTTGTCTGTTATCTGGTTAGGTTTGGATTTCAAATTTTTTATTTTATTTCCAGGAAAACCTTTGGGACGGGGGCGTGGCCGGGGGCGTGGACGTGGTAGGGGCCGTGGCCGATAACTTGCACATCAACAATTTTTATGCCATGTGGTTGTATTGTAAGGGGAATTTCTTATCGGTTTTGTGGACATCAAAGGAGTGTTTTTGTTGATTTATCGATGTTGCTGTGTTATATTAGAAGTTCTTCTGTACATTTCCTTCACAGTGTTCTATAATTGAGTAGGGCAAGGTTTGCGATAACACTGTGTGGACTCCCGAAAGATGCCTAATGCCTCTCAACTGATAAACTACAGATAGTTGTAGCTTTCGGTACTGGGTGACTATGTTAATCGGAATTAATGATGCAATAGTGTTGTATGGTAGGTGGTGATTCTGTATGTTAAGAACATGTTAGTTGGACTAATTTTGAGCTTCAACTCCCCGATTTCTTTAAGATTTGGTCTGGCGCAGTTTGCAACATAAATGCGATATTCGGTTGAGAATTCGATTTGGACTAATTTTGAGCTTCAACGAGTATTTTCGCTCTAAACTTATTCCTTTTCTCTCAAAATTCTTATTTCTGCGTCAAACAATTAATTAAAAATGATGACGAGTGTCATTTGGACAAAACTTAGGTCAAAGTCCTTAGATTAAATTCGTTTGATTTAAGATGCTGTGTCAAATTCCTTCTCTTCTTTGTCATCTAGTTTTCAAATCAAGTAATGACATATGGATGTTTTTCTAACATTAGATGGACACTACTAAGAATATGTTTTAAAGTAATGTTATTATGTCACCGTTTGATATGGGAAGTTAATGATAACGATATCCAAGTTTTGTCCACCCCATTTGAAGTTTTATTTTAATAGTCCAAGTTTTGAACGACAATTTTTGTACTATGAGGATGTGTGTCAACAAGCCATTTCTATTATGTACGATTATTTATAGGCAATAATATGAAGGGTGTAATTATAGTCCAGGTTAAACTCTGACTTATTGATGAAGTAGATATTGCTTCACTAAGCTGGTTTTGTTCCCTTATTAACGTAGGTGAACTTAATACAATTAAAATTTTGTTTGATTCATAACAAACTGGTGTAGTTAATGAGTAAGTAATCAATAAAATCTAACATAGTTGAAGGATAGTTTGATCTGTCAATAATTTTAATCATTTTGCCATGTATGAAAGATATTTTATTGAAAAAAGTAAAGTTTGCTTTAATGATCTCTACTTTAAAAGATAAGTTTTATCGTTGGCTAGAAAATATCTTTGATATACACAAAAAAAATGGTTTTGGTAATTGAAAAATTGCTGATTATATAAACAATGGTTTGTTAAGAAAGAACGAATGAGTATATTAATAATTATGTCTATTATAAATTAGTTTACATAAACAATTGTTTGGTGCCAGTTTGGGTATCCATTAAAATACGGTTGCCCCAATATTCATATATATGGGCCTAAAAAGAAGTCGGTGATTTAATAGTTTAGTAAATTATTATATTTTTGTTTGAACTTTATCTTTTGAGTATTTTGGGACATAATAACTTCTTTTTTCAATTAATATTAAATTTGATTGTAACTAAGATTTTATTAATCTTAATTTTGAAATTTTCTTCAACTGAAGCGACAATTACTATAAGTTCTGAAAAGAATTAGATCTTCTCATGTACACGGATCCACTCAATGAAAAGGAAACTTGGAGGAATCATTTGGTGTGAACATTTTGGATGAAGACACATTGAAAACCATTTTCAAACAAAAATTCCAGGTTCCATCAATAAAATAGATTAACATAGTTCTCAACACATTGATGACAACCACTAATTCAACAATCAATTATTAGAGGCACTCCATTTTTGTGATATATTTACGTCCGAACTCTTCCAGCACTTTTAGGGTTTGTAGTAATTGATTCATGCATTTAACGCAATATCACATTTATTTTTGTCCCTGCCAGTCAATCTATTTTATCGTTTGAATAACTTTAATAATCAATTAACGTTTATATTAATTGATTAATAAGGTTGGCTCGGTTTTATAAAATCAAAATATCTCTATAGACATTTATTTATTTCATTTTTTATTGATATTTAAATAATATAATTTATTGTATTTCTTTTTCATTTCTCTCTTATTTTTATATATTTTTTAATTATTTTCTCGTCCAAACATACCCTTTGTGCGTCTCATTGATACAACTAAACTAATAAGTGCCATTTTCCTCCGAATTTTTTAAAATTTACGTTTTAAAGGAATTTTTGAGAATGGTAAAATTTTGGGGTGTTTGGTTGGTCATAAATATGATCAGAAGTACAGTCATTAACAATTCACGAGCAGTTGTCGTTCTTTATTCAGTTGGTGCCTTGCACCTGTCACCTTTTGCATTTATTTAGGTTTTGGACACTCTCAGCTGGTCTTAAAATATTGAATAATGTTTTCAATATTTTTGTTATAATTTTAATTATTTGAAATCAATTTTTTAACTTGGATAATTATATCTATTTAAATGCAAATAAGTGGATAAAAATTTATATATAGTATTTTTTAAATTATAAAATTCAAATAAATATATTAATATTATTAAATATTATAATTAAAAAAATTATTGTGCAAAATAGAAAAATCATTTAAATATAACTAGTGTCATCCATATTTTTACACATTTTTATTATGATTTTGTCATTTTATGTTATTGCAAAACAATGGTCACATTAATGTGAAATGATGCGTAAGAGACACGCTTTACAACAAGTATGTTCTTGTTGTAGTATCGTAATTACAATTAACAATTACAAGTTTTTGTGCCGCACATTAAAAATTTATAATATTAAATATTATTTATTTATTTGATAGATAATACTACTACTACTAATAATATATATATATATATATATATATATATATATTATTAATTACAAATAAGACTCATCTATTGATTTTTTTATGATAACAAAAATAAAATGTTTATACACACTTTTTTCCTTTTAGCGATAAAGAGACACGTTGTTAGGCATAAGAATGTAAATGAGTTAAGCTATTTGAATTGTTCAAATTTGTCTCATTAAATGCTCAACTAAACTCAACTAGTTACTTAATTAAATAAACAAATTAAAGCTTAAAATTAAATTTGATTATTTAAATAAATTAAGTTCAATCTTTTTAAACTTGACATTAATAATTCATGAATCTCTTGTATATATATAATTATAATTTAATTTATTTAAAAATTATATTTTATTATTATTAAACATTTATTATTTATCTAATTTGATTTTGAAGAGTTCTATTTTAAATAGGTGAACATAACTTTTTTAAAAATATACTATTTTCATAATAATATTTTATATTTTTAATCTTAAATCATGTTTATATAAATAAAATTATATTTTATTATTATTTTACTTTATTTTTGGCATAAAAATTTTATTAAATACTTAAGTTGATAAAAAAATTATTTAAAACTTGTAAACAAGTTAATAAGGTAAATTTAAGCTTCAAAATTATGGATCAAATTAAGTTTAAACTTTAAATTTAACTCGTTTAAATAAATTTAAAGCAAATTTAAAGATTTCTTCACAGGTTAGAAATAGTAATTCCGCTCAATTTATACCTCCAGTTGGCCATGTCATTTTCATATTTTATTTGATTTTATTTTTATGAGTTATTTGTTTTAATAAAATTAGTACATTTACATGTCTCTTGCGAAATGAATTGAAGGTGTTATAAGAAAAAAATGAAAGCTATGGTCATCAAATAAAAGATATGAAAAAGGTTATGAAATGATAAGACAAAACCGCACTCAATAAAATTAAAATTTAATAGCATCCGATCACTTGTCTCTTTCTATTGATTTCGTGAATACCTAAAATAACCATTTGACAACTTGGCTCACTCAAAAATATATATCCAAAGGGGGGATTTTTGGTCGTGGCAAAATCTGTGTGGTGAACGGAGGAGGCAGTGCATGGCGTTCACCTCAAGAATCGAGTAGGAAATCGCTGACCTCATAAACAGTCTCGTGTTGGGGTCTTTTCAAGGTTAATGAGAAGGAACAAGAAGTAAGAACGAGAACGACACCAACCCACTACCCGAACATAACAGCGACATCTTTCTTCCCAAAGTGAATGGATTGTGACCCTTAAACCGCAATTGTAATATTTGTCGTTCTTTTTCATTTGGGTTGCTTCAAAATCACTTTTTTCCCTTTCATTTCCTACGCCATGTATGTTCTTATTTGCTTCTGCTCTTTGCAGCTTTCTTTTGCTGTTGATCATTAATCATGTCTGATACTTGAGGTGACTAATGACAACCCTCTCACTCTTGTAATTTTGATACGCCGAATTTCACAATATCTCTGTTCTTTTCCCATATCTCCTCGTAATTTTGATTTGCTGAATTTGACAGCATCTCTGTTCATTTCCTAAGTTTGTTTACTTTTATTGATTTTTTAGGTTTATGTTTCATAGAAGAGAATTTTGTTTACCCTTTGTGGATCAATTTGTAATGTTGAAGTAAAGGGCTTTCTGCTGCAATCATATAAAGGGTTACAACAGGCTATTGATTAAGTACGTGTTTGGTTAATGGTGAAGGCTCATTGGCTAAATGCTTGCCTTTCCTAATTTTCATTTCACCATGGTTTGTGAATTCCTGACAAAAACTAAAAACTATTATAATTTACTTTCCAAACTTAATATATGTCGATTTAGGAATTATAGCCCACACATATGCTAACTTCAATCAAAATTTGAGTTTCATTTTAGTAATATGCTATATACGGTAATGGTCGACATTAAAGATCGACTCAAATTACTAACATGACATCTACAGCAATGCACTTTAGTTTTGTCCTTTTATTATTTAACATTCAACTCGTTGCTCTGATCATTGGCATCGGTTGAGCACTAGAATTGGAGTTTTTGGCTGATGGTGTTTAATAAAATTGAAATTTTCTGCAGTGAAAATTTTTCTAATGAATTTTCTTTCGTTTTAAGTGTAATTGTAGGAAACTTTTAGTGTTTAATATATAAAATTGTCGAGAACTTGATTAGTTGTTATAACCACTCATTCTCTGCTCTTCTATATAAAAGTGTTTTTCTCAAAATCAAATCCGCTGGTATGTGGTGCAAAGAACGTTTATTAAGGATACCGCACTGTTTTCCTTTTTAATCATTATTTTAGTTTCAAAGGAACTGATTCAATGGCTGATGTTATCTTCACTGTAATAGTTAGATTGCTTCTTAGATGCAAGAGAACAAGTTCTACAAAAGACTCATGGTTTTACTAGTCAGTAATAGACACCTATATATAGCAATCTCTCCATGCACTATTTTGTGATTGCAGTATCTGTCACTAGTTTACATTCAATCCGAATTGCACATGGCAGTATTAGAGCATCTACATGATATGTATTTTTGGTATTGGCAACAGCAAAATTTTTTATTCTTTTATGTTACAGGGCATATCCTTTTTGATACATCGTGTATTACTTTTAGTAATCCTATGTTTTAGAAAGCTGACATTTATTTTGAATTCCAACCTTCTAATTTGCAATTGACTTTTAGATTACAGAAATTTTATGAATTTTTATTACAAATTTAGAAAGTTGATAATATTCAATTACTGAATTGAAATTAATGTAGTACTTATTCCAATGTGATAGGTTTATGCTAGCATGTATTTTGTGTAACTCTCTTCCCTATCCAGGGGGAATTTTTTCCTGTGGACAGCGATGTATTTTTCTGGGTAGGGTGTGGAATTACTTTAAATTTAACCTATATAATTATGGTGGATTTAATGTATAATTAAATATTCCATGTGAATCCTTGCTGGGAATGGTGCTTATCTTTAGTGTCTGACCATGCCTTAAGCACCTTTTCATGGAGGATACTTGTGGTAGCAACTCAAAAAAGATCTAGTTTATCGGAATATTAAAGTATCTATGAAGAAGTTTATTAACCAGCTCCAAATTTATACTCTGGATCTATTTCCAGCACTCCCATGTCATATTGTATAATTGGTAGGTGTTAGGAATGGTTCTTGCACCTAGTCTGAACTAAAAGTTGCCATTTTAAAGGAAGTCAGTGGAGCGCAGTTCTGAAACATTTTCATGAAGGAAGCATAGCTTTAAAAGCATACATTCTTGTAGTCATCATTGAAATTTGGATTGGGTAGTTGTAGATTTTGGTGGTTCTAAGTAAACTGATTCCAATTGGTCCTTGGCATGGGAGCATTATGCAATCACTAGTCTTTACAGAATTGTGTGTGCCATGTTACCAAGACATTGTATGCTCCATTATTGGCTACTGTATTAAAAGCACTAATCCATTCAGATTTCTTGCATTTTAAAAAAATACGTTTCTGTTTTCTTTTTTTGATTTCAACTATGTTCTTTGACAGTCCTAGGATTATTGCTATGGCAGTTGCACCTGTTGAGAGTATTGCCTCATTGAGTAGTGATCTCTTCTATGACATATTACGACGTCTCGATGGCCCTACATTGGCTAGTGCAGCTTGTGCTTGTGTGTCATTTCGTTCCATCTCAAAAGAAGAGAGTTTATGGGAAAATGTGTGTTCATCTGTGTGGCCTTCAACCAACAGGGAAGATGTCAAAAGTTTAATATCTTTCATCGGGGGATTCAGAAAGTTCTATGCAGATTGTTTTCCTCTTATTGTAAACAAGGAGGTCAGAGAGTATCAATGGAAAAACTACCTAGAGTACCCTGATGATTGGACTGAGGCAGAATACTATGGGGACATGACTGAATTTGAGAGCATCTCTCCATCAGATTTTGTTTCTATTGTGGATATTAGGTTTAAGGAGAAACCAATCTGCTCCAAAGTTCTATGGGGAATTCCAAATGCTAATGGCTATGATGGTTGGTTCTACAACTGTCCTTTTCGGATTGATCTTCTCACTTATGCAGATAGAGATGATAACAATGATGGGGTGGTAACCCTTTCTGTATCTGATGGATTGCCACCAGTTACATCCATGGAGAGAGAAAGGAAAGACGGAAAGTTATGGCGAGAGCTTCGTGATGGTCTCCTTCTTAGTTGGATCATAGTAAACAAGAAAATAAAGCAAGCTGCTAATCTTGCTAGCTGGAGCCCTTTAGATGGGCAAAGACATTGGCCAACAGATAAGGATTTTGTCTTTCGCTTCGGATCCGTTCTCTCTGCTAAGGACATTCTTCCTTCTCAAGTAGTGCAATGCATCCTCATTATGAAGTTTAGAGTGGTCCACACTGAAGAAGACGGGGTTCAAACAACTCTTAAATTAACAGAACTGAGTATGCAGTTGGAAGACATGGAAGGTGCTCATGTTAATGGAAGGAACAGTTTGCTTATTCTTAAGGAAGCACTTAGCTGCCGAAGGAGCAAAAATTATAGTGAAGTACTTGAATCCTGTCTTATGTACTCAAAAGTGCAAAATGAGTTAAAAGAGGAGAAGATTAGAAATGAAAGTAGGTTGGATACATTTTGTATTTTGAGTGGTATTGCTGCTTTAATGACATTCTGGTACTATGTTTTGTGATATGGCAGGGCATTGTTTATTTTACTGGAATAAGCTAATGTTGATCTAGTATGTGATCAACTTTGGCACTTCTATTTTGTAACGTAAGACTCCTAATAAAGTAACTAATTGATGAAAGCTTCATTGGTTTGAGATTTCAAATTCTCAAAAAGAAACTCCGCAAATTGACTGTATCAGCAGTGGAGCGAATTTTCAGTATTCCTGTAATACCTATTCTACAGTTACCTTTCCTAATTTAGTAAATTTTTCTTATTTTTATTTTAGGAAAAATACCCATACATTCTAGGTATCTTGATTTAAAGGGAATTTAATTTAATCACGCACTTATTATAATCTTATAAATAGGAAGATTTGAATTTAAACTAATAAATTTATCTGTTCAATATGTAGAAGAACCAAACCCTAAATTATTTATTCAAAAGTATATTAATTTGTGGTACACAAACAAATACATTGTTACAAAGTGTTGAGGTATTTTGCAACTCTAATCATCAAATGGGTACTGCTCATACCTGATTGTACAATCATGTAGCACCGAACGAGCCCCTATACGTTTAGGACACGAGTTGAACATGATGGTCTTAGCAACACCAAGACAGGTTTTGCAGTCAGAGGTTGTGAGATTTAGGTTGCAAGTAGCATGTCCATAAGCAAAGGCATTTGGATAAGGAGAAATGTTGTAGTAATTGTAATTTTTCTGGTTTGGAGTCCCTGTCTCCAATTCACCAACAACATAGGATAAACTTACAGCAAAAGGATCACCTGAAGTGTACCCCCCAACGTTGCATAGAACGGTGGTTATGTTGGTGTTGGGGACACTGTCAGCAACACTCCACAAACACAACAAACCAATCGCAGCTGCTGCAATTTCTGAAGAAATACCCATCTTCTTATTGCCTTTGGTTCATTTCTATAACACACCTTCTATATTATAGGGTCAGGTTTGAATTTTCGTCACATCCTTTTCTCTTTTAATATCACTTTTATCTAGTTGCAATTCTAATGTTGCTTAGTCTTTACCCACGTTCCAATTATGCATTAGCAAGAACTTATCCTTAATTTGTTGGAAAATGATTCTTGTGGACATCCTTTTGTGATACTTTTTTTGTCAATTAATAATGAATTAATCAGTTTGTGGAATTGTAGATAGTGATTTGTTTTGTTTGATACTTTGATTAATTGACCGATAATTTTATGATAATGAATTATAATTGTAGCAGTATAGTTTATTATTAATCTCTTATAATCAAACAACACACATTAACATAAACGTATACAACACTAATTAGAAAATAATGTGTGGATATGAGTGTTGAATTTTTGTCAGTTTGTTTGTTCTATTTAAGTTTAATTAATTTAATGAACCATTCGGCCCTCTTACAATATTGATGTTTTTCTTAGCCTCTACTCAACCAGGTTAAAGTCTAACCCCCTGTTTGTTTCCATGCAACGAAAATGGGGAAACAAATTAATTGAAAATACAACGAGCAAAATAAAATTTTGAAATTTTATTTTTGAAAATATTTTCTCTCTTTTTTTCAATTAAATAGAAAAATATATCGTTATTTTTACTTTTTCTTTTCTTTTCATTTTCTTTTCTCCAATCCAAAAAAAAAGGCATAAAAGTTGGACTTGAAAGAAGGATTGAAATTATCAGCTTCTAATTTATAAGCATATATTAAAAAATTATATTTATTCATCATTGAATAAAAGACTTAGTAATATATTTCTTTTAAAAAAAATGAACTAAATCAAATAAAAACATTTTTAAAAATTTGTTTAAAAATTCAATCTATTTTAAAAGTATTAATATTAGTGGAAAAAAAAAGCTTATCCACTAATATGTGCATTAAAATGAATACTATTCACTTTTTATATGATTAAAAATTGTGCTCTCTTAAAAGAATATAGGATCTAATTGGTTAACTTCCAGAATCGGTTACAGATCACTTTGCTTCTTAAATAATGTATATTTCATTTAATTTGGCCTATTTAAAATAAATTTTAGAACATTCGAATACAACAACAAATAAACACACAGTATGCAGTGCGTGTCATAAATCAATTTAAATCAAAATTTTATTAATTTTAGTCTTTAAAACTAAGTTTAAATTTTTATAAATAATTTCTTTATTAAAAAGTATATATTTTTTATATTAAAATTACTGAAAAGTATAATAAATATTTTTTAATAAAATTTTACTATTTATAAATTTTTAAACTTAGTCTTATAGGCTGATGTTAATAAAATTTTTAAATTAAAATAATTAATATAAATATATTATTTTAATAATAAATATAAGAAGCATTGAATGCTATTTATTTCCGATGTTTCGAAGTTTTAAAATTTTATTCACTATTAATATGATTTTTTATGCAATATATTTAATAATAATGCATGTGTAGATACGTTACTTAAGAAGTGGAAAACTTTAATTCAAGCGGAGCCAATAATAGAGAACCGTGCTCTACCTGTTGCCTGCCACTTTGACACTTATTAGTGGATGCCTGGTCATTTGACACTTACCTAAAATTTTGAGAGTTAAATAACTATATATATATTAGTATAAGTTTTATATTAAATCTGAAATTTTTTATTTAATTTATAATTTATTATTTTATTATTATAAATTAAATAGATTAAATTAATTGGTAAATTTTTTGTTTTATTTTTATGTATTTCTTTAAATTTTTTTATTTCAATCTCTTAATTTTTAAAAATATTTTAAACAAGTTTTTTTATTGTAATAAATATTATTATTCTTTAAATTTTTTATTTTAATTTGATATTGTCTAACTTCTTTGTAAATTATAAGGAAAATATAATGTATCGTAATAATTTTTTTAGTTACTTTTTTTTAATTTTTTTTTACGCTTTTACATCTCGTTTTCTCTTCATCTTTGACTTAAATATATATTTTTCTTTTATTTTTTCTTTTTTTTTTTTGAACTTAAATTGTTTTGAATTTTTTGATTGGATTTTAAGATAATAATAGAAGATTTATAATAGAGATGACTGAAAAAATAACATTTTCCCCCTTAAGAAAAATAGTAAAGAAGAGATGTTCTGTTAACTAAAAAAATGGTAGAGAATTTTTTCATGAGGCAAATGGTATGGTTATTTTGTCCTTAATAAATTTCTCTGCATTCTCATTTTCAAAATCTAAAATCTCTATAAACTTGTCTCTTCTTACAGTGTATGAATGACTTAAGGTCTATTTCTTAAGGTCTTCTTACAGTGTATGTTGAAAGTTAAAATTTAATACTACCATTAATGTGGTAGTAATAAATTTTTTAATATTAAGGTCTATTATACGGTAGATTTAATATTGAATTACTCTTGAATTTTTTAATGAAATCGACTTGGTTTTGTCAATTTTCAGCACAATCTACTTGGTTCTATGACATTTTCAGTATAACCTACTTTCTTCTGCAACTTTTTCAGTAAACAATCTTTACTGCACAGCATTGGTGTGCCTTGTGGAATTTAGTTAGACAATAGTTCAAATTTGAAAGTTTGTAACATTTCCACCAAATTGGGACCCTCTGTCTCGTTTGTTTATGAGCTTAATGCGTCCCATTTGGTTCGGATGACCCAGACCCAGGCCCCCGCGTGTGATATCCTACAGATTCTGTCTCATCTCACACCACTTCACCTTTTCTTTGTCTTTACTTCACTAGCTGTAATTTTTATCACAAGTACATATATGTGCTTTTAGGATATTATTATTCAAAATTATTATTAATACACATTCATTATAATGTTTAATTAATTTTTTTTTGTTAATATCCTTGAATGTTTCCCCTTAATTATTTATCAAATGCTGAATTTTGGGCAATATGTACCTTGGGTTTGGTCCATGTAGCTTCCTCAGCAGTCCACAATGCCATTCATCTCAGCCCCCCAGACAAGGTATCCTAATCTTCGTGTGCAATAAAGACTTGGTTGCCAAAAATTGTAATTGGGAACTTTGGACACTGAAGAAGCAAATAAAGCAACTGAGTAAGATTAGCAATACATTTCCTCTAATACATCGTCTTAAGAAAGAAAGGAGTAAAAAGTTGAATAACTTAATGAAAAATAGCAGAGTTAACCCTAACAATCTTCATAAATTCTCTAAATTATCTATTCTTTCTCTAAACTTTCTAACAGTGTTTTTGAGTGAGCAGATGAAAAGGGAGAGAGAGAGAGAGAGAGAAATTGACATTACGGGCAGTGGGAGGGCTTTCAAAAATGTAAATGCGTTAGGGGACAAATGGACAATCGTACTCTCCTTGGGATTGGCATATACTGATCAACTTAATGCATGTAAAGTTACGCAAGTGGTGTCTCCATTTTTAATTACACTTTTTTTCCCTTCCTAAGTCTTATGGTTCTAAATCTACATAAATAAAAATATTATCAATTATATACTGAAAGATCACAATTATTTTTTATTTTAAAATCATACAAAATTAATTTGTTTTATTTTTATAAATATTTAAATATTTGATCAAATTTTTTATTTTTTAAAAATATTTATTACATATAAAAAATTTAATATAATATGTGAATGCTTTCCTATTGAAACTCTATTATGCATTAATTATCCATCATTCAATTAGATGCAGAATTAATGCACGTAAAAAAACAAATAAATTAAACTATTATTTAATTGATACTTAATTTTTCATTTACTTAATTGACGAATTGTTCAAAATAAGAGAATAAGTTACAACATTTTCTTTTGAGCGGGATAACGAAACAAAATTTTGTTGCACGAAATATATTTACATTACAAATGGTAATGGTTAAAATTGAAGTAAGATAATATAATATTTGTTTCATATGTATATTAAAAAAAAAAAACACACGCATGCATAGTAGCTTCAACTCCTTACTCAAATTTATTATATATGATAAAATATAGGTGCACTGTTGACACAAAATGAGAAAAGAATGTTGACAAATAACCAAAGTAAAAATTCACAAAACCATTTTAAAATTGTTTCATTTAAAATTTTCAACTGACTAAATAAAATTTAACACTTAAGAATTGAATAATCTCATGTATGTGCTTTCTGTTTATACACGTTTTTTCTTTTTAAATTTCACTTTGCTCTCTCTCTCTCTCTCTCTATATATATATATATATATATATAATATTCTCCTTTACATTAGATAGAGCACATATTAAATAATTTTAAGTTTTATACACTTAAATTTAAAATAAACTAGATATTAGATGCTTGTTAGTATGTGAAAATAGACTTATCTCAGCAAATAAAATAAGTTAAAAAGGTAAATATATACAATTTAAAAGGCATAATTGATTATTACATCATACATATATTGTTAATTTGCTTCAGAAAATATATTTTCAATAATGCCATATATACATGAATTAAGATTAAATAATATCTTCAATAATTTTTACCAATATAAATTTATTGATTTAATCATTCAATTTGTGATATACTACAAATATAAAAACACATACGCAACCTGTTTTTTTCACTTTGAACTTTTTTCATATTTTAAAAATCTTATGCTATAATTAGAGCATAATTTTTGTGTATTATTAATAATAGATTCTGAAGCTGACATCAATTATATATAAAAATATAAATACATATTTAATAATTACAAAATATTATGAGAAAACATCAGGGGCAGTTATAAGTGAAATGATGAAACTAATATTAATTATAAGTGAAATGATGAAATGAATATATAATATTAATTATAATACAAGAAATTATAAAAGTAAAACAGGCCATTCAACTTGTTTTTGTTCTTGTTAAAAATATGTTATCTCAATTATTATTAGAAACACCTTTTTTAATCTTACTATCCCTTTGAAGCAAGAAATTTGCTTTGAATTTATAGAACCACCAAAATTAAAAGAATTGAATTTATTGGAAGAAGCTTTAATAACAAAAGTAAACTTAATACAAAGAAAATAAAATAATTATATTAAATAAAGAAATAGAATATGAAAAAAATACAAATATGCAAAATTATAATATTTTATAAAATTATTGCTCCCTAATTTCTTTTTCACCTTCCAAACCTACAGGTCACATGCGGAAGAGTGGGCATTGGTTCTTGAGTTTTGTAAGCAGGAGTTGAGTACTCATCAATTGGTTCTACAATGCAAATTATGCAATACCACCAACGCTGTACTATGGAAATATTGTAAAAAAATATACTCTATTATTACTCTCAAGCCATTGATATTTAGTTTAATATTTAGTAATATTTTTAAATTTAATTATATTATAACTTGAATAATTATGCAATTGACGTCATAAGTAAGAAATATTTATATATATATATATAATCGTTTGAACTTGAGAATAACAACAATATCCCCTTGCATTTGTGCTTACTGTTTAGCAGCTGCACCTAATCATCTTCATTTTCTTAATTTGATACCATAAAATAGTGTGGGTGTGGTCTAAACAATAACACAACTAACAAACTACAACGCACCCTCAGCCTCAGAACCATATAACTATAACTGTCTGGTAGACCAACCAGTCAAAAGCCAAGCTCAATCGTTTCCAAACCCTATCTTTCTTCATCTTTTCTTTCTGATATTTACTTTTACAACAAACCTTCTCAGATCTTCTTCTTACAAAGATGGTAATTCTTGGATCGCTCGCGTATCCACCTCAAAGTCACAAACCTTTTTAAAATATCACTCTCTCCTACAAGCCATATCTACAGGTCTACTTAATTTCTAGACCTTCTATTCTCTCATTAGAGCTCCCCCCTAACCTTATCTTCTCACTTCATTTCGTTGGGAATAAATGGTTTGATTTTCGGCTCAGATCCACACAAACACTCTTTTTCATTGCCTATTTACTTCTCATCAAAACCCAGAAGCCAATTTTTCCTCTTTCCCACTTTTTTCCTACTTTTGGGTAAGTGATTTGAAGAAAGACAGATATGACTGCAATGAAGTAACCGAAAGCCTGCTAGTGCAAATCCCTGTTGGGAACAATGGCTGCGCCACTAGGGAGTAGGCTTCAAAGCATGTTGCAGGCTGCGGTGCAATCTGTTCAGTGGACATATAGCCTCTTCTGGCAACTTTGTCCACAACAAGTGTACGTAATTAATTTGCTTTCTCATCTCACTACATAAATTGTCCACCATATAACTACGCCTTTAATTATTAATTATTCATGTATAGTCTTAGTAACTAACACTGTAACACATTCATGTTACATGTACCTGTGTGTATTAAGCTTAATTATTATAATTAAGTTAATTTTAACGATATGTTGATTTAGGATTTTGGTTTGGGGTGATGGGTACTACAACGGGGCAATTAAGACTCGGAAGACGGTGCAACCAATGGAGGTTAGTGCTGAAGAGGCGTCTCTCCAAAGAAGCCAGCAACTTAGAGAACTCTATGAATCATTGTCTGCCGGAGATACAAACCCACCAACTCGCCGACCTTGTGCTGCCTTGTCGCCGGAGGACCTAACAGAATCCGAATGGTTCTATTTGATGTGTGTTTCATTCTCCTTTCCTCCTGATGTTGGGTAAGTCAAGTTTCATTACATGTTATGAAGTTCCTTTTAATTATATCCTTAGTTAGATATCTATTCTAGCATTCTCTTTTAAATTTTGAACTATATTCGATCCCATAAATCTTTGTATTTAATGGGCCATTTTCAATCTAAATAGTTTCATCATACCCAAAATTCAAGTTTCCTTTTGAAGATAAGTGGAGCAATATAATAGCTTCGGTAAGGGTGAACGGAAAAGTGGTCTCCCTAAGTGATAGAGAAAGGGAGAGGCTAGCTATTGTGACTTGTGAGTTTAAATGCAACATTAATAGTAGCTGAAAAAATTTAATAACTTTCCAATTGTGCTAACTTGGCTTTGGAAACAAACACATTCCTTTCTTTTGTTAGAGAAAATTAAAGACGTTAAATCATTTTCTCATAAAAGAGCTTTGGCTAGAAGTTGTCCATGATATATCAATGCAGTTCCCTTCATTGTGAAATGCATTTTGGGGATGCATGCAGATTGGCTCAGAGGCTTTAAGCGTACGTAGTTTAAATGCAATGAGTGAGTAACTTCGAATTTATGTACTGTGTCAGCAACGAACAAGAAATACAACGAGGAAAAAAAAATTCATTAATCAAGGAACACATTATTTTACAATGCCAATAAATTTTATTCAGTAACAAATAATTCGTCAAAAAGATTGCATTAGAGGGGTCTCTAGAAAAAAAAATAATAGTGTGAGTCTACTGAAAAAGAGGAAAGACGGTAAATTTTGAATTTTGTTAATCTTAGTTGAAGACTGAGTTCAAACATTTAAAAAATATATTTATTACGTTCAAGTTATAAAAATATTCTGAATAATTTTTAATATAAAATTTTATTATTATTAGCTGTTTTAACTTAATTCTTAAAGTTGAGGTAAATATTTTGTTTAAAATTTTCACAATTGAGCCAATTATTTTTTTGTTGGAAGTTTTTCGCGTATAGTATCATATTTTGCTCTGGCAGAAAGGTAGCTATGGGACTTTATTTCTTCTTCCTAGATTCGAGGGTTTCTCAGATTCTTCTTGATTCAGGAGTAAATGAAGAGCAGTTAGATTATACGTAATTTGTGTATCTGACAAACTTGATATTGAGAGTTATGTTAGAATGTGTTGAGGGAATATATTCGGAGCATTCTGTCAAATAAGAATTTGCTGAGCTGGTCAAGTATTAAGTTGCGCATTATATGCTTGAAGACGATGGCTGAAAGAGAGAGTTACTTATTTCGAGAAACCAGACAAATTAATGCGTTCAAAATTCAAAACAACATAGCTGCAAAAAAACTGCTACTACGTACTACCATCCTGCATTTGGAAGTTTTCGCAATCACGGTTTTTCTTTCTCCCCCGTTCTCACCTCCATGTTCAACTTTTTACACCGTGATATTTTCATTTGGGAAAATATATTAGGACTTCGATTTTGGAGGATAGCTGTTTCTATAGCTTCCTAGTTTCTCCCAAATTGCTAATACCGTTTTCACACCCATCAAAAGGATATATAACATCAATTGGTCCCGATATAAGAAGGGTGCACGTTCATAACACTGTAGAAAGCCTAATTAGCTCTCAATTATGGAAGAGGTACCAGTTAATTTAGGCTGGTCCATGCACAGCTATGAGGATCATGTTGCTCATCTATATCTATATATCTTCTGTAAGAGACGCTATTGTTGGGAGAAGGACAAAGAAAAAGTTTAATAGATCTGAGTGGTGTAGGACTAGATTAGGAATCTGATTATTATAATGCACTAATTTAATGTCACTATCGTTTGTATAATATTTGAATTATCTCATCTTGTATAAAAGAATGTGACAATATGATGTTATGAGAATAAAATAATAAATCAATAGACCCTACATAAATAATGTATGAAAGAAATCATTAATTGTGATATATAATTATTGTTGATGATTTATGTAGCTATGAATAATGTTATTCGGTTTTCTTTTTCAAAGATCAATTTAATTGTTTTTGAGAAGCCACTCTTTAAAATTAATTCATTGTTAAAGAGTAAAATTTGCAATATAATGACATGTACACTGTAAATACTAAACTATGGTGAGAGTAAATTAATGCATCAATCACATCATATTATGTTGTTTCTAAGACTACACATGGTGCGAATGTTGCGATGGGATCAACGATGAATTATATTTATTAGATTTTACTCTGTTTTCACTTACATATATAAGCTTCTTTTCTTAAATTCAAATTTAACATAAGGGTCAGCAATCTGCTAGCATATTGCTGTATATTTTTTATAAACTTGAATTAGTATAATTATTGCAGCATAAGATTGTTTGATTGATTGATTTATTTTATTTTTTTTGTTGTTATATCAGGTTGCCGGGAAAGGCATATGCAAGGAGGCAGCATGTATGGCTCACTGGTGCAAACGAGGTGGACAGCAAAACATTTTCACGAGCTATTCTAGCCAAGGTGCTTCAATTACCAAATTTATAATTAATACAATAGCTTTAAGGCAAATGTTAATAAATCAGTAGAAAGGATTTTTCTTAACATAATTAAAATGTTTAATAAGACATATTAAATGCTCAATAACCAATTTTCTTAAAATATTATCAAGTTTTTTAACTTATACTTAAAAATACATAATAAAAAATATGTATAGTAAGTTTTTAGTAACAATACTAAGATAATACAAAATTCAATGTATTAATAACATCAAATGCCATAAATTTTAATAAAAATTATTATTTTTAATTTTTAAAAGCATGCCTTAAAAAAATATTGTTATAACATTAATTTAACTACGGGACAAATTTACCATTGATAGAATTTTTCTACTTCAAGGGAGGGGAGGGCAGAATGTAAGATAGGAAATTAAAGGAACAGGGTATAATGAGGAATTTACACTTTATATTCAATTTGTATGCATATCAATTTTACTGGCTGATTTATCTTAAGGAACATGATATTTTTACACTTGTTTTCATTCACTTACTTGACACACTTCTTTTTTCTTTTACACTTACGTTATTTTCGTAATACAAATATATTAACTCAACATTTGTTTTACATGCAAAAGGAGTAAGAACGTGTAAAAATGATTTTATGTGAAATGAATTCTTTTGATTATCAAATTTTCACATCTAAAGGAAGTTGCAAATATTACTTTTAAGCGACAAGTTGCTTTTACTTTTGGTTTTAAGTTAGATATTTTTTTTCAAAAATTATTTATAAAAATAAAAAATAAAAAATAAAAAATCAAATTAATCAATTTTTTTATAAGTTAAAATTAACTTATATTCCTATATAAGTTTTAGAAAATTTTAAAATTTAACCTTTTTAAAAAAATTTTAAGGAAGATAAATTGATTTAATTTATAAAAAAAAAATTATTTTAGCTTGTAAATTTTTTTTCTCTTATCATACTTGTCTGAGTTCGTCTAAATTAATTGAAGGTATTGATTGTTACATGATGAATTAATTTACTAACTAGCTTGTTTTGGCTGTGGTTTGGGGACGATTACAAAATTTTCCACGGCTAGAGTGCTCGTATACAGGTAACAATTATTTAAATTTGTGCATGAATTAATTTCTGGCTTTCTGACTTGTGATTTAAGTCTAATACAAAAAAGAAAATGACCAAAATAACATTATTTTATATTATGATGGTTTTTTTTTACCATACGAACTACGTACAGACCGTGGTGTGCATTCCTCTGTTGGACGGCGTCGTTGAGTTCGGAACAACGGAAAAGGTAACATCAACTCCCTCGTAAGTAAGGTAACACCTCCGTCTCTTTCACCTTATATTTGTTTATTACGTTTGTTATTGCTTAGGTGCAAGAAGACCTCAATTTCATCCAACACGTGAAAAGTTTCTTCTTAGACCATCACCACCCTCTGCCGCCGAAGCCCGCCCTGTCGGAGCACTCAACCTCCAACCCCACCTCCTCCTCCGATCACATCCCCACCGTGATGTACACCGTGGCAGACCCACCCCCCACCCACACAATCAACCAAAACGACATGGATGAAGACGAAGAAGAAGAGGAAGATGAAGCCGAATCTGCCTCCGAAGACGAAACGGGAGGCCATATCGCTGGCCCCGCAACGACGCCCGACACGGCGGCGGAGCCGAGTGAGCTGATGCAGCTGGAGATGCCGGAGGATATCCGGGTCGGGTCACCAAACGACGGGTCCAACAACTTGGACTCGGACTTTCATTTGCTAGCGGTGAGTCAGACCGGAAACCCGTCGGGTCAAGCCGAATCGACCAGGAGGTGGGCCCCGATCCAAGACCCGTTACAAGTTCAACTACCGGTTTCAGGTAAATAAAAATAATGCTAGAACACCTTTTTTTGAATACATTCTTTATTACTAACCTAAGCTTAGTAAAAATTAAAAAATAATGAGTTTTATTGTTTAATGTTTTTACAGTTAATAAAAAAAAAAGAATATGTGTGTGGGGTTTTAGATAAATGAGGTGATAAATAAAAGAACAAGTGGCATTGCAAAGATTGAAGCATAGTTAGTTCATTAAATTTGGAAAAGGAAGGGAAGGGACCAGTCTAGTGGACATAGTCATAATGGGAGTGTGGTCCAATCTCCTAATAAATTCCTTTGTCCTATAATCCCTTGGTGGGGTCCACACCTAAATAATCCAAGCAGATTTTAATGCTCAAGTTCTCAGTCACCGCCATACACGTAAACCAACGTACATGCTCCCCATGCAAATTTCTATATTTGCAGAGAGAGAGAGAGAGAGAGAGTCAATGTGACAATGTCACTTTCTCATTATTTCATCAAATTATTGAGTTGACCCTCAAACACATTGTGTCATCCTTTTTTTTAAAAGGAGCTCAAAATCTTGAAATCATCTGTTAAACTAATATTTATATCTTTAGATTTTCTTTTTTACATCCATTCTTCTTCTTCTTCTTCTTTTCGTGTCACCTGTCGTGTTTTTATTTTCTCTCTCTGTTTTTTTTTATAAATTATTTCTGTCTTTTAACATCCAAAATTGAAGTGTCAACTAATAACTTTCCCAGGCCCTACTCAGTTATACTGTGATGCGCATGGGTTGGAGTACTTTTTTGTATACCTAATAATAAATGACGTAGTGATTTGGCCTGCAGGTAAGAAAGACGAAAAAAACAACTGCCTTGTAAAACTTTTTGTTTTTTTGCTTTTGATTTTTTCTATTAATAAATAGCTTGTAAGCAACGGAATAACTCTTCAACATTAAGCTTTTCCATACCAAAAATCAATAGCAAGTCAAGGTGTTTTTGATTTGGAGTAAGATTTCTATTTTTTTAATTATATTGTTGAATATATACCACTATCACAATATTTTGCTCTTTTCTGGTACATAATATATATTTCACGATTCAGAACGAGATAATTTTTTTGTTTAATACTTAAGAATTGTGATTATAAGCATCAAATTAACTATGTAAAGATATTTTCAGAGAAAATTAAGGTTACAATTCCTAGCTTTGTGCACGCAATTTTGCACAAATTAATTGTCAGTTTAAGTGTTTAAATTATATCATGATTGTGTAATGTTTTCCACCAAACCAAAACAATACCAGCGCACATACTAGCTGTGCATTTGGTCGGGCCAGCACTCTTGCTGCCTATTCAGGCAAGAGAGCGAGAACACATTCTACTAAAAGAGTAATGATATTTTTATATCTTAACCCAGTATGAAACTAGGGCAAGGAAGATATATAAAATAAATGAATACTTTAATAAGTAATGTGATAAAATTTTTTAAGAATAATAATATAATTAATATGTGTAAGATTGTGTTAAATTAATGAAAAAATGTTTTTAGTATATTCTTAAATATTAACAATACACTTTTTTTTTTATGTGCTCTGTTATTTGGTGAATCAACCTTCTGTGAATATTAATTTTTAAACGACATTGTTTATAATAGTATTCTAAAACGAGAGTGTTTTTAGAGACTTTCATTATACTAAGTGAATTTTTTTATATTATGTCTTTGATTTAAAAAATATTTTTTTTATTTTTATTTAATATAATAAGATTTTTATTATTAATAATTATAATATTTACCTTTTTCTAAAATTTATTATATTAAAAACATCCATTTAACATATTTTTAATTATTTATTTAAAATAATTTCAATTGATGATATCTTATATATTGCACGAAAATAATACTACTTACATATATTTAGTAAATAAACTGAGAACTCAAATCAGCTCATAGGACTTATAAAAACTGTTAAATAATAAACAATATGTTAAAATAATCTATATAATTATTCCTTTTTAAAAAAATAGATACATTCTTATATGAAAAATGTCATAGTAATAATAAGAGAAGTGAAAGATATATGAAAAATAAATTTTTTAATCTGTCCAATATTATACATAATAAAAAATTATATATAACAATTTTTATTAAAATTATAAAATTTAATATAATTCAATATATTGATAACTATTTTAAAAGTTATTTTAACAGTTAGTTTATGAAAAATATTCTTAAAAAATAATAATATTATTAAAAATAATATTTTATTATATTCTAAAGTAATAAATAACTTAGCAAAAAAAAATCTTGCTAACTAAAATTAGAAATGTAAAATTTTTATTAAAAAATTATGTTAGATTACATTAAAAATTATAAAAAAAAATGTGTATTTGTTGTTTTCTAATAAATATTCTTAACCTTTAATTTTTTATACAATACCCTTAAAGTACTGGTTAGTATTTACTCAAAATATTTAGTGATGTCGAATATGGAACTTAAAAAATTTAATGGTTTGAGTTTTTTTTTTTTTTTTGGTCTCATGGTTTGAGTGTTTCTGAGCCTTGTCTTGCTTAAAATTGGTGAGAAGTATGGTCCGGCGTAGGCAGGAGTGGCCGGGAAAGGTTGATGAGATGTTGAAAGATAGCTCAGTGCTTTCCCCGTTTGCAACCAAAGAGGAAAAGGGAAAAACATTGCTTACTACATTTGTCTGCACCAAACATTCTCAAAACCAACCAAAAAACCTAAGCTTTCATGTGTTGGAAGATAAATCTTAAGCATGGTTGATGTTAGAGACTCAACATAAATCTAGTAACAGATAAGAGGAATGTAACAAATCTTCTTTTCTTCTATTTTGAGGTAGAAAAACCGACATAGCTAAGTGTTTAACTAATATGTAATTAATTAATTAAGTCCTCAGTTCTTCACATCAAATTTTATGACACTCGATTATACATCTCCTAAAACTAACCTGATCTACTCTCTCTTTTTGCAGCACCTCATCCCTTAGAAGACTTAACACAAGAAGACACTCACTACTCTCAAACGGTATCGAACATCCTCCAAAACCAATTCTCAAGGTGGACCCACTCATCACCCTCCGTTGGCTACATCCCGTACTCCAACCTATCAGCTTTCGCCAAGTGGACAACCCTCGCCGACCACCACTTCCACGCTCCCGTCGACGGTACCAACCAGTGGCTCCTCAAATACATCCTGTTCACAGTACCGTACCTCCACGCCAAAACTCCCGACGACAACTCTCCCCAAAACCGAGACACCGCCGCCGCCGACACTGCCCGGTTACGCGGCAAAGGAACACCGCAAGACGAGCTAAGCGCCAACCATGTCCTGGCGGAGCGCCGCCGCCGGGAAAAACTAAACGAGAGATTCATCATTCTGAGGTCTCTCGTTCCCTTCGTCACCAAAATGGACAAGGCTTCAATATTAGGCGACACCATAGAATACGTTAAACAGTTACGGAGAAAGATTCAAGAGCTAGAAGCGCGTAACCGGCAAATGGAAGCTGATGCAACGGTTCAAAGGACGAGTAGCAGTTCGAGCAAGGAACAACAGAGAAGTGGGATAACGGTGATGGAGAAGAGGAAGGTGAGGATCGTTGAGGGGAATGGTGTGAAAGCGAAGGCTGTGGAGGTTGAAGCTTCCACGTCAGTGCAAGTTTCGATCATAGAGAGCGATGCGTTGTTGGAGCTTGAGTGTCCCCATAGAGAAGGGTTGCTTCTTGATGTGATGCAAATGCTAAGAGAGGTTCGAATAGAGGTGATTGGGGTGCAATCATCGCTTAACAATGGGGTGTTTGTTGCTGAGTTGAGGGCTAAAGTGAAGGAAAATGCGAATGGTAAAAAAGTTAGCATTGTGGAAGTTAAGAGAGCACTTAACCAAATCATCCCTCATAGTGTTGATTAATTAGTGCAATTTCTAGTTTAGACCAATTAATGTTTCTTATGGTTTAATTAACTGGCCATTTCTTTTGTAAGCCACACTACTAGTGGTTGAGGCTTACGTTACCCATTTGGTATGTGCTAATGCTATATGCTCTGGCTTCATGTATATCTGAATTTCAAGCCAGGTGTGGAGTCTAGAAGAAGGCTGATGAACATAAAAGAAACTAGGGATCAGCATTGTGTTTAGAGTTTTAATTAGTTACTTCATTAAACTAGTTGGAATTCTGTTTAGTGTAATAATTATGTACTATGAATAATTGAAATTGGTATAGAAAAATGCATGTACAATGTACTTTCTAATTAGAATATGATGCCTGCTTACGAAAAACTTTATTTGGAAATTGTTTTTAATTGAGTGCATATTTGAAAAGAAAAAAATGGTTCTAAAAGTTAAAAAATATTTTAGAAAATAAATCAAATTTTAGTTGTAATAATAATAAATTTGCAGTTTCACTTGCTATTATAAGAGTCCATGTTTATTGTTTTTAATATCCCCAATTTTTATATTAAGGTTACACTGCTTTTTTTTAATCTCTTTTTTCCTTTTTCTATTACAACAATTATAATATTTATTATTGTTTATATTTTTCTTCTTTTTCAAATATATACACTCCTAAGGGATATATCAGATTGTGTATTTATGCCTATTTAATAAGGAGGGTATTCTCTTCACACTTTATTCTATTTCTCTGTCTCCTTCTGCCTTTAGTATTATGTGATTGTATAATTTTTCATACTTGTATATTAGTGAGTGTAACACCAAAGAGAAGTATTTGTTTTACTTTATATTTTATATCTTTTATACTCCTTAATTATAAAATATCACACAGTGACAGAGATAATAGAAAACAATCTTTCTCAATAAGTGTAAAGGTATCCAAGTAAAAATAACTAATGCAAAATAATTAGTTTCCTTTTATCAGGAATCAAAACCCAAAAAAATTGTGTATGAAGTGTTTACCTTACTAATTGTATCAAATTTCATTGGTAAATAGATGAATGATACAAGTGATAAATGGTATTTTTTATTTATATATTTCCAAAGTTTGGTCAGTTATATATAATCATTATGCATGATTCCGTGTCTCTGATTAATGAATCCCTTCAGGGACTACAATCTTTGATTCTATATTTTAATTTAGTATGAAGATGCCATGCTATTTATTCAAGTTGGCCAGAAAAATGTACTAAAAAGAAGAAATCTCTTCTGCATTCTCCACTTTATACAACTTACATTGAATTGGAAAGGTCTTGGAATCTTGAGACTAGAGACTCGTGAAGTTCATTGCTGGCCCAAAGGGTAAGACGAACAAGCCCACACAATAACCCATGAGGATTGTTCATGTCCATCATAATTGACTTCCATTAACACTGATTTCGTTGTGTCTATGTGCATTTTTATACACTAACAGCTCATCTGTAATAGTATACTGTGTCTTTTTTTGGACAAGTAGGGACCTAACTTTATTAAATGTTATTTTATCTGTCGAATTTTCCTTTTTTCTCTTTCAATGTCTACTTCAATTAAAATATTTAAATAATTCACTAAATTCTTACTTTTTCACATGGAAAAACTTTTTTAATTAGTAATCATTTTTACGTATATGGATCCTTGCGGTCAACTTTCTATACAGTTAATAATCTCTATCCTTTATCTTATTTTTAAAATTTTACAAAATTAATTAAATATAACGAAAAAAATGAGTCATTAGACGATATGAGCTAATTGAGATTAAATGTAAAATCACGGGTAATTGTGATTAAATACTAATTAAATATTACAAAATATAACAAGTTTTCAAAAATAAATTGTGATTAAATATCATTAATAGGTTTAGGTACGTAGCGATATGAGCTAATTGAAAACATTAAGTAAGTAATAAATTGTTGTCTCTTTTGTCAATTCTTCCTAAAAAAAGATTTGATCTTAAACAAGTGCAACTGTCATTTAACATAATCACGGGTCTTTAGAATTATTTTTGGAGCAGTTTTAGGTAAATTAGAGGCTATTCTGAATTTTGCATGAATGGGTTATATGTTCGAGGAAAAGAGGAAGAAAAGCAATGCACAATAAAACCCCATGGTAGGGGCCCAGAATTCGGAGAACAAAAAGTCAATGCTCAAAATATAATGCTAATATTTGCAAGAAAAGTTTGAATTTCTTTTGGAGTACCCAATGCTCAACCATTGGAAATTGTTAATTTTTTTATTTTAAGAAATAAAAACATATATATAGATATATTAATTTTATTTTTATATTCTTATTTATTATGAATTTTGTGTTAAGAAAATTCTCACTTATTATTTATATAAGTGAATATATTTATTTATTTGATATATAGTTTACTAATTTAATCATTTAATATTATAAATATTTTTAAAATATAATATAATTTTATTACATGTTATTTGTTATTAACAATTGTAATTAATTATTATTTATTTTTATAGAAAATAAAACAATCTTTGTATTCTAAAAAATTAATAATCATTGCATGGGATTTTTTTATATATGATTTTAAAAAAAAAAATACAAAAATAGAGTTCAAAATTCGTCAATGATAATAATTTTTGGTAGAATCAATGAAAAGTTAAAAAATTTCAAAACTCACCAATAATGATTTTTTTTAAAAAAATATTAGAAATTTTAAAAAAGTCAAATTTTACCGCAAGGAGTTTTTTATGAAAAATAAAAAAAATTGAAATACTTAAAAAATACCATTGACAAAATTCTTGGGACCATACCAAATTTTCTCGAGGAGAAAATATAAGAAGAAAAATGATGAATGATTAGTAGTAGTGAGATCTAGTGATATATAACAATGGTAAGACTTTAAAAGCATTTTAATATTGAAGTATGCAATTACATACAGGACCCTCGTGAGATTTGGGTTGATATTTTTACAGAACTAAAACCTGTACATGATCAAAGAACCTAACAGTACAGCTAGCAATTCATCTGAAGTTTTAAACCATCCCAGCTTTTATTATTAATATGTATGGACATATGTTAGCTCCCCTTTGTGGTCCTCCCAAATTTAATTGTTCTCTTGTTCAAAATGAAGATCTAACTAGCTAGTAAGTCCATTCCTTTGGGAGAAATATCTGTGGAGAAGAACTTTGATTCTGAGAAATAAAACTACATTGCTTGGACCCTTCTTTCATATCACTTTTCTTTTCTATTGAATCATTATTGTAAGCTTCTCGCCATCTTGGGTTATAAACTGCAACCAGATGAAAGGTCATGGTAATTAAGGGTTTTGGAAACTTTTCTCAAGAATAACATATACCCAAAATAGCTAAAATTTCCGGATTCTTATAATTAAATATATAAATTTTGAATGAATATGAGAGATTAAAATCAGTAAGACTTAAAACTTCGATTTAAGACCTTGCTGGGGTGAAATCTGCACACCTAATGCATGCACATTAAGATTCAGAGCATGAACAACTCGGGCTGGAAGGAGAACAGGAGCACAAGCTGCAAAACAGAAACTTACACATGTAAGTCCAAATTCTACACGTTGAAGAAATTCAGTATATAGCACCAATTTGAGGAGGATTGGCCAGGCAAAAAAATACATTAATTTTTATCGTATGTTTTTAAGCACAAGTTAAAAAAATAGATTAATTTTACATGCAGAAAATTTTCAACTTTTATGAAAATGATGCAGGCATGCACATATGAATATATGTAATTGCAAGGGTCTCCAACCTGGCCTCTTGCTTGATTGGGAGTTTGTGCCTGCTCTTTGGGGTAAGAATACGCCAGTGCCACATGATCTATGCCCAGATCCTAAGAAAATAGCTCGCATTCCAGGTCCACCATTCCCAAGTTTGGGCCTTTGATACGAAGATCTTGAGGTAGATTTTGTTGTGTACTCGAGAGGACGATTCAGTAAAAGAATCTATTATGTATATGAAATAAAATTGAGTATATGCAGTAGTGAAATACATTCAACGAATATACAAGACCAAAATTTCCAATTATCAAGAGATATCGAATCTTTTGCCTTATTTTCTATTCATTTACTCTTTTTTCATGTTGCAATTCTTAATTTTATTTCCAGTACCATATATATCACACCTCAAAGACTCAAAATTCGATACCTGATTGAGTACGTGCATCATGACATATCTAATTTAATTTGCATGCTTCAGAACATTTCTGATAAGCCACTAAAGTTATCTGCTTTTGTAGGTTTGTTTATTCTTTATTTGCATCGTTTTGGTTTTTCTTTTTGTTAAAAAGAAAGAAATCCAACTAATTTTGGGAAGGATGTCAAAATGCAAAGGCATATTCTTTCTGTTTCCAGTAATACTTCAGATATTTGCATCTTCTTATCCTAAAGTAGGGTAATTGAAAAGCCTATAATGTGTGTACCCCAATAAGAAAACAAAGGCTATAATGCTAAATCTTATCGTAGTTGAGTTGGGCAAATGCCCTGAATATGACGCTATTGTTTAATTAATCAGAATGTCACTTGCGGAATAAGTGGAATATGTGTCCTCAGTCTCACACTACATCCTAATCAATGTTTAAGCCTAGCTAATCCTATTCTGCCAAATCATATTCTTCAATTCGTACCCCATTTTCCTACCAAAACCGGGGAAAAAAAAAACAGAGTATCCTCTAGGCAGCGATGGATTGAATGGATGCAATTAAGTAGAAACAGTACCTGTGGTTTTGGTTCTCCCGGTGATTTATGATGATGCTGTTGATGCTTTTGCTTATGATTTTTGACTTTTTCTTGGCGGTTCCTCATACATACCTGAAGATAAATTGAACCACATATAAGTATAACCCAATTCCAAAGTAGTCAAATTACTTGAAAATTTGAAATTAAACTAAAAATTATAAACAACATCCAAAGGTAAAAAAGCAAGACATGTATGATTAAATTCAATCCAAAACTTCACTTAATAACACCAACTTAGACAAACCCATACTATAATAGAGTAATCTGGCGAAATAATGCCCACCCAGTTGTTTACTTGGAACATTGAAGAAAAGTGATGAATAAGAGAAACATAACCTTAGTGCCGCATGCCTCGTCCAGAACATGAGAGGGTAACCAGAGCATTCCTTCTTCAAAACCAACTTCACCATCATCATGAACAGAAGCCATGGCCATATAGAGAGAGAATAAAAAGCTTAATGTTATTGATTTTGAAGAGAGTTCGGTTGCAATCTTATTTTAGAACGGTTGAGACTAGACAGGTTTTTAAAGCTCCAACTTCTGACCTGCAACTTAACTATATAACTTACGTGGGGTTGGTACTTGTGCAATTTTATAAATTAAAATTAGAGTTTTACTTCATAATATTAAATATAAATTTTTAATAAATAAAACTAAAAAGCTATACACCTAGGAAGCATACGTAGCTTTGTACGTTGACACAATGCGCACGCTCCCTAACAACGCGTGCTGATGTCTACTGCCAGGGAAGCTAAAACGACGAGGTCGTTTATTGCGCGTACAGTTAACGTGCTCTTGAAGTTGGTGGAAATAAGTAGTGAGATATTGGTCGTTTGAGATGGGTTGGGTAAACCCCTCCATCTCTGGTAGTTGCAGTTATTATTCTTCACGTAACGCTCTGTTGCTGCTTGTTCCCCAACCTTCTTCTTCTCATGTGTTTTTGGTCACTTTTTTTATATTATTTTTATTTCAAAGTGAGCTTGTTATTTTGGGTATCAATCTTAAAAGGTGGAGCTAATCATTCCAACTTGGCTTGTCTAAAAGGGAACGATTCAGAGAAGAATCAATAGTTTATGAGTAAAAGAAAAAAAAATAGGCGTATGCTATCTAAGCTTTATGTGGAAGCTCGTAAGTAACTTTCTAAACCACCATACCAAATTCCCCAAACATTTTGAAATTATCGCATGAAGCAGTTGTCTGAGCTGAATTTATAGCAACCAACAAAGGTGCCATCCTCTGCCTTTCTTTCCTGTTCTTCCCCATTTTATATACTTAGTTTTCATTTTCTTTTCCACCCAAGTGGGAGAAATGGACTTTCTTTCATATCTTTCCTACCTTAGTTACAATTAATGTTTGTACACATGTGATATATGATGTAAATAATAATTTTAATTTAATATACATTAGTCCTTAGTAAATTTGTTTATATGAGTTTGTCATTGACATTCAATTCTATATAGCCACGTCAATGAGAATTGCCAAATTTTGTAAAAAAAAGTTAATTTGAAAGTCATATCTACCATGTATTCAAATGTTTGATAGTGTAAAAGTTTTTATACTGATAGTGAATCAAAATCAATTTTTTTTTAAATTTGGTTTCTGACGCCAACCGATCCCGTCTTGTTCCGTTGTAAAAGAATGCCGGTAATCTCACCAAAAGAAAAGCGGTAGAAAAACCCTCCACAAAATTAGTAGCTTCTTTTGATTATGCAACAAAGTCAATGACAAACGTTAATTGTGGATTGGGCGAGTTAGGAGGAGACGAGGAATTGATGATAACATGTGGATTCAATAATAAGAAACAAACTACTAAACAAAGTAATATAATTTCAAGTCCTTGTGGCTATAAATATTACAGACGGGATTTTGTGTGAAGTAGGTCATCCGTTCGATTAATCATTAGAAAAGTTCATGCATGACAAAATTGGAAATATATCATAATACTAATAAGCTGCTGATCATGGTTGGTGGAACCAAGTCGATAAATGTTGAGTTTCTTGGGGATGTATGTCCAAAATAAATATACATTCATACACCAAATAAGGAAACAGAGCGAGCTAAATTTCGTACCCATGCAGACTCAATATTTAGGTCAACAAAACTCTCATCCTAAGGTGGGTCGGAGGGACATGCAATTAATTGCAGCACTGCCAACTCTTTATGGCTTTATTTGGAAGTATGAAAATTTTGAAAGGTTTATAATAATTTTTTTATTTGAAAACTTTTTCCTCAAATAAATCCTTTTTTTAATTCTCTTCCTCTTCTAAAATTAATTCCCAAGCAAAACCTAAATGAAAAACTGTGTTACACAAAAATATGAACTGAAAAATTGAATATGGTAACTAGGAAATGTACCTATATGCCAAAAAAATAAAAATAAAAACTGGGAAATTCACTTCATCCACTGTGTTTGAGGATCAATGAAAACAACTACGCCATGCAGAAATGTTGGCAGAATTAACAACTGCCATGAATTTATTAAGCTTCCAGATTTCTATGAAAGAGAGATCATTGTATACAAGTACATTGCTACAAGTTGGGCTTCAGTCCCCCACTGTGCCAAAAAAGGAACAAAAAAATCGTGAATATTATTGGCCCAGTGCTATCAACGGATTCTGCCTCCGAAATCTAGGTTCGGTCAAAATTGGTATCAATTGCCAAGTTCTCTTACATTCATAAACATATTCACAAATGGGAGGTACACTACAAAAAGTCGAAGCCAAAAAACATTCAAGTCTTCCACGTTATCTTAAGGCAGCGTTGGCACGAGAACAGAACAAAATGGAACTATCATGTTCCATATTCATTGGTTCCATGCCTTTTGATATAGCAAAATGTGCTACTTTTTAACCCCATGTCATGTTCTGTTGGATTTGCAAAACGCAGTGCACATAAAAAGATATGCGATGTCCCATACCGCACAAACACGTCAACCAAACACTAGCTAAGACTCCATTAATTGGCGCTTAGGTTAGGACAAAATCCTTGAAACATCACTCACACACATTTTACTGGTTAGATCCAAGAGTCTCTTAGTCTCTTCATCCTGCTTAACATTGTCCTTTCTCATCCTCTCAGCGACAATGAGAGGCATTTTACCAGCTGTTGCATAAGTTTTGAGAACCAGATTATATATATTAGTATTCACATGGCCAGCATTCCGAAGAATAACCAACAACTGTTCTGCTCCCTCAACATGAGCTTGTTCCTCAATGATTTTGAATGCTTCTTGTATTAACCTTTGATCAGGATTCCATTTTTTCACACTAGAAATAGCTTTACTAAAATAATCCAGAAATTTTTCCACATCCTTCCTTTTTAGATAACCCCGTGTAAATAGCTCGCATGTAGTGTAAGAAGGACTGATGCCCTTTTGCACTATCTGATTACAAAAATCTTCAGCAATTTCCATCTGGTCTTGGTTAATGTATGAAGCAAGAAGAATGTTTGAAACTCTGACATCATTGGTCCCAGAAATGTTCTCCCACTCCCTATAAAGATTCTCAGCTTCAGCAACGTCTCCAAGCTTCACAAGTGAGGATAACATGCAAATGTACTCATTATCATTCATTTTGCGAAAGTAGGCATTCATTTTCTTCCATATTCGATTAACATCATCCTTGCTCCCCATGTTTGTATGCAAGCTAAGGAGAGAGGAAAATGCAGCTCGAGTTTTCCTTGAGGTTCTGTTCTCCATCTCTTTCACAGTAGATCCTGCCTTCTCAAAGCGAGCATTTTTTATGTACAAATTGGTTAACGTACTGTATGTTACCCAGTCTGGATCTATTTTTGCCTTCTTTAACTCAAGCAGTGCTCTTTCCGCAGTTTCAACATCATTCTGCAAAGCACAAGAAGTTAACCATAAATTGAAAGTGACGACATCTGGCAAAGTGTTCATCCTTAGTTCCTGAATAATTTTAGGAACCTTTTCTAGCTTCCCATTCGAAATGTAGAGAGACATCATGTGATTATAAGGAAGAGGACATCCTAAAAAGCCACATTCTGACATTTTTGACATGAGGGCCTCAGCTTTGTCAACCAAATTATTTTGGACATAGGCATGGAGAAGTGCAGAGCAGGTTTGTTGGCCCCTCATTCGATCAGGAAGATCCTCAAAGAATTTCTCTGCACTATTTAAACCTCGAATTTTAGTTACCAAATCCAAGTGAACAGCATAGTCTCCTTGCACTAGCTTGATATCTCGCTGCAAGGTCATCCATTCACATACCTGCATTTACACAGACAAAAACAAAAAAGACGGTTCAACACGTTTGCATTCTTAAGCATCACTCTAATGGCAGGGCCTCCCCCTAGACCCCAGCACAGTCTAGTCCCAACAAATAAAAATAAAGAACACCTCAATTGCCGCACCACAAATGCTAATTCTTCTACCCAACTCAACTTAAGCTTTTCGAGGACAATAAGCAAAGGAAAGCCAGAAGGGTATCTCTCATGAGTCAGGCTCTGTATTAAAAGGTTAGAGCTTAGAATCGTTGAAGAGTCTAAAGGATGATGGAAGGTGACATGTTCAGAATCCCAGTTTGTCAATAATTTGAGGATTCTCAATTTCATAGCAACCATTTTCACAATAATGGATGCAGAGAGTTATAGTATGCGAATGATATCGAAATAATATATATCACTGTATAAAACACCAAATTCGAATTAATGACCAAAGCATGGTATTCAATTCCCCTAAAGTACCATTCCTTCACACAACCAACTATTATAGCAGAGTGATGAAGATGATAAAGCGAACTAACCTCGAGTGCGTGTTTGTAGCGCTTGCTCTTGCGAAGCTCACGAACAATGCGATTGAGCTGGTATTTGCCGGGGACCACGTGACCCTCTTCCTTCCATTTATTGATGGCGATGACGGCACTGCGTTTTGGGTACACAAGGCTCAGAAGCCTCCGCCCCAGCGTGTCTCCACCGCCGCTCGAACTGGCGGCGTCGGAGCCTGTCCGGGCCGCTGCTTCGGCCGAAAAGTGGCGAAGGGCGGCGAGATACACTCCGATTGAACGAAAAAGCATTTCCCTTCTGCTTGATTGCATCATGATCCCTGAGCTCATGGGTTCTTAAACCCAAACTGGAAATGCTCCCCCCCGCCAAATTAAACCCTAATTGATTTGAGTTCTAAATTCCAATTACAATAATCTTTTTTTATATCTCATTTATTTTTTCTATCATGTTGTTTTTGTTTATATATTTCATTAAATGTTTTTTATTTATATATTTAATATACTTTTATTTATTATAATTAATAAAATTATAAGATAACTTATATAAATTAATAATATATTATCATTTTATGAATTATTGGATAAATTTTGAGATAAGAAATTTAATTTGAATAACTACTAACAAAAGAAAACTAAATGCAATCAACTAAAATAAAACAAATTTGGACAAAAAATAAAAATATACAAAATAAAAGTATAATTAAGACGAAATAATACGGAAATAATGTTTTAAAATTAATAAAGTTATAATTTAAATTTTTAATATAAAAAATTATTGAGATAAACATTTTTTTAATAATTAATAAATTTTAAATATTTAAAATTTAAGTATTAAATCATTTTTAAGTCATGTATTATCAGGAAATAAGTATAATAAAACATGTCCTTATATTTAACAATAAAAATTTAAATTGATATTATACAAATTAATCAATCATGACAAAAAATTATAAAATATTATAGATTAATTTATTTTATAAGTTCCATTAAGTAATTTTACTCAGACTTCTTTTTATATTTTCTATGATTCCGATATCCAAACACTATATTGAACACTCAACTCAATAATATTGAGTGAGGTAAAATTATTAGTAAATGTTTTTTTACCGAATTTTAATATAGTTACATTTTTAAATGCTTAAATTTGAACTTATTAATTAAATTTGAATAATCTTAATATTAAGAATTTACACGTTAATGATTTTTAAAATACTTATTTTAACTTGTATTTTTTTAATATATTTTCAATATATTTATTTAAATTACCTTTTAAAAACCTCAAATCAATTTTAAAACGGTGAATAATTATATTATTAATAGCTAAAAAATAAAGTATCAATCATTTCAGTCTTTCAAAGAATGAAAAATTGTCCGTAGGTTCTTAAATTTATAAACAATCAATTATGTTATTCCTTATATTAATTGGTTTTAATTATCACTAACAAAAAATAACAATATATGGTTGGTTTTGAAGTAATTTAAAAAGGGTTTGAGGTTGAATAACGTGTTGTGCCATGTTTGAATTTCATGAACGTTGATTGTGTAACTGAAGGTTCTGATTTGGCTTATTTTCATTTTTTTTTATAATTAAAATAACGTTTTACTTAATTTTCGTATTAGTTGGACATCTATCATAGCTTTGAAAAGAACACGCTTCTCATTTTGTTAGTTTTTAGTAACAAGAGTTAATGCCAATACTAATTTGATTCATATATTATTTTTTTCAAAAAGATATTTAATGAATTTATTTTTCAAAATTAACTTTACTTCTATCAAAAAAGAAACACACTGATCTCTCATTTTTTAGGATAAAGATGACATTTTGCTCTTTAAAAATACAAAACAAACGAAATTTTAAAGACTCTTTACTGTAAGTAAGACTTGATATTGTGATAATGCACATCACTCAAATTAAGACTTGTTGATGCTTGTTTCCTTTTCTTTTTGAGAGACTGAAATAATTCATAATCTTTCATAACTAAAATATCAATGCACTTGTTTAAAATAAAATCCATTAATATTTCCTTTTATGATTTTGTAAAAGTTCTTTATTTTATTGGTTTGAAAAACGTCATTTCTGAGGTGTCTTTCATCTTTTCAAAAGATATTGTATCAATACAATAAAATTTTATAACAACCTATATGATATTACTTTATTATTCAGTTTTATTAATCTCGACCTTTAAAATTAAATTTAAACATAGAAATTTTTATTAAAAGGTAATTCATTAAAATATATATATATATATAATAAATAAAATTTTATTATTATTTAATATTTAACCTCAATCTTGGTTTATTATTTATATGAATTATTAAGTATATTTGCAATACCAATATAATTTATCTTTTCTCTGTCAAAAGGCAAAAAACACACAGCAAGGCTGCAGCATAAGCAGAGCGCGAACACGAGCACCTTCGAGTCTGAACACTCGTTCAAGTTTGTTTCGTGATTTGCCGCAATGGTAGGTCCGTCCAGCGCCGACGGTCGTAGGGGAGTTAGAATCGCCGTCGCCGGTGACGGAGGTACCGGAAAATCCACACTCATAGCCGCAATTGGATCGGATTCTTTCCCCGAGTCCGTTCCGGCTGTGCTTCCTCCAACTCGTTTACCCCATTATCTGTACCCCGATTCCGTTCCCCTTACGCTCATCGACACTCCTTCCAGGTCCCTACATCACACGCATTTCTTCTCCCGCTTCCACTCCTCTGTCATTAACAAACTAATAAAAAATATTCCATCCTTCTGTAAATTAATTGGTTAATCAAAGATACGCCCTAGATTTTATCGGAATGAAATGTGATTAAATTTTTTCAAACCTACAAACTATATACGAATTTTCTTGATTGAATTCACATTTTCATTGGGACATGCGTATTGTTCTGCATTATTTAAATGGACACGTGTGATTTGTTTGTTTTAGCTTGGCAAAACAAGACACGCGCAATGAAGAATTGAAGCGAGCCGATGCGGTGGTTTTAACATATGCTTGTGATGAACCCGAGAGCTTTGAGCGTGTGAGTACTTACTGGCTCCCTGAACTGCGGAAGTTGGAGGTTGGTTTTGCTGCTTTTAGTTTACTAGCATTTTAAGCGCCAGTGTAGAAGAGCTTATGAATAACTTACAGAAAATAACTTATATGATTCTTATAAGTTGTTTTCAGCTTATCGTAATAAGTTTCATCCTTAAATCTGTAGCACAAGTCATCCTTAAATAAGCTAGGTGTTGAAATGTAACCTAAGTTCAGGAATGAAGTATGAACGGCAAGCCAATACTCATACTAATAGCTGTATTGTCTGTTGTTTATTGTGATGCAGGTGCAGGCACCTGTGATTGTGGTGGGTTGCAAGCTTGATCTACAGAATGAAGACCGGCTTGTGAGCTTAGAGAGTCTCACGGCACATATCATGAGACGGTTCACTGAAATTGTCACCTGTGTTGAATGCTCTGCAGCTACTTTTTATCAGGTATGTTGTTTTGCAGCTTCATTGCAGCAACTTTGTCATACTTCATGTGTTGCAAATTAGAAGTTTCTAGTTAGTCTATTATAAAATTATAATGCAACATCAAAATATATTAGTGGATCATATTTTTGTTGTTTAAAGAGCATTCAATCCTGTGGTTTTCTTTGAGGCACTGTTCTATATGACAGTCCTAATAAACTCATGCATATTTTTTATGGTGCAACTGTTTGCTTTAGGTATATAAATATATCTTCCTGGTGATATTGGAGCTATATTTGACACCGTTATTCGTAAAACTACAGTGCCTTATGCTTAATTTTTAATTAATTTCGATTATTTTTAGGTCCCTGAAGTTTTTTATTTTGCCCAAAAAGCAGTACTGCATCCAGTAGATCCGTTGTTTGATTATAAAAGACATGCTTTAACAGATCGATGTGTGAGGGCATTAAGAAGAATATTTGTTCTTTGTGATCATGACATGGATGATGCCCTCAATGATGAAGAACTAAATGACTTTCAGGTTTTTGATGAACTCCTCCCCGCTTCCTGCCCCTTTTTTTCAATTTTCATATACTTGAATACTTAGTTTCTTTTAGCTCCTTTGGTTATGATAATTCATAAATGAACAGGTTAGATGCTTTAATGCACCGTTGCAGCCATCTGAAATAGAAAATGTCAAAACAATTGTAGAGCAGAAAGTTCCTGAAGGAGTCAACTCTGTTGGTCTTACCTTCCCAGGCTTTATTTATGTGAATAATATGTTTCTAAAGAAAGGGAGAACAGAGACATTCTGGGCTGTTCTAAGAAAGTTTGGATATGATAATGATTTAAAGCTCCGGGATGATTTCCTTCCAGTGCCTCTTAAGCAGACTTCTGATCAGGTCATACTATTTGGTTTGGCTATTGTCTAGTTCTATTTTTGTCTTCCTGTTTTATGCTTTGATTTAATTGGAAGAAGTTAGAGTGCTGGGTTGACCATTCCAATTGTTATAATTTCAATACTTATATTAACTTTAACAGGAAATCTGTCTAATTGTTAAACGAGGAAAACTAATATTAGCCATTATCTTCTAATCCTATTTGTTGATGATTGCCCAAAACCAAACATGTTTCTATAGTTTTGGAAATATCATCTGTGAACTACATGGCTCACTAGCATTGGTGATTATAAAAAAAATCTAGATTTTATATTTGTTCAACAAAATTAACTCCTATATTTTGTATGGTTATTCATCGTCCAGACTCCAATGACTTCCTTTTGTACAAATATATGGCAATTTGGATTGCAATTAATTTACAACTATTAGTTGAAGTATTATAATTTTATTTCTCGTTGGTTTGAATTGAAAAGTAGATGCAAATGTTTGATGGTATTGTTTTATGATGCATCATGCATGCTTGTTCAATCAAATGATCTTTTTCATAGAATTATGAGACAGTAATATATAATAGTATGATCTTTTTACCAAGTATTATTTCTCCTTGTTAGGCCATCAAGTGTTGTCAAACATTGTTGAAAAGGTATTTTAGAATTCCTATTTAACTTCCAAATCATATGTTAGAATTTACTTTCTTAGACATTATGTTGCAGAGTGTGGAGCTGACAGGTGATGCTGTAGAGTTTTTGAATGGTATCTTTCGATTGTTAGATACAGATAAAGTACGTATAACTTTTTGGACTATTTGACCACTACTATGTGCTCTAAACACCCCCAAGTGACTCTCCAAGTGTAACAGCTTTATATTTTTTCTAATTTTCATTTTGGAAACTTGATGCTTTTCTAGGATCGATCCCTACGACCTGCTGAAGTTGATAAGCTATTTGAAACTGCTCCAGAAAGGTGAACTTTCTCATTTCTTGTCCCTTAAAAATAGTATCACTCTAATTTTATATTTAATCCACGTACACTTTCTCATTTCATGTATGTTTCTGAATTTTGATATTTGTTTGAAGTTTGAACTAGATTTTAATACATATGTTTTTTATGCTATTGCAAATAAGCTTAAGACATATGTGCCTTACCAAAAGTTGACATAATTTGTGCTTTTAAATGTAGAAGAATGTGAAAGAAATATTTGTTTCTTTAAATTGTATACATGGCATCATAATTGTGAAGAATGTTCAAATTGTGTTGTTTGTCTTGTGATACAGTAATGCCAACTGCCAACTATCTGGTTGTAATTTGTAAAGGTTTGATAAATAACAACAAATTTTTTGTTACCTTTATCTTACTGGATTTGGGACACCTAGCTTGAGGAGATATGGAATAGATGTTCAAACAACAAGGGAATGCTTCTCTATGTAAAGTAGTGGCAGAAATAATTTCCAGTAGTTCTTTCTCTATTTCTTTATTCATGTGGTTGTTGATGCCCAAACTTATTTGTGTCTGCCCTGCCCTGAATTTGATAATTTCTCGTCACATTATGTTGGAAGTGTCCTTTAGTTAATAGAATTTTATGATGCAATCTGTTCTCATAATCCTAGCAACACAAACTTGCATGAATATATATTTTAAGAATTTTTTAGGTGACACATTTTCTAGTAGCATTGATTTAATCCTTTTATATATGTTTGAAAGTGATATGTTCTTCACAAATTTGTCTTTGCTTTCTCTTGTTCTGTCGCATCATCATACACATTGAAATTAATCTATAAGTCTCAATTTTTCCACCTGAAGTTAATCAACTCAAATCTTTTATTATTTTTGAATTTCAGTCCATGGAACGATGCTCCGTATAAGGATGCAACAGAGAAAACCGATATGGGTTATATCTCTCTGAATGGATTTCTGTCTCAGGTGCTTATTTTATTGCTTTCTTGTATTCTTCAACCTGACACTACTGGATAAATCTCCGAAGATGTTGTGTTTTCTGATTCTAACTGTCAGTATTATGTCTATGATCTGCATAACCTTTTCCCTTGCTACTATAATGAGCAGATTGGGAGGTTGAGATAAGTTTTTAGTTATAATTTAACCATTTCCAGAGAAATTTTCACCATGATATGATTATTATAATCAGAACCAGGACAGAAACAATCACTTGTCTTCCTATAAAACTGTTGAGTTGACATGCCTATCATTATCAGTGAAGATTCAAATTACCTATTGAGGTTGTCATGTTCATTTAGTTGCTTGGAAAGATACATCAAAGGAAGTTATGTATTGGTTACTTTTGTTTAGTTTAGAAAACACCAGTTTTCTGATCATCTGGGTAACTAGTGTTGGGCTCTACATTCCATCTTTTACCCTCAAGAAATTATTGCTTTGGTGTTTGCTTGCAGTGACCTACTTACCTTTCTGCCTATATATATATATATAAAGCAAATAAAAAAGAATTGTGCTTATTTGTAATTCTTCTTCATATGTAGTTGGAAATTGAGTGTTTTTTTTATTGATGTATCTTTTGAAATTATATGGCGCAGTGGGCCCTTATGACATTGCTTGATCCACCACATAGCTTGGCCAATTTAATTTACATTGGATATAATGGCAATCCTGCTGCAGCACTCCGTGTCACTCATAGAAGATCATTAGATCGCAAGAAGCAAACAACAGAAAGAAATGTGTTCCAATGCTATGTTTTTGGTTCTAAACATGCCGGGAAATCTACTTTGTTGTATTCATTATTGGGGAGGTGGGCCTCTAAACCAATCATCATAGTCATCGTGTCTGTATTTGTTGCTTCCATATCTTTTAATGAATATCAGCATGTGAAATTTAATACACTCATATTGCTTACTGCTGTTTGCCTTCAAAGCAACAATTAACTCTATCAATTTTATAGGCCTTTCTCAAGTAATTATACTCCAACGACAGTTGACCAGTATGCGGCAAATGTAGTTGAATTAAAACGGGTGAGGGTGAGTATTATGTTATGATGAGAAAACATGATTACCATTTTAATGATTTAGAAACCCAGTAAGTATTGTCTTCCTCTAATGTTTCATCTCAATATAGTATACTCATTTTAATCTTTTTCTAATAACTAAAGGGAGTTCCATCGATGTTGTAGTGGAAGTTAAATGGGTACAGTTGCTTTTATCTACTCATACTAATGATGTTTACTATATAGGGAACTAGGAAAATTCTCATATTGCGTGAGATACCAGAGGATGGATTATTGGAATTTTTGTCAAATCAGGATTTTTTGGCTGCGTGTGATGTTGCTGTGTTTGTGTATGACAGGTGAGGTGCAAAATGATTTTTAAGTAGAAATTCTTTGCTACGTTGTAGCTGTAAACCTTCTGTTTTGCATTATTGATTCACTTTAACTAGCATTTTTATTGAGTGTCGAAACATAACTGAAATAAGATCTTCTAGAACTGTTTATGATTACCTAAGATGCCTGCCTTGCATGCTGTTTCCCAAAGATCTGGTTAATTATATATTCTGACAAATTTTGCTGAATTAGAAACTAAGACTTTAAATAGTAAAAGCCTCTAATCTCTGTCCCATGGATAATTTTAGTGTTAAAAAATCAATGAGAGGTTAATTTGGCTTGTATTTTATAATTCCTGGCTTTTTGGAAAGTATGGTGCAATTAAATTTCATCACATCCAATATATATGTTTAATCCTAACAATTGTGTAGGACATAGGGTTTTATGCCTGAACTTAGCAATGTATAGGTGGGACTGGGGAGGAGGGGGGAAGGGGAGGTAACTATTTGCATTATTCTATGCACTGGTTGTTTTAATACGAGGTTATCATCTCTAGTAAAATTTATCCTAAACTACAAAAGTGATTATAACATACTAGATTAGCTTATTTTAGAGAAATAACTGGGTATATATATATATATATATATATATATTATGCTTCCTAAGAGAACGTTTAGGAAAAAAAGTACAGAATACCATATTTTGTGGCCGTTAATGTTGGGTCCATGGATGGAATAAATTTCCCCAATCAAGTAGTATAGCTTAATTCTTACTTGCACATTTGTAGTATAACTATTTTCCGCTTTTTATTCCTGTGTCATTAAGATCTTTGTTCTCTGTTTTCCAGCTCAGATGAATATTCATGGAAGAAATCCAGAGATTTGCTTGAGAAGGTTGTTAGACAAGGAGAACTAGCTGGTTATAGAGTTCCTTGCCTGCTCATTGCTGCCAAGGATGATTTAACGCCATTCCCAAGGGCAGTACTAGATTCGGTTAAGGTAATGTGTTTTCAGCTTGTGATTACCATATCGTAGCACACGTGGTTATTGTTTATAAACTATACCTGAGTTCGGTATTTTATCACCTTTGTCGTTATGTTCAGGTTACTCAAGAATTGGGAATAGAGGCACCTATTCATGTAAGTATGAAATTAGGTGATTCTAGTAATGTGTACCATAAAATTGTTAATACTGCAGAACACCCTCATTTGAGCATTCCAGAAACTGAGAATTCAAGGAAAAGAAAGCAACACCACCAGCTTCTTCACCACTCCCTCATTTTTGCCTTAGGTGTGTTTATGCTTTGTACCTCTCGCCTTAACTTGTCAGCTTGATGCACACACTAAATTTGCACAATATCCATTTTTCTATTGTAAATGTTAAACCTTCTAATTAGTTATCTATCTTGAATTTACAGTTGGGGCTGCTTTGGCGGTTGTTGGTTTAACGGCACGTCGTGCACGTACAGTGAAGAAGAATAGTGCTGCTTAGCCAACAAACAACTGTTATGCTATTGCCTCTAACTTATTAACTGTCCACTTCATCTCCAGTTTTGCTTTCTAACCTTGGGCTACCTAAAGTTAAATATTTGATGTATAGTAATTACAAATCACATTTATTATTGTTGTAAGGAAAATTTATAAGATTTTGAGTAATGTTAATTTCACAAACCATAAAGTACACAAACTTTTATGTGTGAAGTAATCTTAAAAAAGCTTGTGAATAAAATTTTATGAGATGATATCACGATAACTTCTTGAGATATTAATACAGCTTTTAAATATTTTAATATTTAAGTGACTTTTTTTAATGAAGCACTAGAAAAATTCATTTCTTTAAACTAAACTTTTACGTTTCTGAAAAAAGTTTAAGAAAGGTAATTTACTTTGTAAAATGTACATTATCCCCGCTCAGAATTTGCCAAGCTAAAAATCCTGCTGAGGAACATCCTTCTACAACTCCTAACTGGTATAATCATTGTAGATAATTGAACTTGTACGATCTTCGTATAAACTTAAAGATCAACAATCTAATTGCAAACCATTTTCCAAAAAATATATATATAATAAATGAGTGATTGACTGATGGTGGTTGTATTTTCGCATGTAAGTATAGCTATAGAATTCAAACATATTACCAAAAGTGAATTCCCAAATGATCAGTGGGAAGAATTTTCTGAAAGATGTGAAGAACTGGACAAGGTGGTGATGTGGAAAGATAGCAAGTGGATATCTAGTTTATTTATTTTCTTTTTGCCATTAATATCTAAAATAACATGTTTGAAAGAGAACAACACGCGGTTGGGTTGAAAATTCTGTCCCTCCGTGACCCAGGCAGTGTGTAACTGACTTGAATTTGTCGTTAGGTCCATGTCCTTACCTCACATTTTCATGCACAGTTCTTGTTCACAGTAGAGTCTTATAACTAAATATAGAATAATAAAATTATAATGCACTGTATCATGGTGATGTTTCCCATTCACTAAATAAGAAAAATGTTTCAAGTGGATTCAATCATTCACATGAGAAGGGAATGATATGATAGCAGTCTCGGCCGCGGAAAACTCCCCCTTTCCTGTTTTGTTAACGTGCTACAGAAAGAAGGTTGTAAAAAATGACAATAATCCAGATGAAAATCTTCACAACACATCCAGGGCTTCGACACGTAACATATAATTTCATTTTTGTACGAGGGTGTACCAGTCCCCTGATCGATTTTAATAAGGATATAGTGCCCTATGTTCAGTCTTGTTTGTATACATCTTTATTAAAGTGTGTGGTCCACAAAATTCAATTCCCCTCACGAGTACTCTTCCGGAGAATCTACCAGCGGAAGAGCACCAAACAGACAAGACATATGGCTTGAACCTACCAGAAGACTGGCGTCTACTTGAAGGGTAGCTAATTTGGTAGAAAGCCTATTGCCTAGAGGAAGTGAGGTTGATTCAACTGTTTTGCACTTGAATGTATTTTTCCTGTACCCAAATGCTTGTTGACGTCAATTCCTCTTGCTTAGCCCATTTACGCTTTAGCTTAATTAGAGTAAAAACACAATCAGACCAATGATATCAAGCTCATAGCATGCAAATTCCTTAGAAACCAACGCACTTTGTATAGCTATAGATGATGGGAGACAACTTGCATGGTTCTTCCTTCGTTAATTGTACCTTAAATTCAGAAGTCTCTGTCATAACTTGATTTCCTTATTTACGTGGACCTGTTGGCCATTTTTATTGACACAGAGATCATTGTGAATCCAAAGAAAACGATTTTTCCAGAATAAATAAGTTGATACTTCAGAATGAAAGTATTCTATGGTGTTTGGTTCTTTTCCTAAAGTTTATATTTTATGCATTTTTTGTTTTTAAATTTTTTTAAAAGAAAGTGATAAATAAAAAGTTGCTATTCTTTTTTTGTCATTTCTGACTAAAACTTTGAAAATAAATAAAATAAAAACAGTACGATACTTTATAATTATTGATAAATAAAATTTTAAAAAACCTCTGAAGTGAGATTATAATTTCAAAAATGAGCAAGACATCGATTTTTGAATTTAGGATTAGGACACAGTTTAAATTAAATCAACGATGAATTCAATCTTACTAACTTAGAAGACAAGTTCACATATCACAATACAAAGGAGAAAGCTTAATCTATTACCTATAAATGGGAAACAAAAAAATAAACCAAGCACATACACTAGATAAGCTTATTTTATTTTATTTTTGTTAAAATCTTGTCCAAATAAACTAATAATTATTACAAATTTTAGATGATTTGTCTTTATCTCATTTACTTATCTAATAATTACTTTTTAGCTGAGGAATGGATGAATTTTGTTAATCGAAAACATTGCAACAAGTATTGATGGTGGTGGGCCTCAAATGGATACCCTTTAAGATTCTCTGGATGGCATCAATTTGTCATCCACTGAGAAAAGGAAAAGAACCTGTCAACTTGGCATGGGGAGACCACCTTACCTCTTACCAGTTATATTCGTCAAATTATCGATCTTATGCTAAGCTTCCCAAAGTAATAGCAAATAACAAGAAATCTTAAAAAAGGCAAACAAACAAAGTGACCCCTAACATCATGTTGCAGCCTAAGAAGCGTCAGATACTCACATACTTTAAAATGTCGCTGAATTAACTATCATGCTTTCCGTATATTGTACGGATAAATTTATAGATCAAAATAAATTCATTCAAAGGAGTACATATTTTAATTATTAATAATAAAATTAATATTAAATAAGAATAGGTTAAAGGTATAAAAGTTTTTAACTAGAAATTATGAAATAAATTATTAAATTTAAGACATTATCTTTATTGGTATAGTAGTATATCAAAATTTAAAATTTAAATCAAACTAAAATTGACTGAATCAAAGCCACATAGCTTATTGAAGATAAAGGTAATTACGAAAAATGTTTTTTTTTAAATGACACTCATATTTATAGTACATGAATAAATACTTATCGTATTGTATACGTCTGAAATGCTTCTAAATGTTTAAATTTATCTTTGTTTTAAGATTTGGTACCAATACAAGTAAAAAAACTACCACGACTATATAAATATTTTAGTAAATTTATTTTAACTTAGAATTACATTTTTTTTATCATGTTAGTTTGGATTAATTTCCCCAACTTGCTGGCAAGGGTAGGAAAGGCATATGCATGTCTTCATGCAAAGTTTAGATTAGGTACGTGGGATAATGACCCACTTCAAAATTAAGGATCTTAAATTAATTGCTTAATTGTCTTGCACATACAAATAAAACATAATTAATTTATGTGGATAACTCTGTTTTTTTCCTCCAAATCAGTTATGAGATGTGAAGTTCAAAATAGTTATCAATAACGTCAATTTGTCATCAAAATTCCCTTATAGACACAATATTTGTCTTTGGGGTCGAAAATGACGATCCCCACCATCACCCCCAAGTCCCCAACAACAACTGGCATGTATGATCGAGCAACATGGAATAGCCTAGTGGCCAGGGTTGGCAGCCCCTGCTTTATGGGCCCTGTCCTTTGCCTAATGTACATATATATATATATATGGCTCTTATCTAATTCTTTTCTCTTATCATAGCTTATTGTGATGTAGTCTCCTCATATAATTATATGGCCTTAAAATGCAAGGAATCATGTCGACACATTTGATATTGGACATGCATTTAGTTGAATCAACAAACCAGCTACTTAGGGATATGTCCTAGAGATGTTTGGTGTAAAGGATTTGAACTTGCATCAAATGGGGAACTGAAACGAATTCAATGCTGTCCTCTAGACTACTTAAGACCTCTCGAGAAACTATCACAAAACCAAATGGAATGTGGATTAGGCCTATGACATGGATCCAGCAATAGGGTTGATACAAAGGTATACACTGAAAGGACTACCAAGAATATTACGTGGCAAACAAGGTAATTAGGGTAATAGCCATAAAATTGGTTTTTGTATTTTGGAATAAAGGAGACCACAACGCCATTTTAGGGTTTGTTTTATTGAAAGTACAACGGAGAAATTTATTGTTACAAGGTACAAATATGATTTTTCATATTGTTTTTTCAAAATAAAAAAAATATGGTGTGAGAAAATGGAATTTATATATACTAATATAAATAAGAACTTCAGTGTTTTTACGTTTCAAAGACAATGATTTTCGAGTATCGATCGATAAATATTCTTAATATACACTAAAATACAAACACATGATTTCTCAACGTGTGGAATAATAGTTGATAGACATGCATGTGTAATGAGTGTTGATGCGATTCTCGTTAGGCAACACTCTCAGGTATATATTGTGGTTTTTCAAACATGAAACATATGTATAAGGACAACAAAGAAATGTCCACCTTATATGGCTAAGATATCCATGATCTAAATAGACACAGATTTTGGACAGTAGGGATGCAGGGAGAGCAACATGTATGATCCATGGCTAAAGCACTCAAAGAAGATGTCAATTGCATGAGTTGTCAGTGGGAGGGATTCTGGTTTTATTTGTGTTTGAGGTTGAATAGGGTGACGGCGCATGTGTGAATACTGAGGATATCATATATTGTACAGATAGTCTTTCAATTTAAGTAAATTTTAAAAATATGAAGTAAAATAAAAGTATTCTAAAATGTAAGAAATTAAATAAAAATACAATTTATTAATTAAAATAAATCATTTATTAAAAATTCAAAATTATATAAAGCATATAAATCAGTTATTTAAAAGAATTTAAATTAAAACTTAAAAAAGAAACAATAAAAATAATATATGTTATTTTCCAAAGGAAAGAAAATATATTCACATTAAAGATTATGTCATTGTTAAAATTCAACATATATAGAAGAATTGCTTGAAAAAATATACTTTTTATTTTATTCAAGATCAAAGATTATGAGGGTGTATTTAGAACCAAAAGACTTAAAGACCAATTCTTGTTCATAGTTCAAAAAAAAAAAACTTGATACAACTAATATTTACATAATATTATTTTTTAAAATTTGATATTTAATATTTTTCAGTCTTTGTCTTTGACTTAGTGTTGATTGATTAGAAAATAGGAGAGAATAAGAAAAATAAATAATGATATAAGAAAAAAATTGAAAAATAAATAAATGATA